CTTCCCGTTAGTGCTCATCAGGTTGACCCCCGTTTTGTTTATAGTCTAGACCTCTATGTAACTTGAGTACAGTTTTATTACCCCCTCTCGTCCCCTCCCCCTGTAAGTTATAATAAATCAATCATCATTTGTTACTTTTTGAGCTTACCCTTTGGTATTTTTTTTTCAAAACTTCATTTTTCAGAAACTACAAAATACATTGCTCATGATTTGTGGTTTTTGGCGCCAAAATTAGATTGTTTCTGGGATTTTTCAGGTTAGTTTCAAGGGTTTTTTGGGACTAATTTTCAAAAATGAGCCAAACATTTTCTAGAATCTAGCAATTTTTGGGCCACCAATTTTTTCTTTCAAAAATCACTTTTTTCAAATTCCTATGTTTCTTGTTCTAATTAAGCTAACTCCCAATTCATCAGAAAAAAAATTTGTTATAACTAAAATAAGTTGCTAATTGTTAGGAATTCCTCTATTCATATTTTTTTTTCAAATAAACATCTGCATTTTTTGACACCTGCTTCATTTAGCATAGAAAATTTGATCATTATTTTTTCTTTTCTTTTTTGTTTGAGTTAGAGGAACTTGAATTTTATAGGGATTTTTAAATTTAAATCTGATTTTTTTCATTGAATTTGTTATGGGATATTTAATTCAATTAATTTTTTGATCTGGCAAGGTTTATCTCAAAAATTTCCGAATTCCTAAGTTGCTATGTGGGCTTATCTAGTCTCTGAAAGCTCCAAGCCCAGGCTGGAACCTAGGTTTATTTTTAGTCTAGACTTCTCTGATTTCTTCTCGCCATTTCTATTTTTCATTCTCCACTCCCCCTGTATATACATGAATTCCCCGTCCAACATAGCCGATTTAAAGATCATTGAAATTTCTGTTCCTAAGAGCCTCCTAATCAAGCTCAGCTTGAAATTCAGGCGGTATTCAAATCCTAGAAGACAATTCCTGGTGCACCTCTTGGAATTGTGCAATGATCTAATCGGAGCTATGTTTTGGCCCTTTTTGAGGGTGCGAATAATAGATTTGGTGGAGTTAGCTTAACTTTCAGAAGTTCTAGATCTAAAAATAACTCCAACATTGCTCATTTTATATCCCTAGTTGATTTAGCTTCTAAAATGTTTTTAGAAAAATTTCCACTAACTTATTTTTCTCTGTTTGAAAGCAGGTGTCAAAGTTTCTGTTTTTTTTTTGAAAAAAAAAATGTGGTCATACAATCAGCAACTTATTTCAGTTACCACAACTTTTTGGGAAATTCCTGATTTTTTTAGCTCCTTAGGGTCTTAAAGAAGTTAAAGGGCTTAAAGGATAACCTACATGGCTTAAGGGGCTTTAGGGGCTCAATTATGTTAAAGTTTATTTTTTAAAGGTATTTACAGTAGTCAGTTTCAAAGAGGGGGTTTTTGGGATTTTAAAATTTGTTTAAGAAACTTAATTTTCTTATTTTTAAGGTCCCGGGGAGTTTTTCCGAGTTAAAAAAAAAACGACACCCTCACAAAATTTGTGACACATCGTTTTTGAGCTCCGAATTCCATGGAGCTCAATTTTTTTCACAGTATTTTATTTTGTTTTCCTATGTTTTTTTTTAAATTTAACGTAAGACGCTAAAGTTTACGCTCAAAAAATTAAACGTAAGATACGGAAGAAAAAAGACGATTAGCAGAAAATACACAACTTCGATGTTGAAAAATGGAAAAAAAACTTCAAAAATTCGAATGAGGTCGAAAAAGAAAAAAACAGAAAGCCTAAGCCTAGAGAGGCTAGACAAACAGGCCGTCTATGCTCTCTAGCCTCTCTAGTCGCTTTAACGTAAGAAGCTAAAGTTTACGCTCAAAAAAATTCAACGTAAGATACGAAAGAAAAAAGACGATTAGAAGAAAATCCACAACTTCGATGTTGAAAAATGGAAAAAAAACTTTAAAAATTCGAATGAGGTCGAAAAAGAAAAAAACAGAAAGCCTAAGCCTAGAGAGGCTAGACAAACAGGCCGTCTATGCTCTCTAGCCTTTCTAGCATCTCTAGCCTCTCTAGCCACTCTAGGCGCTCTAGTCGCTTTTACGTAAGAAGTTAAAATTTACGCTCAAAAAAATTCAACGTAAGATACGAAAGAAAAAAGACGATTAGCAGAAAATCCACAACTTCGATGTTGAAAAATGGAAAAAAAAACTTCAAAAATTCGAATGAGGTCGAAAAAGAAAAAAACAGAAAGCCTAAGTCTAGAGAGGCTAGACAAAAAGGCCGTCTATGCTCTCTAGCATCTCTAGTCGCTCTAGCCTCTCTAGACAGACGAACTGAAGAGGACCGAACTCAACGTGCATCAACCAAACGTCCAAGCAGGAAAGGAAGTTTTACTTCATGGTTAGTTAGTATCAAGGTCCATTTGGAACTTGATATGGAAAATGGGTGCTGCAAAAATCATATTATGACGAAGAAATCAACAAAGATTGCAGAAGCAACTAATATTAGCCCTTGCAGGCGTGGAAGAGGGACCATCAAATAACAATCTCCAAAAGAGTTGAATTTGAAATTGGAGCGCTTTTTCGAACAAAAAAACGAAAGTGCAGCATTGAAAACGTCCGATACGTAGATGATATGTTGATTGGATTCAAACCAAATGCATGAAAAATGCAAAAAAAGATCATTTTCGAAAACTGGCATACATAGTTAGTTGGTCTCAAGATCGTTGGTTTAGATCTATGGAAAAGTGGGTTCCCTAAAAATAAAACAAGAAATTGAAGAAAACTTCGATGAAGGAAAGCTCAGCAGCAACAAATTCATAAAGAAAAAAAAAGAATAAATAAGCCACCAATTGTTAGCGGATAATCAAACGCAACCCAATCCAGATGAACTTTCAAATTCTGGAACACAGGGGTGAAGACAGCCAAAGAGAGAAGCGAGCTATGTAGATGATTATGAAGAAGGACCATCGAACAATAAAAAGTGGAAAATGTGTGTTCATAGTTAGTTGGTTTCAAGGTCCCTTTGGAAGTTGAAATGGAGATGGCAATTTGCCATTGGATGAATATTGTGAAAATTATATATAGAAGCGAACATCAGAGGATGCTTAAAACGGACACGTCAAAAAATCTCAAGGCGAATCAGAACAAGAATCAAAACACCAAACAAAACATTGGCCATCCAAACGGTGGTCCATAGTTAGTTGGTTTCAAGGTCCCTTTGGAACTTGAAATTGAGATGGCAATTTGCCATTGGATAAATATTGTGAGAATTATATATAGAAGCGAACATCAGAGGATTCTGAAAACGGATACGTCGAAAAAATCTCGAGGCGAATCAGAACAAGAATCAAAACACCAAACAAAACATTGGCCATCCAAACGGTGGTCCATAGTTAGTTGGTTTCAAGGTCCATTTGGAACTTGAAATGGAAATGGCGATTTGCCATTGGATAAAGATTCTGAAAATTAGAGAATTGAAGCGAACACCGATGTTAGAAGATCTGCCAGAAAAGCGCAGACCCTTCGTGTGACACCAATAGGAAAGCTCAAACGTGGATGTTGAATATGGCCACGTCGAGAAAATCTCACGGCGAATTTAAATTCGAATCGCGACACACAGCAAAACATTGGCCATCCAAACGGTGGTCCATAGTTAGTTGGTTTCAAGGTCCATTTGGAACTTGAAATGGAGATGGCGATTTGCCATTGGATGAAGATTGTGAAATTAGAGTATAGAAGCAAACACCGATATTAGAAGGTCTGCCAGAAAAGCGCAGACCCTTCGTGTGACACCAATGGGAAAGCTCAAACGTGGATGATGAAAATGGACACGTCGAGAAAATATCATGGCGAATTTAAATTCGAATCGCGACACGCAGCAGAACATTGGCGATACAAACGGTGGTCCATAGTTAGTTGGTTTCAAGGTCTACTAGATTTGCTACTGGATTTGTAAAATAAAATTTGATTTTTGAAAAACACTTTCATGTTTCCTTATATTTGTTTTGAAAATGAATGTTCTTCCCGTGAATTTCAGTTTTTTTCTTTTTGAAATTTTCAGATCAATTTCTGGCTGGATGAATTGCCATACAAAAACTGAGACTCCGAATTCGGAGGGAGGGGGGATTAACTTTAGGTACATTTTTGGAGGTAGGGCCCTTAAAGGGGGGGGGGTAAGACGACAAAATTTTATTTGCTCAACGAATCGGGCTCCCTTTGAATAGTAAAAGCCCCAACGGATTTTTTCCCGAAAGGCCTAAAAAGGTCCGAAAAAAATATTCCATGAACTTTTTTCAACGTATATACGTTGTCCGAAAGTTTATGGAATAATTTCAACGTGGTACCTAGTTTATGGAACATTTTTTCTGGACGTTTCCAGAAAAAATCCCTTGGAGGTTTTACTACTTTTGGGGAGCCTTTAACTTTGCGACAAAAAATTTTGTCGTCTTACCCCCCTTTAACTTTTGGAGAATTTTATGCCGTTAGAGGCCAGAAAAATTAACTTTTTGAAAATATTTCCTGGGAGGGAGGTCAACTCAAATGTCCCCGGACTATTTCATGTATGTCATGTCAAGAGCATTTTCTTTAAAAAAACACTCACCAAAATTTTGCTCTTCAATAAATTCCACTTTTTCGATGATGATGATGAAATCTGAGAAAATCTCGAATTTTGTAGCACAAATCCCAAATATCCAATGCTCATATCAATAATTAGATGCTCTTCTGTAAGATAAAAACAATTATGAAATTAAATTCGTGTGAATTGAAAAAAAAAAACAAAAACACAGGACAAATGCCCAAATTTCTCCATCAAAGAGGGGACGCTGCTTATTTTTCTTTCTCTGCGTCTCTTTTTTTCTGCCGAAAAAAAGTAGATCAAAAAATATTTGGAGATCTAGGATTGCTTATCTAACGAATTTATGAAATTCAGTGTGTATGTATAAGTAATTCAATTTAACAAAATATATATGACAAAAACTAGTTACTAAATACATATCTAATTTTTTTCTATTTTTGTTTTTTTTTTGTTAAAAAACTAAATTATAATGGATCAGGAAGTTGGAAGAATGCCAAAATTTTCTCGAATTTATCGAAATCCTCCTTTCCCATTCGATATTTCTCATGAATGTCGATGTGTTTGACCTTCAAGTATTCGGTGAATTCTTGTTTGCACTGAAAAAATCATTTTATATCGAAAATTATTCTTTTTTGAAAATTTTAAAAATCCTTACGAATTTCTTAATGTCCTCCATGATTTTCTCAAACTTCGTGCGAATTCCAATTTCGACTTTAGTTCTCTCCAATTTCAACACCATTTCAGACTTTTCCATCTCGGATTTTGCACGAGATTTTGTCGATCCATAAGTATTTTGATTTCTTTCCTTCAAATCCATATCATTTTCAGCGAATTCGAATTTTTGTTTGAAAAATTCGAAAGCGTCTTCGAGATTTAGAATATTCTCATTATTCCCAATTATTTTGATATTTTCAGCTTGTTCAGTTTCAATAATATTGATTTGGCTTTCGATATAATGGATGTTTTGATATGGGAAATAATTGTGATTTGAATTTTTTGGCCGATATTCGAGCATGAAGTTATTGGTATTATTGATGTTCAAAACCTTGAAAAAAACACGTTTTGAAATTTTTTGTTTCTAAAGGCTCCCACTTTTACAAATTCAATGCTCACCGTATTTTTATGTTTATTTTTCTTCCTCTCCAAATCCTCTTGATTTTCCTTCAAATTCTTGCTCAATTCCTCCATCTCCTCTTTATTTCTCTTGTTATAATTCGCTGTATTTTTTCTCGCATTACTTCTTCTTCTAGCAATTTTATCAGCATCGCTCAACTTTTCCATTTCCGCTTTTTTCGCCCGAGTTCTTTTGGGTTTTCCCATCATTTTTGGTGAAAATTCCGGTTTTATATCGGGAAGTATTGGTGAAGTTAGGACAAGTTGTTCGAAATGTGAATTCAAATTGTTTCCAGGTTGATCGAATTGTTTTGGTTGTAGACGATAAATAACTTTTCCATTTTCATACAAAACATTCGAATTCCAAGCATTTCCAGTTTCCATAACCTCATTGTTATTGTTGTAATTTGGGTGCCCAGATGGAATATCATTTTGAGAAGATTCTGAAAATGCGCTCCAATGAGAATTTTAAATTTGGCAGGAAAACTCACGATTCAAAATGTCCGAAATTGGTGAAGTCAAACTGGGAACGTAACCTGGATTTTCGAATTCTGAAAAAGATTTTTTGTAAATTTTTGGTGCCGAAAGTTACCTTGCCATCCGGTGCCAAAATTGTTGTTGAAAATTTGAGAATTTTCTAAATTCGCGCCAGTTATTGGGTTTTCACAGACATAGGCTGAAAATTGAGAAATTTTGACTTTTTACAGTGTGAAAACTGGGAATTTTTCAGTTTTTGACCTCTAAAAACTGAAATTCAGATATTTTTCAAAATTGTTCTCTGGCCATTCACGGATTGGCCGATGTTATCCACATGGCAATGAACATTTTTCAAATCACCCCCTAAAAATTCTTACAAGAATCCAAATTCTCCAATTGACAATATTCATCATATGGATTTGGACACAAAGTAGTTTTATCTCCAGTATGATGAATCGGATCAGCACGAATAACATCTATTGCATCATTAAGTTCATCATCAAATGATTGATTAAAACTTCTGAAAAAAATCTAATATGAGCAATCCCTTCCTTTTATATCAAAAAACAAAACTAACTGATTTTCAATTTGATTTTTTCGCTCCAAGTTCAAAACTTCTTGATTGTTTGCTTGATAATTGTTGGTATTTTCAGCTTGGATGTCGAAAAATTCAGCAAGGTTGTCCATTTTTGGCTGGAAACATCATTTTTTGATAAAATTAAATGTAAATAAGGAATTAATACGAAGCGATGACTCAAAACTGTCACTTTGAAGAATGAAAATGATAAGATGCGTCTTGCAGGCGCCGATATGTTTATAGTTTTCTAATTGTAAGATACGATGATTTTTGGTGCCAAAAACATAGTCGAGAATTGTAGTTGACGCAGAGAAAAATAAGGAGCGCCCACTTTTGCAAAAAAATTGAGCGCTCTCAGCACTTGACTCTGTAGACTGACTGTACAAATTGAAGAAGTGTGAATACAGCGAATGAACGCTGTACCTACACTTTTTTTCCCGAAAAACGTAGGTTCATTTTATCTTAAGCGTAGCTACGAAAAAAATCAAATTCGTAGCTACGCAGATGCTAAATAGTTGATACCCACACCTTAAATTATGACGAGAGCTGCCAAGCGTCACATAATCAGAGATGAAAACGTAGGTACAGCGTATCTACGCTGTAGCTACACAATTCGCGGACAGAAATAAAGTGAAGTGACCGCTCTATATTATTTTTGAATCCGTAGCTACGCCGTTGCTGTTCTGTAGCTACTTTGTAGATAAACGGATGTTACTTACGTGCAATTCTCTCTTCCCCGTTTTCGTACAAAGTATCAACGAAATTTGTACAGTCAGTCTACAGAGTCAAGTGCTGAGGCTGCTATTTTTCTCTGCATCTCTCAAAATAATTTATAGGCGCTGCTTATCTATCTACCTTTTTAATAAAATCCCGATTGGGTGGTGACCATCAATTTGCCTAGAAATGCTCGATGACAATTGTTGAAGTGAGAAAAAAAGACTACCTTTCAAAAAAAACAAATTTTCTCTGGAAGCTTTACAAATACATCATTATCGAGACAGATTTCAAGATTTTAGGCTTAAATTTATTGGAACTAATTTAGTTAGTAATTATTGAGTACTGTCCAAAGAAAATGTTTTTTTTTTGATCAACTATTGTCCCGCCTGAGGGCTAACAGCCCCTATCGAGTATATTTAATACAAAAAATTGATCAATGACGTCATCCATGGCAAAATCAGGAACCATTCCTAATTTAGCCACGGTATAAGCAATAAGCAGCGCCCACTTTTGCAAAAACTGAGCGCTGCTATTTTGCTCTGCATCTCTCAAAATAATGCATAGGCGCTGCTTAGTTTTTGAAAAAAAAAAAAGAGTTCACTTCTCTTTACGCGCGGCAGATTTTTTTGACCCCAAAACACTTCGTTTCAACCCTGTGTTGGGACGAACAAATAGAGAAAACGCGACGCAGACACAAAAAACCCCGAAAATTTTTAAAAAATGAGAATTTATGGACCATCGCTTCAGAACCCAACAGTTGACTGGCTGCCAGCCTCATTAAATTTCGCGGTTTCTTTCGCACTCTGCACGCTCTCTCTGTCTCTATTTGTTCGACCTGAAACGAAGTGAAAAATTCATGATTTTTACACGAAAAGCTGAAAATCAATAAAAAATAAACAAAAAACATATCAAATTTGTTCTTCTTTTTCAAAAATTAAATGAGAACACTGTCTGCTGTTATCATTTGAAAAAATCTACGTGTTTTTCTAGTTTTTTTATATGGCTGGTGTTGGTTGCCTGCCTGAAAAATCAGAAAAAAAGTGAGAAAATGGGAAAAAAGTTGCGAAATCAGATGAAAAAAACGGAAAGGGGATATTTTATTGATAGAACACCTGTTTTATGTGATATCAAAGTGAACAAAAATTACATCACTAATAGGTGCAAAACTGTGATTTTTGGCAAGTGCGCTCCAATGACAATGGGAAAAATATGGCCTAGAATCCTCACCCGGTTTTCTAGACCAAATGCTTCAAAACACGAAAACGTGCGACCCGAAAAATACGCTGGAAAAGTGGTGGCCGAACTTTTTTCTATTTTCCCCCAAAAAATCCTAGACCACCTAGCTTTATAGACAATTTCAGAGGAAAACGGCTGGAAAAACTTGTGACGTGGAAAATTTATAAAGCTTTAAAAATCAAAGTAATGCTGTTTTTTCAATTTTCCCGGAAGTTTCTGGAATTCCAGACAAAAATCTGAAAATTTGAATTTTCTGATTTATAGGGTTACTGTAGTTTTGGATGTGTGTAATGCACACCACACATTTTATTTGACGACACTGTTTTTTATTTTTCTCTTTTTTTTCTTCTACTTTTCGACGGAAAAGCCAGCAGTTTTTTGTTTATTTCTTGAGTGCAGAATAGTAGGAGAAATGTGGAGAGCGCAGAGAAAACTCTTTTCTTCTCTGCGTCTTCTGAGAAAAACATAGTGACTAAGATTAACCGTTTTCATTGATTTTTCTCTCTTTCTTTCGAATTCGCCTTAAAAACAAAGTTTTTTTTTTGCAGAAATGGATGAATTTCTAAATGATGTCATAGAAATCATTAGAGAAGACCAGAATGTTTTGCCGAATAACAATAATAATCAAGAAACATTGTGCACCGATGAATATGATGATTATTTATCAAAAACTGATCCCAACTTGAATGAACCGGATTTCACTAAAGGAATCAACGAATCTGATGATGTTTTGCCTGTTGAGCCAATGAAAATCACACCAAATAACTGTAATGATAGAAAATATTCGATTTCGGATGATTTTGGAGGAATGGATTTGACATATAATAATGAAAATGTTCCGGAAGATGAATTGGGAGTTGAGATATCTCCAGAGCCTCGAAATATTAACGAAAGAAAGGGGAGAACTTCGAAATTTGAAATGAGAAAACTGTCAGATGCGCAGAAGATAGAAATGATAAAATCTCGCCAAAGAAGCGCGACAAATCGAAGTTACGAGAAAAAGAAAACAAAGTTATTGCAAATCAATGAAAATTTGATGAAACTTCGAGGAAATGTGGAGGAGAAGAAGGTTAAAATGAGGGATGTTGATATGAATTTGAATAACTCTTTGGTTATGATTCGCGAAAGAATTGGGAAAGAAATGCCAGAAGTTTGGAGAGATTTGAAATATTATAAAATGAATTATGAGAAATGTTTGAGAGATATCGAAGATGATGAGAATATTATGGATTTGGAAAGAGATTTGAAGAATGCTGAAAGACGATTTTTGGAAGCCATGGGGGATTTTGAGCTGAAAATCGTGAGTTTTTTGTTTAAAATTTGAAAATTTCTGTTTTTTTAGCTGGAAAAAATGAAAAATTCAGATTTTTTTGCCGAGAATTGTTATAAAAATTGAATATCTTTCAAAAAAAAATCTAAAAGTACATTTTCACGTGAACTATAACGTGGCAATTAACATTTTTTTTCCAGAAAAATCAAAACACATACGGCTCCAAGAAATGTCGCACCAAATCCAAAAAAGATGAAGCTGAAAGTCTGTTGAACATCAAAAAACTTGAATTGGTCAGTTTTCTTCATTTTTTTTTCAAAAATAAAGAAAAAACTATTTTTCCAGGAATTCGAAGCAACTTCCAAATATCTGGAAAATCTGGATATTGTCAAAAATCAAGTTTTCAACGATTTTTCGGAGGTTCGAAACTTGATGAATTTGACTGAAATGTATAATTTGAACCCGGAAATTCGAGAGATTTTTGAAGATTTGTTGAGTTTTTACAATTTACCGAACCCTGCTCCTATTTAAGAAGAAAATGCGCTCCAAGGAACGATGGCCTAGGTTTTCAGATCGTGTTTTCTAGGCCACAGAACCTCAATATGGCCTAGAAATTCAGGTGGCCGAGTTTCTCAATTTCCTCGGTCATCAGTTAATTGGAGCGCATTTTCTCTACTTTGCCCCCAAAACGTCATGATTTATTTGCACACATAATTTGTCATATCTTCTTCTCAAAATGATATGTTTGTAAATAAGTTTTTCCTAATTTTTTGTTGTTAAAAAAATCGTTTATAGTGTGGTCGATGAGTTTTATTTGTTCTTCACTTGTTAAAAGTGAACTCTCTCGTTATAAACCCCATTCTTTCACTATCTATCAGAAGAAAAATGGGGTTTTCAGGTTAAAAATTACGAAATTTGTTTCTCATTTTTTATTGTTTACTTGCGAAGTTTTATGGGAGATAAGTTATTGATTTTTGGTTTTTTCTCGTTGGTAATTATAAAAGTTTGGGGAAGGTTTTCGCGCCTGGAAATAATTTTTAGTTCCAAAATTGTGTGTCCGAAATCTATCTTGGTCTCGAAACGCTCAAAATTGATTTTATTGTTCTCTGCATCTCTCTCAATTTACACTCTACGAAACACCGTGATTTTTTTGACACCAAATATCATCATCAAAGTTTTAATCATACTCTGTACAAATCAACGACGAAAGCTAGCATCTTATCAATTTTTTCGCAAAAAAACATTGATTACTTTTTGACTCACTGCCGTAATTATTTACATTTAAAAATCGATTGAAAATTCATTTTTCTACTGATAAGCTCATTCAGTTTTTGCAGTAAAAATGGAATTTTTCGATATTCCTCAAGAATATCGAGATTGTTCAGCCAATAACAATGAGGAAATATTGAATTTGGAGCGGAAAAATGGGAATCACAATCAAAATCAGTGAGTTTTTTTGTTTTCAACTACATAGCATTACTCATTTCAAACTTTTTTTTCAGAATTCAAAATCAAATACTTGACGATCTGATGGAAATCATTCATGAAGATGAAAAAAGATCAGAAGAAACTTTGTGCGCAGATCCAGATGATGAATATTTGAAGAAAACGAATTGGCAATTGAATCAACCGATTTTGGATTGTTGTAAGCATTTTTGGGCGGGAAATTGGGTAAATTCAAATTTTTTGAATTCGGCGGGAAATATTGAAATTTTTCAAAAATCTCCAAATTTTCAGCTGACGAATCAGACATGAATCAGTCCAATTTCGAAAATTCTCAAAATTTCAACAACAATTTTTTTGGCACAGGTGAGCTTTGCGCCGAAATTTTACGAATTCAAATTAAAAAATATATATTTCTAGAACTCGAAAGTCCAATTTATGTGCCCAGCTTGATTTCGCCGAATTCAGAATTTTCCGAAGAACTTCCAGAGGAATTTTTGAATCGTAAGTTCTCCCGGCAAACTTCTCATTTGAGCACTAATGCTTTTTTTCAGAATATCTTCAAAATACCAGCAATAATGAAGTTTTGGACACTGGAAATGCTTGGAATTCGAATGTTTTGCAAGAAAATGGAAAAGTTTTATATATTCTACAACCAAAGACGGAATTCCACCAAGCTGAAAATAATTTGAATAATTATTTCGAAAATCTCGAATTGACATCACCAACTTCTACAATTTCAAGCGATATTCCTTATTTTCCGATTTCCGATTTCGATACAATCAAATCCGAATTCTCACAAAAAATGTTAGAGAGACCCAAAAGAAATCGAGCGAAAAAAAGTGGAAATGGAAAAGTTGAGTCGAGATGAAAAATTGGAGAGAAGAAGAAGTAATGCGAGAAAAAATACAGCAAATTATAACAAGAGAAATAAAGAGGAGATGGATGAATTGAGCAAGAATTTGGAAAAATATCAATGGCGTTTGGAGATGAGGAAAAAAACGTGGGAAAATACGGTGAGAATTGGATTTGTTGAAGTGGGAGCTTTAAAACATTTATGGGCCTATGCAGAATAATATTTTGTAATAAAAAAACATATTTTTCCAATGCAGAAAAACGTCGAAAAAACAAAATATACAGTTTACTATTTTTGAGTAGAGACAATGTGAAATTGAGAGAGTGCAGACAGACAAATTGATTTATCGCACAAAAAATACAAAAAACTGTCTGCACTCTCTCAATTTCACATTGTCTCTACTCAAAAATAGTAAACTGTATATTTTGCTTTTTTGACGTTTTTCTGCTTAGGAAAAATATGTTTTTTTATGTTTTTTTACTACAAAATATTATTCTGCATAGGCCCATTACGCCTCTGCATTTTTTTGCTTCTTTTGCAATTTTGCGGCATACTTTCTAAACCTTGGCCCATTATTCTCTGTAATTTTTTGGCACTCATGTTTGGTGTCAAAGTGAAGCCCCAAATCTGAACTTTTCAAAAATCGTTTTTTTTCAGGTTTCCAACATCAATAACTCAAATAACTTCATGCTCAATTACCAACCTCAAAATCCAAATCAAAACTATTTTCCACAAGAAAATATCCACCTTATTGAACACCAAATCAAGATTATTGAAACTGAAGCTGAGAAATCAATGAGAAATCTTGAAAATAACGAGAGTATTCAAAAACTCGAAGCTCATTTCGAATATCTCAAGCAAAAATTCGAATTCGCTGACAATGATATGGAATTGAAGGAAAGAAATCAGAATACTTATGGATCGACAAAGTCCCGTGCGAAATCAGAGATGGAAAAATCGAAAATGATGTTGAAATTGGAGAAAATTCAGGTGGAATTGGAAATTTATGAGAATTTCAAAGAGAAAATTGAGGAAATTAAAGGATTTGTAAGTGTTTATGAAATAAAAAAAATTATCTTTCAACAAAAATATTTTTGCAGAGCAAATCACGATTCATGGAATACATCTATGTCAAAAATATCAATCTTCGTGAAAAATTTCGAATGGGAAGAGGGGATTTTGATAAATTTGATCAAATTATGGCATTCTTCGAACTCCCGGATCCATTATAATTTAGTTTGGGGAACAAAAAAATATTTTGAAAAATAAGTATATATTTGGTGTTTGTATAGTTAGTTTTTGTGCATTTCTGAAATAAAGATTATTTTGTTGAAAATTGATTTTCAAAGAAGTTTTTAAATTTCATAAATTTATTATTATCAAAAAAAAGTTGGGTCAAAAATATTCGTCAAATATTCAAAAAATTCCAGGAAAACAATAAAAGATCTCGAAAAGTAGAAGAAGAAGTCATATGTATCATAACTGATAAGAAAATAGAGAGCACCGCAAATAATTTTGGAGGGGGAAAAAATAACGGGAATTTGGGAAAGAATATTGGGAAGGGAAAATGGAGGAGAGAAAGGCCGCAAATAAATCACGTGAAAATATATAGACTCGAGTTCTTGGAAAAACTCTTTTTCTTGTTTTTTGTTTTGTTTTGTGTTTGTTGAGCCGTGAACCTGTAGAGTATTTTGGAAACCTAACAAAATAAAAATATTCGAAAATGTTTTGGGAGAAAAAAAGAAGAAAGAAAACCTCGTATCAGAAAAATGATGTAACATCTTGACAGAAAAAAATAAAATAAAAATCTAACACGTATGGTGACTAGTCAGAAAATATATAAATTTCGAAAAAAAGTGAAAAAGGGTACCTAAAGTGTGGTGACGAGTAGTAAATCTTCTTGGGATGGTGAACCATCGGCACTTTGTGATGGATGTGCACCGCCATTTGGTCCGCCAACCCGTGAAGCGTCGGTTGGTCGTAGAAGGGCACTTCGCGAATTTTCGTTGATGTCTCGAATGTCGTGCATTCCGACGTGTTGCATTAGGGGAGCGAGAGAATCGGCGGCGAGATCGATTTCACGTTCGCCGAGTGAGAAGGCTTCTTCGATTTCGCGGCGAGCTGCGCCAACGACTCGAGCGTCTGTGTAGCGGCTGAAAATCGGGTTTGTTTAATTTTTAGAAAACAGGCTTGTTATAAGTGGTACTTTTGAAGAATTTCACAAAGAATTTTGAAAACTACGTTAAGTTTTTGCAGATTTTTTTCCGACTCAGAATTTTGCGTTTTTGTAGATTTTCAAAAAAGAAATCAGAGTTTTTCTGTGAAAAAAACCAAAAAAAAAATAGTTTCTCAAGTAGAGGCGCCTTAAGGACCTAATTGTCTAGGGTCCGCCTCTAGACATCCACTCTAACAAGGAGCTGCGCCTTGGGAGCTCATAAGCCAAGTAGCCGAGCTTAGTTAGACTAATTTTCTAGAAGATTCACATTTGTAGTCTGAAAATTACAATTCGCCTGAATCATTAATTTTTTGATGAAAAATATGTTTTGCCACGTCATAACTCATGTTAAAAGCTACAATTTTCAACAAAATCCCTCACCTTCCCAATCCAAGTGATTGCCCAATCAATCGATCAACCGGTCTCGAATCATCCGCCGGTCTTAGCACAGGTCTCGATGAGAAAGGCAGTCGTACAGATTTTCCTTCGCCAACGGGTCGATACGTTCCCTCGTATGCTTCAGATGACATTCCGGCTAAAGCCAAAGCAGCTCCACGAGCCATAATCATTGGATCTCGAATTGGTGGAAGTGTTCGAGATGTTCTTCGTGGTGGTCCACCGTTTCCAGAACCACTTTGATGATGATGATTCCAATCATCTTCTTCGTCTGGATCTACGGGTAAGCTGGAAATATTGTAAATTAGATTCAAAATTGAAATTTCGGCGCCAAAAAAACCAACTTTCTATTCGCAAAAACCATTCGATCATGTGATGGATCATATCCGGCTCGATTTCCAGTATCTCGATATCGTACACCGTCATTCGTCTCATCTTGAATATGATTTGCATAGGGTGGAAGTGTTGGTAGTCGTCGAACAGTTCCATTAACTGGCAAATTGATTGATGAATTTATGGGTTGAGCTGTTCCTCGTGAAATTTGTGAAGGAACTGGTGAACCTTCGGCGCCGGCTAATGAATGAGTTGGAGAAAATGAACGAGGTTCTGGAAAAAAAGTGAGAAATTGAAGGGGAAATTCGTAGCCCAAATAAAATTTTGAATCGTTTTTTTCAGAGTAATATTTCCCGCTTTGAAATCCGTCTACTTCCGGGATCAAAATCTCAAGTAACCAAGTCTAGAAATCATATATGTCAAGGATCAGCGCCTAGAGATTCACTATGTCAAGGAACCGCGCCTTGAGAGTTTTTACGCCAAGTAGCCGAATCTAGAAATCATGATTCTCAAGCAGCCACGCCTTGAGAGCCTAATTGTCAAGAAGGTGCACATATATAACCTTTTTTCACTATAAAAATAACAAATCGTGTAAATTCAAAATATTTCTATTCATTTTTCAAAAAAAAAATCATGATTAAACCGGAAATCAAAAAATTATTGAACATTTCCAAAAATGTTGAAACCTACATTTTCCGGGTTTCATTTTTCATAGATTGTTTCAATTTTTTGAAATTTTCAGATTTTCCCAAATTTCTTCCCCAAAAATGCACTCACGAAACGGTAAAAGCGTCGATCCTCTGTCCATTTTTTCTTCAGTCGGCGATCTTGCGCCCGAAAGTCGATGAACCAAATTGTTGAACAACGAATGAGGTCGCTGCAAAAATGAACAATTGAGTGGCGAAAAATCCAGAGGGGAAAAAAGTTTTTCGTTTTTTGTGAATGAAAAAAAAAGTTGGAGGAAAGAAGAAGAAGCTTCACAAACAAGAATTCAATTATTTACGAGAGTCGCGTCGAAAAAATTCCAAGCATTTTTTTTTTGAAAAAAAAAATAAAATAAAATCAAGCATGGAAAAAAAGGGGTTGAGTTTTCATATTCAGCATAGAAAAATTGCCAACTCCGCCCATGTTTGGCGCTAGAAAAATTCCTCCCAAGAAACTCACTCTATGCTGTGGCTCCGGATCGTCGAAATTGAAATCAGTCTCCAGATTTCCCGAGATGGCTCGTTTCAACTCGGGTCCAATTTCATGAAGTGTTCGAAGTCCAGCCTGCAAAAAAAAACAGCAATTTTTCAATTTTCCTTCTCAAGCTTGTGTCGTTTTTTAATTAAAAAACGAATTCTCGGGTTCTCAATTCAAATCTGTCAAAAAAGGAAGGAAGAAGAGAGCAGAAATTGGAGCTTTTCACCAAGAAAAATGGAAGGGAAAAAAAGCTTTTTCTTTTCATTTTCATTTTTTTCTGATGAAAAGAAAGAATAAAAAAAGCAATCCATAAATAATAAATTTCATGGGTCCCACGAAAAATATATATAACTAAGAAATGAAGATGACAGAATGAAGCCAATTTTAGATTTTTTTTAAATTCAATTTCAAATTAAAAGTGAAAATCGGAAAATTGGAGAAAATTTGAATTTTTTAAAGAAAACAGCAAGTGCGCTCTATTGCAAATGTTGGTTATCGGATAAAAATTCAAATAATAACTTTTATAAGTAATTTAAATTTTGAAGTAGAAAAATAGTAAGCTCTATTACCAAAACTGAATTTTGGCGTCAAAATCTGTCTGCAGACAGATCTGTTCTATATAAAATTTTCAGCTTTTGGTCTCCAAAAAAAAAACAAAACACAACTCCCCAGCCATTTTTCCTCTCCTTTTTCTTCATTCTTCAAAACTAAAAAAAAACAACTATGTATTTTTTTCGCCAAAAAAAACTCTCCTAATCCCTTCCTTCCCAAAAAAAATGTGCGTTTTGTTACCTGAAGTGCCATTGCTTGCGGTGTTTGTGTCGGTACAATTCCTTTCGCCTCCAATTCTTTTCGTTTTTTGAATCGTCGGAAATAGTCTTGAATCAGGAATGTCGCATAGAATTTTCCAACCGTCACGTCATCTTCTTCTGAAAAAATGAATAAAATTTGAATTTGATTAATTAAAAATTCTAGTTTTCCAGCCAAAAACTAAGATTTATCTAGGGACTGAGGAACAATTTGGCGAAATATGTGACTTGAAAATCTTTGGTGAAAACTTGGCGAAAAAAGGAAAAAATAAATGTGAAAAACGAGACTCCACGCTAAACACTGCGCAAGCGGAGTCTCGTTGTTTTACTTTTATTTTTTCGCATTTTCTTTTTTTTTCTCGGAGTTTTTCCATGTAAAAATATGGAATCTTCAGATGTTATTAACGGCAAACTGTAGAGAAAAAATTGGCATACATTTTGAAACCGAATTCAAAAGGAACTATGAAAACTATATGGAAATATTTCACAAAATGAGAAAATCTAAAAAATTTTGCGATGTTCGCTGATTTCTACGAATGTAGAAGGTACTAAAATTTGGAGAAAATTCTAAAGTCTTGAAGCGAGTTTTTTTCACATATTTTTATTTCATTTTTCTTGTTTTTCTATATTTTCAAAGTTAACTCACTTCCAGCCGGTGGCACAACTTCATCCAGCATTTTCAACGAAGTCCTCTTCCAAATCCTTCGAATTGCACTTCTCAATTGTTCATTAGCCTCATCAATATTTCCCTCCGTGTAAATCTTCAAATTCGTTCGAACCAGCGCAAAAAGTGTCGCATTAAAACAAACAGTTCCATCCGAATTCAACGGCATATTCATAGAGACAAGCCGTTTGCAAGCCAATCGATGCGGACACAATTTACCGAATCCAAGAGGCGGTGAGATCTTACGAAGTAGAGTGACAACATCAAGATGTTTGATTCTTCCCTTGGCATCCGGATCGTATTCGGACCATAATCGCACAAATTCTTCCAAATGATGTGGTCCCAAAATACTCCAATCTCTTGTCAAATAATCGAAATTGTCCATGATGACGGCGACGAACAAATTGATGACTAAAAATGAGCAGAGCATGAAAAATGAGATGAAATATGGATAGGCGAAATTGGTTCCACATTTTGGTTCGGCCGGTATTGTCGTCGTTGAATTTGCATCTGTTTTAGATCTTTCCCATTTTTGATATTCGTCGGATTCGGGAGCACATCGAACTTCGTCACGTTCTGAGCAACTGAGCATAATTTCTTGCCAAGCTTCACCGGTTGCAGATCTGTAAGTAAAATATACGTGGAATTTTCATTTTCCATGTTGGAAATCACGAATTCTCCTACCTGAACAACACCAAAATTGCCTGTGGAAACGAATGAAAATTATTATTCCTGTGAATCGACGTCGAATCATCCAATGCGACTTTTCCAAAAAACTGCATTCCAATAACCGCATAAATGAAAAACAGCAAAACAATCAATAATGCGACATATGGAAGAGCTTGGAATGATTTCATAAAAGTCCATAGCAATGTTCGAATACCTTCTCCTCTTGAAAGCAATTTAACCAATCGCATAACTCGGAAAAGTCGGAAAAAATTAATCGAAATCAAATTCGTTCCACCCGGACTCAATTTTCCGTATGTAATATCGATGAAACTTCCAACAACAACCAAAAGATCGAAAACATTCCATCGATCTGAGATATAATTCTTGGGATTCAGAGCAATTATCTTCAAAACCGCTTCAAATGCAAAAACTCCGGTGAAAATCAAATTGAATACATCCAGAAAATCCTCAAAATTTTTCGAACTTGGATAATGTTTACAAGCCAACGATACGGTATTCATGACAATAATCAAGAATATCACATATTCAAAAGCTCGTGATGTTACAAACCACCAAACTCGATATTGTAGTCGATTTCGTGGAATATATCGACGATGCGGTTTTGCTTTCAGCGCAAATTCGATGCATTTCCGTTGATTTTTATCGAGTTCACAGTTTTCGTATTCTCTTTCTCCTTCATTTTGGAATGTGACGATAACGAAACCGACGAAAATGTTCATCATGAAGAAGGCTGCAAGAAATCAGGTTCCAAGTCACATTTTCCTCATTGAAAAAATTTAAAAATAAGAATTTTTCAAAAATTCCACGTTCACGTTTAAATTCATTTTCAAAATTTAATTTTTTTTTTTTGAAAAAAATGCATATTTCAAATTGGATTTTCACATCAATTAAAAAACTCACCAATAACAATAATGAAAGCGATAAAGAACAACGCAACAGCTTGTCTCGAATTATGAATCGGACCTCGATCTTCTTCATTCGAATCAATTGCAACATACAACAAACCGGGCCAACCTTCGAAAGTCGAAACAACAAATAGTGAAATCATCGCCTGGCCGACTGTATCGAAGTGGAAGTCGTTTTTGGTCCAAACACGTTTTTTGGAAACCGGTCGAGTTGGATCGCCATCTTCGTATTGAATGAATTCACCTCTGCAAAATCAGGGTTTTCAGAAGTTTTTGAATAATTGATTTCTATCAACTCACTTGCACTCCCTTTCGGTAATTTTCGATGAATCATTACACGAAAAGAATGTTCCTTTAAACAATTGTACACCAATAATCGCAAACATAAATTGGAGCATAAATGTGACCAACATAATATTTCCGATAGTTTTGACAGCCACAATTACACATTGTACAACATGTTTGAGTCCTTTTGCTCGATTAATTGCACGAAGTGGACGAAGAACACGTAACACACTGAAATATAGATGGTTTTTTGAGGTAGGAGATGGGTTTTGGATGTGATAAGGTAATTTTCAGATTTATTATTCGGAATCAAGCTTAAAATCATATGTTTCGGATGTTTTTTCCTGTTTTCTAAACAATTTCATGACAAATTTGGTAATTTGAAAAGATGAGAATTCTTATTAAATTTTTATCAAAAATTCAAAATTTTCAGATTATCATTAGAGCACAACTAAAGTTGTCTACAGCAAATTCAAAATTTTTATTAATTTTTCATGTTGTCAGTAGAGCGCACATGAATTTCCAAAATAAATTCAGAAATTTGAAATTAATTGGAATTTTTAAAGAAATTTTTGAATAATTCACATGATTTCTGAGATTCTCATTAGAGCGCACTTGGAAAAAATCATGAAATTTCGAATGTTTCAATTTTTCGAGATTATCATTAGAGCGCAGCTGCTGTTTTCTACAGCAAATTCAAATCTAATTTTTCAATTTGTCAGTAGAGCGCACATGAATTTTGAAAAGAAATTCAAAAATTTGAAATTAATTGGAATTTTTTAAACAATTTTTGAATATTCAACATAATTCCTAAGATTCTCCTTGGAGCGCACTTGCAAAAATTGTGAAATTTCGAATATTTCAATTTTATTAGAGCGCAGTTGCATTTTTTAATACAAATTTCGATTTTTCTGTTATTTTTTAATTTAAAAAGTGTATAATTTTGAAATCCCCAATCCCTCGCCAAAATCAAACTAACCGCAAAATCTTGACAACACTCATCGCATCAGTTCTCAAAACAAACGAAGTCAACGAAACGGCAACAACCAAAATATCCAACAAATTGAACGCATTTCGACAAAACGATCCTTTGTGAAAAACCAATCCAAAAACAATAACTTTTAGCGTGATTTCAACAGTAAAAACCGATGTGAAAAAATAATCGAAATAGTTCAAAACATTGTTTCGTTTCGAATTTGCATCAAGTGGATCTTCAGCGGCTAACATTGCAGATGACACCAAAATACAAACGAGAACACTATTTGTGAAATATGAATGATTTACAACATCATTGCAAAATACTCGAAATGGATTTGTGTGACTTAGGATAAATAACGAAGATGCTTTTGGAATTGGTTTTGCTTGATTTGCTGCTGGTAGTTCACTTAATCTTCGGGGACGAGCTGATGTCATTTCTTCATCGCCATTTTCATCTTCTAAACCATGTTCATCGCCCTCTTCATCTCCTTCATCATATTCTTCATCTTCACCTTCGAGTTCTAGAAAACATTTAGAATTCTGGGCGGTTCCGGATTACTATCACTTGGAATATCAGAATCCCCGTGATATCGGTGTTTTCAGAATTCAAGACCGCCAAAAAAATCCAAAAACAAACCTTGTTGTTCCTCTTCCTTCTCGGCATTCGTTAAACTATCAGCATCGGCCAAATTATCGACAGCGATAGCCAAGAAAACATTTAACAGAATATAGTTACCGCAAATGAATAGAACAATATAGTATATACATACGATAACTCCCATTGTTCCGACACCGCCGAATGAATCAATTCCACTATACATTACCGCATTCCAATCTTCACCGGTTAGAATCTGCAAAAATTGTGAATTTTAATATGAATCAGAGAGCTTCTAGAAGTTTTCAGATAAATTTGAGAAATGGCTTAACAACAATGACCCAAAAATAAAATGTTGAAATTTCAAAAAATCTTGAAACCTAAATTTTCCGGGATAAATAACCTCGTGGAAATTTTGAAAAAATTCTAACCAAGCTTTCCGTTAGCAGCAAAATTACATTAACTCTTTGAAAAATCTAGAAAGCCCCCCTGCTCACCTGAAACACTGTGAGCAAAGCCTGTACAAACGTATCAAAATTGGCCCTTGGTTTTGGTTGTTGTGGCATATAATTGAATTTGCCGCCAAAAACCTGCATTCCAAGCAATGCAAAAATGACAATAAACAAGAAGAGCAATAATAAAAGTGATATAATTGATCGAAGTGAATTGAGCAACGATGATACCAAATTACGCAGCGATGTCCAATATTTGGTGACTTTGAAAATTCTTAGCAAACGAGCTGATCGCAACACAGAAACACCCAAAGGTTTCATGTATTTCATTTGAACTAAAGCGAATTCCAAAATTGAACTGATTACAACAAAACAATCGAAACGATTGAATTGTGATGTTGTGTATGTTGTGAAACCAAGTGAATACATTTTGAGCAACATTTCCATTGAGAATAATATTACGAAGAATAAATTGGCCCATGCTGCAAACAAATTTGAATTATCAAATTGAATTTTGTTTTTGAAACAACTTTTTTGATTTGAAAAAAATTACAAAACTTCAGAAAGATTTTCATGCTTGAAAATTTTTTTCAAAAAAATATTTTAGAATCTCTGGAAAATTCTTATTCAAAGTTTTCTTCAAATTTTCAAAAAATTACCAGAATACAGTAATTGTTAAGATTTTTGGCCTCCAAATGAAACATTTAAAAATTTCGAGCAAAAAAATTCAAGCTTTTTGGGGTGAACACAAAATTCAAGGTACAAAGGCTCTGTAGCCACGTTTTTGTACGTTTACTGTAGATTTGAAGTTTCCAAGAATTTTCAGATATTTGAATCCGAAAAAATTCAATGAAAAATTTAAATTTGTATAAAACACAAAATTTCAAATGGATTTTTTGAGTCAAACATTTCCAGAATTTCAAAATCAAACTAACTCTGAAAAGTGTCCAACCAATCGGGTTGTCCATGATGTTCCGATGTCAGCACCAAAGTATTCAGAAAGACCAGCACAATAACAAGCCAATAGAATGACTGTGATTTGACTAATCGACGACAAGCTCGACGACATCGACGGTTCATTTTTTCTAGTCTCTTCATTCTGGCAGCCCATTTACTTGGCCTCACATCTTCAACACGTTCTTCACCTTCTTCATCTGCTTCTTCGCCAACTGCTGCTGAAAAAATGGGGAATTTGTGGTGGAAAATATTTTCAAAAGAAAACTACAGTACCCCTTGCAGTTTGGATAATACAGTACTCGAAAATAAGAGCTTCTTTTTTTGGAAATTCTAGATCTAATTTTTTAGTCCAAAAATTCTACAGTATCCTCTGCAATTTGGAAAAAAACTAGATTTTTGGAAACTACTGGAAATCTACAGTATCCTTTGTAGTTCGAAATTTTCGAAATTTGATTATTTACAGTTCTAATAAAAGCTACAGTACTTTTTGCAGTCTGGAAACTACAGCAACCTGAATATGATTTTACAGATTTTCAGCCGTATTCAATTAATGAACCCTTCAGAAAATCCCAAATATTTCAAAAATCCTTGAAACCTACATTTCCCGGGAATAATTTCCAAATGTCAATTTTTGGCAACAATCCAAATTCTGCCCTTCCTCTTCTATGTGTCTCTAACATTTCCATGCTTTTCTCTCCTTTTCCTCTCTCTTATTTAACATAACGTGAGCAACATCTGTTCAAGGCCAAAACAAGAAAAAAGACAAAAGGTGTCTAGCCATTTTGTGTTTTTGACTAACTAACTTTCTAACCGTTTCGAATATTTTTATTTTTTTTTAGGAAAAAAATTTGGGAACAGCGAAAATCAGTGATGGATTGTCCAGGATTGTTGGGAGTGCGAAAGGCGGAAGAGGTTAGTGGATTTTTGGGCCAATTTTCAGAGTTTAGGATTTTTTTTTTGAACTTTCTAGAAATATTTCGCAATAAAATTCAATATGTTTATTCCAGAATTTCCCCGCCGATTTATACAATTTCCGAATCGAGCAAGTTTTCGAAGGTGGCAAATTCAACTCGCCTCCATTCAAATTCCAAGATTTCTATTGGTAAGCTCCGCCCCCACAAGATCAAAAAACCCCAAAATTCTTTAAAGGCACATCAAAATCTTGCGCACCGTTCCATCGGCAATTCTTCAACTTCACTTGGAGAATTATGAGAAATCGAAGATTGTTGAAGTTTCGGCAGGGAAAATCGAAATAGAAATTGATAGCAAGGAGAAATTCTGGAAGAGATTTACGACAACTTTCAAGAAGAATCAATTGAGTTTCGAACTTTTTTCAAATCTCAACATTGGAAAACCATTCAAAGTCACAATTTGGATGAGAATTAATGTCAGAAACTCTGCTGAACTTCAGAAGAAAGATTATCCAGACTTCACCAAAAAACATCCAACTTCAAATGTTGAGCTTAGATTTGTGAAGTCAACTTCAAATCCGATTCCGGTTCAAAAACTCCACTGCAACATGCAACTTCTCCGTTTGAATTCCAAACTTTTCGCGGATTTTGGTAACAATTGGCATCGATTTTTCACTCTCGACGACAACATCGAGGAATTCATGGAGCTTCTGAAGCTAATCTATCCAGGTGGAACAAAAATCGATGATTCGAATGTCGTGTTTCTGATGAAACTTTCGGAAAAATACAAAATGCCACATGTTTTCGAGAAATGCACAAATGCAATCTCAGATTCAGGCTCGGAAATCAGCTTGGAAATCGCAATTTTCTTGGCCGACAAATATAAAATTCCAAATATTTTAAACAAAATCATGGGAAGAATTGTGGAATTCAAGCAAATTGAAGAGCTCGAAAGATCCAAATTCTATCAAAATTTTGGAGACGATACAAAATCGGCAATCACAGAGAAGAGCAAATTTTTGCGTTTGCAGTTAGCAGAAATCCACGAGCTTTTGGGTAGCATTTGCTTATACTGGCTCTGATTGCTCATGTTTAACAAACTTTTTTTGGCGCCAAAATCCACGTAGAAATTCATTTAACTCTTTCTGAATGTGCTTATCTTATTTTTTTCTTTTTTTTGTTAACTTTGAAATTTCCGGTTTACTAAAATAGTTTATTGCTCATTTTAATCTTTTGTTTGTGTTTTTTATTTCGAAATTTCTTTTCTTCCACGTGGAATTATTATATTTTTTTTGTTCGATTTTTTTTTGCATTGCTCATATTAATCTCATTGTTTTTTTTTTAGAATAAATACATTTTGGCGCCAAAAGTCCACGGTCCAAAAATTTCAGACTTTCAAAAATCTGAATTTTCAGGATGATTGCTCATGTTAGAGCATCATGTGAACTCTGAATCTATAGATTCAGCTAACTCTTTTTTGAAAATTTAGAGCTCAAAAAATTCTATCACCAGATTTTCCGAGGAAATTTCTCAGAATACAAATCACCTTCCCAAATCCCCGCTCCCGCTCCCCGTCAAAAATACTCACTCTGCTGCACGGGCTCATCCTCTTGCTCATCTTCATTAACCGGTTCAATATCTTCAGCTTGAGTAATCCAATCCAAATACCCTTTCAAATCCTCTTCCAATTGTTGTTTCTCTCGAAACTTCTGGAACAATCCTCTTGCTCTCGCCTTCTCTCGTTCCTTCGAAAATTCTCCCGACAAAACTCCCAAAACCAAATTGAGCACAAAAAATGAGCCAAGAATAACTAGTGTCACAAAATATATCCACGGCCATTCCCTTCCGACTGCATCATTTACCCATCCCATAACATCAGTCCAACCTTCGAGGGAAACACATTGAAATACGGTTAACATGGCTAGGCCGAAGTTATCGAAATTGGTGATTCCATTATTTGGTCCAGGCCAACCACTTGAATTCGAACATTCCCATTGAACACCTAGATCTGTCATTGATTTTGGTAGTTCACATTTGTAGGCACTTCCATCATTTCCACATGGTGTTGGCGAATTTTGAGCAATTTGTGATGTACTTTTGTCGATGCTGAAAATATTTGGAGTTAGGTTATATTAGGGGTGGATTTTAAGAGCAGCGAAAAAGCTCATCTTCAAAATGAACCTAAACTTTTTCCAAAAAATATTTGAAAAAAATTAGGTAACAAATTTTTTGAGGAGAACTAAAATTTCAGAGATTTTTCAAATTTTATTTTGAAAAACATATGTATTTAAATTCATCTTGTGCGAAATTTTAAACTCTTGAAAATTGTGCTTAAAAATTGAGCCTGATTTTTTATGAACATCATGTTTTAACTCATTTTGTTCCAAATTTTGAGCTCTTGCTCATGTTAATCTGAAATTCCCCAAAAACACTCACCAAGTCGAATGCAATTTTCCACAAAACAATTCCAATCCAATAATCGCATAGATCAAAATGACGAATAAAACGAGCAAGGCAATGTGTAAAAGTGGAATCATGGCTCTTAGAATCGCATTCAACACAACTTGTAAACTCGGAACACCGGAAACTAATCGAAGTGGTCGAAGGACACGAAATGCACGAAGAGCTTTTACATCGAATCCTTGATATGACATTTTTGATAGAATTGTACTTACTAGTCTGAAAAAACATTTTGCGGTTGAATGAGAAAATACTTTTTTTGTGGTGAAAAATTTCCCGGAAATCATACGTTTCGAATTTATTATAAGGCTTTCAGTATTTATTTATAGTTTGATATCTCTGTCCTCTGTACCATTCAATTCAAATCAAAAATAAGAAATTTGTACTTTTTGAAAATACAATTTTCGATTCAAAAATATTTTGCGAGAGCTCCGCTACCGCCCGTAAGCGATACAACACACAAAACACGTGAATATATAAATTTCTTGTGTGTACGACGGTTTACGGGTTGTGCGTGTTGCCATTGTTTGCTTGCAAAAGGGGCGGAGCTTAATTGAGGGAGCGCGGTTTTTTTTGCTTCAAAATCAAATTTTCAAGTGAATTTTGTTGAAAAGTCTGATTTTTTGCGTTTTTTAAAAAATTGTGTCCAAAAATATAACTCACCCAATAACAACAATAATAAAATCGAGAATATTCCAAGCATTCCGTAAATATGCTCCCGGATGAAACATAAACCCCATCGCCACAATTTTCAAAACACATTCAATTGTGAAAACGACGATGAACACGATTTCAATGTTTTCCTGCAATCAATGGTTTTTTGGTGGAAAAGAAAATTTCCAAAAAAATAAACTCACGAGCATTTGATTTTTCCGATCCGAATCCTGATTTGGATACGGTTGATATACAGCTAGAGCGATACAATTTGCACATATCATAAGTAGAATTAAAAATTCGAATGGTCTGGAAAAAAGAGAGGGTGTAAAAGCGGAGTATCGCTAGGAATTTAATTTTCCAAAACAAACAACACTCCACGATTCCGCTAAACTCAAAACAGTTCAAACTTGATGAATTTGAACCGCGTAAAAGCGGAGCATCGTTTCTCTTAATCCCAAAATCAACTCACTTCCATTCGACAATACTAATACACAATTTTCGAATCGGATTCGACAACGACAAACATAACAGCGATCTTTCGGATCTTTCGATCACATTCGTCTGACGCAGCGGTTTTCGTTGCGCCGGTCGCTTCTTCTGCTGATCTGTCGAGGAAGAAGCTGCGACTGCTGCCTGTAAAAAAAGATTTTTGAAAATTTTTTTCGAAACAGTAAATTTCAAATAATACTTGTTGTGTCTATCTGATTAATCTTTTTTTTTTCACAATGTTTTTCAGAAAATTTTGAAACAGTGAATTTTTGGGGAATTTTATTTCCCGAGAAATTTTTTTCAAAAAAAATGACATATATTTTTAAACTTTTTTTAAGCTCAAAAAAATCTGAAATTCAGAATTTTTCCTAAAAAACCTACTTTACCAGTCCTTTTATCGATTGTCAAATAACAATGATAACCCATATTCACAGTCACTTGAGAAAATAAAATAACTTTTCAGATTTTTCTCTCTTATTTCAAGGTTTCCATGGTTTTGCTTAACATACAAGTAAGTACAAAAAATTCCTTCCTAATCCCCCAAAAATGCTCAATTTCAAAAAAAAATTTATCGAGAAAAAAAACGTCTCAAATTTCTTCATGAATATAATTTGCATATCGGCTTGACTAATATTATTTTTCGCTTTTTTTGTTGGGAAAATGAGGGCAAATAAATAAGCCAAAGCCTAAGGTTAGGCTAAATTCAAGCATTTTCGGTCCCGCAAAAAATCGGAACAAAAAAAAAACTTTTTTTGCTCGTTAGTTGTGAAAAACTCGTCCGTCTTCTTCCTTTTTTGCTTGGCTTTAATCCAACGCCGAAAAAATGCACTTTTTCGGAGGGAAAAGCTCGAAAAAATTGAGGAGAAAAAAAGGAGAGCAAGGTTGAAGAGTGGGAGGAAAAGGAGAAGGAGGAAATTTGAATTTCAAAGTTCACGCGGTGCAGAAAAAAAATTTGGAAAAAAATGTTAGGCGGAATGTGGGTTCGAACCTGGGTTGCGCGGGCAAAAGGCTGTGATGCAAACCACTGGGCCACGCGTCTCTTTTTTTCAGCGGTGCAAAATGTCGCATATAAAACACGTGTTCGTTTTCTGAAATCTCCCAGTTCCCATTCAAAATTCCCCAAAATCTTTGTCTTTGTCCAAAAATAGCCACACGAAAACGTCAGAATTTTCGAAAAACAACAATTTCATCTTTCTCTCTCTATCGCTTCTCACAATTTTTCTCCAACCAGTTAAAAAATACACCACACACACACATCATCATCATTATTATTTCATTTGGAAAAAGCTCGCGCACAAAAAAAAGAAGAAGGCGAGAGATTGAGAGAGTGGCAGACGGTTAGAGAAAGAGATGATAAAAAATACGTTAACGTCTGCAGGATACTTATTACACCCGGCCGGGAAAAATTGAGGAGAGAGTATGCTATTTGGAGAGAGTGTTAGAGAAAAAGAGATGAGGAAACTCTTTTATCAATCTTTGACCAATGCGGAATTTTGGAGTAAAAATATTAAATTTTCAAAATTTTTCGCGCGAAAAAAAAACTCACAAATCTGAGCCACAACAATGGCAAAAGTCCATTCAGTCGATGTAAACCCAACATTTTTCAGTCAGATTTTTTTTTTCAAAATGAATTTTTCTTCCTGACACCACCCCAAATCCATTGGTGAACAAGATTTATATTTTCAAATTTCCGGGAACCATAAATTCTACCAAATTTTTAATTTCAAAGCCCATAAATTCCAACCAACCTGTAATGTCTGTTGCCATAAATCGGATCTCTCTTGTTCGTCGGCCGCCGCCTGATCCTCATCTTCCCCCGATGACATCATACTCGCTAACACTGCAAAAATCAAAAATTTTGATTTAAAAAAATAGTAGGGCCCACGAGGAACCGAACCCTTGACCTATTGGGTGATAAATTTGGATAAAAACTGTCACTGACGCATTTTTGGTTTACCTTAGCTCAATTGCGGGAAAAAAGATTTGACTGGCATTTTCGAAGCTACAAAATCTACGCCAAGGCAAACATTTACTGACGCTTATTTTGAAGGAGCTTCGAAAAATTGTGTTCGAAACGCTCCTAACGCATTTTCAGTGCATTTTTCTCATAAAATCTTAATTCTAACACAAAAAATGGGTCAGCAAAGAAATGGCTGACACATTTCATTCACAAACTACAAAATCTGTGTCAGCAGAGTTTCACTGACCCATATTATGCGTGGCGTATTCTTTGGGGGTTTAAAGTTGATCTACTCTTGGTCAACTGACGCATTTTCGGTGCAATCTACGGAATCAGCGTCAACAAACGTTTTTTTTAAAGATAAGCGTCAGCAAGCCTCCCTGACGCGTATTTTTCGCGCTAAACCACCGTGACTCATCCAAAAAAAATCTATATTTTTGCGGTTGGCACAACAAAAAAGATAAGTGCGCGGGAAGAAGAAGACAGTTGGGCTCGCGCGCGAGAAAATGTCGATTTGAAAAACAAAAGCACATCCACCACTTGAAAACCAAGAGATAATCAAAACAAACAATTTCGCTTCATGACTGCGATAAAAATTGCGTCAGTGTAGGTTTTGTTGGCGTATTTTGAAAAGGTGCACCGAAAACACGTCAGTGACTCTCTAGCTGACGTATTTCTGGTATCTAAGAATGCATACCAAAAGCTTTTTTGCACCACAAACAGGTCAGTAACACATATACTGACGCATTTTTGGTATTTCCCACGACTCACCTGACATTTCGGCGTGCTGCTCTTCATGCGAGCCAATTTGATTTCGAGAAGGCCACACCGTGTGATGTCTGCCTCTCTCGCTCTCTCGCTTCTCTTCTCTGCGTCTCTAACCAAACCAAAATTTGATCGTCGATCAAATTTTGCAAGGTGTTGGAGGTGGGGGGAGATTTTTGGCGCAACAACGCCAAAAATTCTGCTGTTTGTTGTGACGAGAGAAGATTTCGTGTGGGTCTTCTGGAAAAAATGGCGGGTGATTTTGGAATTTGATTTTTTTCGAGAGAAAAAGGAAAAAAATCAATAATTCGAAAAAATGAAATTTAAGAAAACGGGTCAAGAATATTTGGAGAAAAATCAGAATGTTCTGAAAAAAATTCCTCGTGGAAACTTTGAACACAAAAAGTAAAAAATTCGAAATCCTGAAATTTTTGCTAATTTTTTGGGTCAGAAGAACAATCTACAGTACTGTTTGAAAAAGGTTTCAAAAATGGTAGGTCAAAAAAATACAGTACCCTCTGAAGCTCGGATATGTACGTGGCAAACAAGTTATCTACAGTATGATTTAGAAGATTCTAAAATTGTAGATCACAAAAATACAGTACCGTTTAAAAAATTCTAAAACATGGTAGATCAAATTTATAGTGCTCAAACATGTAGCAAAACTACAGTATCAAATTTTCGGGATAATCCGAAAAAATGTGCAAACTACAAAAAAAGCACTCCAAAAATGCTCAATTTTTTCCGGGGAAAAAACGGGAACCATTTTTTCGCTTTTCCGAATTTTAAAAATAAAAGTTTCACGTGTCTGAAAATCCACACAGCAAACAGAATTCTAGATGATAAAAACACGCAGCGAGATGGTCTGCACCTTTTCCCCCAGTCAAAAAAAACGCGCGTAGTCGAGTGGTTTAAGGCGCTGCACGCAACCTAGCAGCGCTTTTGCTCGCAGGTTCGACCCCGCATGCGCGCAATATATTTTTGCAATTGTATCTCAAAATACAGTGTTTTCTAAAATCCCTAAAAAAAATTGTAGATATAAGTATAATATATATACCCGCAAGCCAATCAATAATAAGCAAAAAAAAGAAGAGAGAGAGAGAGAGAGAGAAAAGAGCTCTGAGCTCTCTTTTCCCTTATTTTTTCTTGCTCTGCGCCAGTTGTGCTTTTCCTTCTGCTTCAGAGAGTGCGGAGAAATGAGAGAGTGCTAGAGAGAGAAAGACAGAGAAAGGATATCTGTTGGATTTCTTTGGGGGGAAAGGAGAGCAAAAGCAAAAAGAGTGTGTGTTCTATTGAATTACTGCGAGATGAGAAGAAGAAGAATAAGGGAAACAGCGAAGAAGAAATATTGAGAGATCTTTGAGATGAGAGATTCTTGATTTGGTTTGGCGTGGAGCCATGAATTTTGGGGATTTTTGAGCGAAAAATGGGAATTCTCTATGCCAAGAAGGATCAGCGTCCCTGGAAATTCTAGTTCTCAAGCATCCGAGCCTTGCTAACCCAATTGTCAAGGACACACGCCTAGAAATCCATTTTGATAAGGAACCGCACCTTGAGAGCTTCTATGGCAAGTAGTCAAGCCTAGACATTCTAGTCGTCAAGTAGCCGCGTCTAGATAACCTTGTTGTCTAGGACCGACGTCTAGAAATCTACCTTGGCAAGCATCCGCGCCTTGAGATTCCCTAAATCAAGCAGCCGCTCCTATAAAGTTCACTTCTCAAGCATCGGCGCCTATAGATTCTAATTTGTAAGTAGCCGAGCCTTAATTTCATCAGAAAATTTTAAAAAATCGTAAAATCATGATTTTTTAGCTCAATTTGGAAAAATTCAAATTTTTCTTTCAAAAAATTGAAACAAAAAATTCCACGTCATAAAATAAAAGGGATTTTCCATGACCGGAAACGAAAAAAAACGGAAATTGCAGAGTCTGAAACTTTTGAAATTTTCTGGAAAATTTCGGCATCAAAATCTAGGTCAAAATCCAAAACTTTCTGGCTATACAAAGCCCCCCCCCCCCTAAAAAAGCAAAAAGCAAAGAAAAATAAGAAAAAAAGTGATGAATCAAGTAAACAAAACAAATTGAAGAAAAAAAGAAGACTGGTGGACATTTCCATCAAAAAAATATAATATTTTCTTTTTTTTTGTGTGTGTGTATTGAAAAAAATATGAAAAACAATCGGGTTGGTGGTCAAAAAAATTGGGTAGATCAAATTTTGGGCTTACCAATTTTTCCAAAAAAAATCTCAAAAAGAAAAAAAATCAATTTCTGAATTTATTCAGCTGCTCAGCCTTGCCAAGAAAAAATTCGAGTAAACAAATTTCGAAATTTTCATGAATCATAGAGAAATCAGAAAAAAAACATTGCCACGTGGCAAATTATTCGGTCTAGAAAATAAGGTATAGGTCAAAATTCTGATCTATAAAATTTTGAAACATTTGTGGAACTTCAGATTTCTTCTAATTTAAAAATCTGTATTTTTCACTATAAATTCTGCCACGTGGAATCCAGACTTCCAATTTTAAAAATTCAAAATTTGATCTATCAAATTTCAGGTCCATAAAATTTTAACAAAAAAAGTGAAACTTTGCCACGTGGATTTAGCGCTCCAAAATTCCAATTTGAAAATTTCAAATTTTGGTAGAAATATTTAGATCTACGAAATTGCAACAGAAAATTTGAATTTTGCCACGTGGACTTCTGGATCTACCAAATTTCAGAGCTAAAAAAATCAACTATACAAAAATGTCCTCCGAAAAGCCACAAAAAATGTGTTGGGTGTCGGTCGAAAAATAATAAATCTTCGCGTTTCGCCGCGCCAAAAAATAATAATTTTTTCCCCTCTTCATTTTCGGTGGGCCCCCAACCAAACCTATTGTTTTTTTTTCAAAAAAATGAAAAAAAAGAAACCAGGTTGTTTTCAGCACAAAAAAAGAAGGCAAAAAAAATGAGTAGAGCGAAAAAAAAACTAGTGATGACTTCAAAAAGTCGTGCTCGCGGAGCACAAAAAAATAGAAGAAGCTAGCGAAAAAAACGAGAAGAAGAAGAAGAAGCGAAAAAATCGCGTGTTCGGAAAAAAATACGAGAGATTGAGAGATGGCAGACGCAGACAGAAAGAAGAAGAAGACACATACTACTCATCCACCCCCACTTTTCCCCCGCCAGTTTACTCTTATTTTTCCAGAGATAATATTTTTCGTGGATTTTCGGGTCCTGGAACGACAGCAGAGCAGAGAAGAGTACTGTGGCTTTGAGACTTTTCCAAAAAAAAATAAATTTTGAAATTTCTGATACTGTAATTTTGAAAAGGGAACAAATTGTGTAAATTTTAGGTCTTGATACGATTTTTGACGGAGTACTGTGGCTTTCAGACTTTTCCAAAAAAAAAAATTGACCATATTTAGATTGAGGATTACTGTAGATAAAAATTCTCAGTTTTGCTAAATCCTGCCACGATTCACTAAAGGAGTACTGTAATTCTTAATATTGAAACATGAGCTGGTTTTGGGTCCTGCCACGATTTTCAACCAGAGGGGAGTACTGTAATTTTTCAAAATAACACAAACTTCTATGGGTTTTGTCACGATCTACTAATAAAGTACTGTAACTATTTTGAAGCGGGAAATATTGAGTAAAATGTTGGGTCTTAAAGCGATCTCGACACGATTTTCTTATGGAGTACTGTAATCAAATTGTTTTCAGAAATATAGTCAGTTAACTCCAAAGAACGAAAAAAAATCTCATTTTTCGAAATTTTCTTTTAAAAAACTAAAAAACCACATGTTGTAACTAAAACAACATGTTGGAAGAAAAACGAAAAGAAAATACGAGGCGATAATAAAAGTTTTGCAGATTTTTTCATGAAAAAATGGAATTTGCCACGTGGCAGGAATGGTTACGGATCTCTCTAATTTAGAAATTCTTGAAAACTTAAAATCCAGATTTTTCTGGTTACTGTAGCTCAAAAAATGATGTCAAAAATCTACAGTCTGAGTTACTGTAGCTCGAATTCTGATGTAAAAATTTGAATAATTTTGGATGATTTTGGCCCTGAAAAATACTATCCAAGGGTACTGTAGATCACGAAAAAATACAGATTTTCTAGATTACTGTAGCTCAAAGTTTCCTCCCAAAAAAGTTCAAAAACCATAGATTCGATTCGCCCGCGCACATTTTTTGATAGAAAAAAATTTAGCAAGATGAAAATGAGAGAACAGAGAAAAAGAGCGGGATTTTCCCAGAACAAAAAAAAACAGTGCGCGACTTTTATCTCAAAAAAACAAAAAATATCGGATTTGGAGGACAAAAAATGAGGGAGAAATGTTGATGTTTACCTAGCCGAAAGAAAGAAAGAAAGAGCACTCAAAAAAGCACAGACAGACAATTTTGTGCGCGTTTTTTGGTGGAAAAATTGAGATGAGATGTGATAAGTATGATGAAGAATGGAAAAAAATTGGAAAAAAAAACGACGCCAAGAAGTTTTGGCGGGGGAAAATTGTATTTGTTTGGTATAGATCAGAAATATTTTTTTTGATCTACCCAGAAAATTTTTTGAAAAACTTGAGACCTAATCTTTTTCTCTCCAAAAAACTCACTTTTTCGAATATCCCACCCACTGTAAATACGTAGCATCGTTTGGATTCAAAATATACATCTGAAAATTCAATTTCAGATTTTCCTGAAATTTTTTTCTGAAAAAAAATACCTGAAATTGAAAATTCAGACTGCTGCTTGAGGCAAGTAGAAAATTCAAAAATAAATTTTTTTCAGAAATAAATTCCCGTGGATTTTTTTTTTGGAATTTCACGTTTTCAATTTATTTTTCGCGAAAAATTTTAAACAGAAAAAAATATTGAAAATAAACAAAAAATTAATATTTTTGACGTGACCTTTCAAATTCCACGTGTCAAAAATTGCCATGTGTGATTTTTTGTCATTTGGAAAAATATTCGGTTTTTTTTCAATTTTTTTGGTTTTGGTCGCTGAATTTCAGGTTTTCGCGTGAAAAACCTGCATTTTCTGAAATTTTTTTTCCAGAATGCTGAAAATCATCACCATCCTTCTACTATCCATATTTCTTCTCCCAATTTCTGCCGCCAAAATCCACGTGGATTACTGTATTTCATGCGGCTACCAACAATCCTATAATCAACTAAAACAAGAAGTTCAAGAAAAATATCCGGAAATCGAAATTTCTGGCGAAAACTATGCTCGCAATTCATATCTTCGAAATCTCGCGGACTTTCTCGAACTCGCCAAAATGTGCATCATTTTATCGATTTTATCCGGATTTTTGGGGCGATTCCAGAATTTCGCATGGATTTTCGATAATTTGAACACGAATCGATTGCGTAGTTGTTTGATAATTTATTCGACCGGCTCACTTTTTTGCTCATTTTTGATGAGTTCCGGAGCATTTGAGGTGCATTTTGATGGAAAATTGATTTGGAGCAAATTGGAGAAAGGAGCATTTCCGGAAAATGAGCACATTTTGGAGATTATTGGAAAATTGATGGGACTGGCTGGGAATTTGGAAAATCAACAGGAAGCTGACGAATTTTTGTGAGAATTTATTTGTTTTAATTGAAATTAAATTAAATTATGAATGCAACGTAATAATAAATTATTTTTGACTGAAAAACTGGGGGTATATGAATTCAAGAAAAAAATATTCAAAATTTTTTGATAAAATTTTGAAACAGTGAAATTTTTCACAAAATATTTTTTCTTCAATTTTTTGTGCGTAGAATTTACTCCGAATAAAAAATAGGAAAACCGAAAATTATTTGATAAACTTTTGAAACAGTGATTTTTTTAGAGAGAAAAAATTTTTTAAATTTAATATTCAAAGTTTCAAATTGCATCAATTTTGAAATATAACCAAAAATTCAAAAATTTTGGGATTGCTCATATTAGCCTCAATGTTTCATCACGATGTTTTATTGCATCAAAAAATACTTTAAAAACGTCGAAAATGCATTATTCTCAAAAATAAAAAAAGTTAAAGCGTTAAAAAAGAGAAAATCTGTTGTGTGGGGGAAAATTAAAAAATGGAGGAATGATGAGAAAAAATAACAAAAAAATTAACAAAAATTAGGTTTTTAAAAGGGGGGTCAAAAAAAGAGAGCGCTTTACCACGGATTTTGCTAAACGAGAAGAGACCGGTAAATTTAAAAAAAAAAAGAACTTTTTGTATGGGGACAAAAATAACAAGAAACTACTACCTCTAGAGAAAAAGAGAAAAACGAAAAGGGAACAAAAATATGCAAAAATTGGGCGATTTTTTTTGGGGGAAGATGAAAAGAAAAAGTTTAGAAAAACAATTTCAAAACCGAATCTTGGGATGTTTGTCCAGTTCCGAATGATAAAATATGAAGAAGTGTCATTGCGCCAGCAGATAAAAGTCCTGTAAAAATTAGAAAATTAGGAGGATTCGAAAATAATGGAAAAGTTTTTGCTGTTTTAAAAAATTTTGAGATTAAAAATCAAAAACTTCGGAAAATCTGGTATTACTCATACTAACCAAATAGAAAAAAGGCCCAATTTCAGCCTAAAAATGCGGAATTTTCAGAAAAGGTCTACAATTCGGCCTGAACATCAAAAAAAACAATTTTTAGGGCCGAATTTGGATGTTTCCATGAATTTATGGATTTTTTCAGGCCAGAAATCAGGCCGTGCTTCGAATTTATTGATTTTCGGGGGAACTTGGGCTTTAAATTTAGGATTTCTAGGCTTTTTGCTGAAGCGGACTAGCCTGGACCGTATTTTCATGCTGAAATTTCAGTTTTTCATGAAAATTCCCCCTAAAACCTCGAAAATCGGAAAAAGTCCCAAAATTTGACCAAAACACTGTAATTCCCCCAAAAAGCTTACCAGCAACAGGCAGCGTAACAATCCATGAGAGCGAAATATTCCTAAACACTCCCCAATCAACTTGATGATTCGCTTGAACCAATCCAACCGCTACAACACTTCCAACTTTGCATTGTGTCGACGAAATTGGCATTCCGAATTTCGAGGCAATCAGAACTGTCACAGCACTTCCAAATTCAACAGCAAACCCGGAAGCCGGTGTGATTTTTGTCAAATTCTCTCCAACAGTATAGATGACACGATGTCCCAAAACCCACAATCCTAAGCACATTCCAGCTGATCCGTATAATAAAATCCACCAAGGAGTTGGCATCGATTCCGAATTTTGACCATGTGATTGATATAAAACCAGGGCGACTAATGGTGCAATCGCATTCGACACATCATTTCCACCGTGAGCAAATCCACCAAAACAAGCTGTCATCACTTGTAAAAGTGAGAAAAGTTTCGAAGCTTGTGGATCTTCCGGTTTACAGCTACGGAAAAATGAGGCTAAAGATGAAGCGGGGCGAATTGTATTGTTGTTTTTCGAGTTAGACGAACTTGTGATACCTTCATCTGTGCTTGGTCGAGTTACAACAATTTTCGGTTGATCTTCGTCGTTTTCGCTCAAAAATGGTGTTTTTTGTTGTTTTTCTTGCAAACTTGTGCCATTTTCCAAATCTTTCGGGTTGTTGTTATTGTTTTTTTCGTTGTGATGCGATTTTCGACGTTCTGTCATTTCGACCAATTCTTTGCCTGCAAAAATTTTTTGAATGAAATTTCCACTTTTCCGTACGTGAAAACCCCGCAAATAATACGTTTCAAAAAATACATTTCTTGGGTATACTTTTTGTCGAAGTATTAACTGTATGTTCTATTCATTTTTTTAAATTTCAACCAAAAAAATTGTAAATTCAAGATTTTTATTCTAAAAATTACCAATTTCAAGAATCATGTTTTAGAGCTGAAAATCCCAGACAAACTCGAATATTTAGAAGAAATTAAAACATTTCTCAAAAAATATCTTTTTTGCAAGAGGAAATTTCAGCCTAAAACCAGTCACATTTTTTTTCAGAAAAATTTACGTTTCAAAATTTTGAGAAAATTAATTTTCAAAAATACGCTCCAATTTTCCGCCCCGCTTACTAGGAACAATTTATGTTTTTCTCAAATGATTTTTGAAATATAATAAGACCAAAATTACAGAAAAAAACTCACTCAAAATATGATTTTTCAAATATGGAGCCAAGAAAAATGCAAAAATCAGAGCGACAGCCAATCCAACAGCACAAGAAATCATCAAACATTGTGCCAATGTCAATTTGTCCAAATACAAAAATTCGGGACCATGAAAAACGATGGCGAAAACGTTGAAGGCAAAACAGATGAAATAGAGGACTGGAAGCACACGAATTCCGCTGTGAAGTGGTTCTTTCTGCAAAAATAGAGGTTTTGGTGGGAAAATTGCGGGGAAATGGTGAATTTTTGATATTTTCTGGTTGAAAATTTATTATTTCCTATTTCCTATTTACTAATTGAGATTCTTTCAAAATTTCAAATATAACAATACTGAAACAGTGAAATTTTTTTTTACCGAAATCTTGGTTTTTTCCGGGCTCATAATTTTCACATTTTTTTTTTCAGAATTTTGATCTCAAAAACGAGCAGATTTAGTTTCAAAAATCCCAATTTCTCCATGATTCCCCTTCGAAAAATCCCCAAGCATTTTTCAAAAAAACTTTTTATTTGTATTTTGGAACAGCTGTCAGTTCAAAGAAACTTCAAATCTCTCTCATTACACTTTTCGCGGCAGCAGGGAAACTCAACAAAAATCACGCAAAAAACTTACTCTTCTCAATACAAGATGATCGAGTGACGTATAAATAATAACCGATGTGAGACCAGATGAAAGTGGTGAGATGACCCATGAAAGGACTGTAAAACAATTAAGAAATTAGGGGAAATTGGAAAATTTTTTATGCAGAAATTCTCAAAATTTTTGAAACAGTGAAAAAATTCATATTTTAATTTTTGCAGAAAAATGTGATCTGGTTGTAAATACATTAATTTTGAGCTAAAAATTCGAATTAATACTCAAAATTTTCCCAATTTTATAGGAGTTCTGGAAATAACCCATGAAAGGACTGTAAAGAATGAAACATTGGGAAAGATTGGGGATTTTTAGGGCCTAACAGTTCGGCAGAAAATTAGATGTTTTAGCGTCAAATTTAGGGTATTTTTCTAGTGCATCAGAAATTCTCAAAACTTTTTGAAACAGTGAAAAAATTTCATTTTCAAAATCTAGATTTTCTGGAGCAAAATAACCCCAGAAATATGAAATTTTCGTCAAATTCAAAGGGAAAATAAAAAAACAAATGAAATTTCAGCGATTTTTGAATCGAGATTAGATATTTCAAATAAAACTTGAATTTTGGGTCAAATTTTGTCAAAATTTACGCACAATGAGCCATTTTTCGAATTTTTAATGAAAAATTCGATTTTTAAAGTTCCCAGGTCAAAAAACCATGAAAAATTCAAAATTTCAGCCCAAAACCCGAAAATCAACTCACAAATGCGATAAATCTTATGCCAAACAATCGCCTGTGTTCCAAAAACAACCAACGCAAATCCAATTGTTGCGCCAACAATTGAATGAGTCGTTGAGACGGGCAGCTTGAAAGCGGTCGCCAATAACATCCACGCTCCACATCCGGCTAATATTGCTATTTGTCCCAACATCATTTCTGAAAAAACATTTGAGGGTTTTAAAGTAATTTTGGATAAAAATCTGATTTTTTGAGGTTTCAAATTTTGAAAATTACATGTTTTTGGTCCTGGAGCGATTTTTCAGCTGAAAATTTGTATCCTGGAGCGATGATTTTAGTCTAGCCGCCCAGAAACCCGCTCTGAGATCCGAAAATTCGATTTTTTCAGTTTCATGGTCAACAAAATCGCTCCAAGACCCAGAGATCCAATTTTTCGATTTAGAAGCTGAAAAATCGCTCCCGGACCCATATTTTCATGAAAAATTCATGAAAAAAACTATCATTAGGCTAGAAATAGCCAAAAATCCATAATATTTCAATATTTTTCCCATTAAAATCCACAAACCTTGAATCAATCTCGTAGATGCATCAGAATCAACAGCAGATGTCGAATTTCCAACCACTCCAGTCAACGAATCAAAATCGATAACACCTTTTCGCATTGTATCAGTTACTTGATGTCCCAAAAGACATGCGCCAAGTGTTTCGAAAATACTCGCAAGAATATAGGCTTGATGGAGTGTGACGACTTTACTTCCAACTGATGTTCCGAATGAATTTGCTGTATCGTTTGCACCAATTGCAAATGCCAAAATAAAGGCGATGATTGCGCCAATTGCGACAAGTGTGAATGGTTCAAGAATCATTTTTGCGAATTGAATTTGTGAAGAGATTCTGAAAAAAATCAAGAATTAAAATATTGAAACAGTGAAAAAAATTAACAAAAAAAACATTTTTTCTACATAAAATTTCAATTAAGCTCATATTTTTATTGAAAAAAAAATTCTGAAAAATGAAAATTACTGTTAACTTTTAAAAAATCTTATTCTTTGCTTGAAAAAAGAGAGTTTGAATATTGGCAATTTTTTCACGTCCCGAAGCGAAAAATTCGGTTTTTTAAATTAAAAATAAGGTCCCGAAGTCATTTTCTTGGTCTAAAACCAAGAAAATCGCGTCGAGACTCAATATTCTCGGTGGAGGACCTGAAAAATCGCCACAGGACACAACAAATCCGAGTTTTGAGTTCTAGCACTCTGAAAATCAAATTTCCATGAAAAATTCACGAAAATCGAATTTTCCAAGAACACATTTCGAAACAAAAAAAGAAAAGTTGAGAAAATCGAATTTTCTGGCAAATTTTCAAGCTCAAAAAGAACTACAAAAATAAAAGATTTCTTTTCGATTCACTATATTTAAACCAATAAAACAGCGCCCCAAAAAACGTCAAAAACCAGGTGACAAAAACTGATAAGCTCATTTTTTGTGTTGAAAAAAGCTACTTTATCAATTTTATTATTTACCGCCTCCGGGAATTCTTCTAAAAATAAACAATCTTTAATATCTGATAGCACAGAAAAAAGGAAACCCCCAAGAAAAATTCAATTTTCCAGATTACTTATAAAAAATTCCCATTCTTCTAGAAAAAACTAACAAGATTTTAGCTTTTGTTTCTGAAAAATTGAATTTTTTTTTCGAAAAATGTCATTTTCAGTATAATTTCCAGATGAAATCATCAAATTGAATATAAATTTCCGCTTTTTTGAGTAATAAAATTTTCGAGTTCCAGGAAATTAAAATGAACTTTTGCGGTTCAAAGATCAGAATTTTTATGGACAAATTTTATTTCAACCAACAAAAAAGGAGTAGCTTATCAATTTTTGTCAGCTGGTTTTGTCGTTTTTTGTGCTCTTTTATTGGTTTACAATAGATCGTGCTTATTTTGGGCAAAAAAAGAAATTTTTTCGATAAAAATGTTTGATCAAATCAAACCTTTTCCGACTGAAATTTGATTTTGCTGTCTGAAAATCAGAAATTCAAATTTCAGACTAATAATTCTAGAAATATCATTTCAAAGTCCGAAACCACAAATAATTTCCCTTTGAAATGATATTTCTAGAATTATTAGTCTGAAATTTGAATTTCTAATTTTCAGACATCAAAATCAAATTTCAGTCAGAAAATGTTCGATTTGACCAAACATTTTTATTTGAAAAGTTGGTTTACAATCTGAAATTTGTGATTTTTCATTGGAACTCAGGAAATTTTGGGCAACGATTTAGCAAGTTGCTGCCCTCTCGCAACTTGCTATCTCCTTGCTGCACTTTTAGCGACTCGCGCGATTCTTGCTGCATTTTTAGGTTGCAATTTGTGTCATGAATTTGGTCCAGCAAGTTGCGAAATTCTTGCTGGATCCATTTTTATTGAGATGGATAGTGGGCGGAACATTTTTTTTTGAAAGCATGCCAATAGGCAAAACTCATTTTTTGTCGGGCAGAAAATAATTATAAATTGGTCCCGAGGACATCTCTACAAGTTATTGAGGGGTGTTTTTTATTGCTATGGCATTACAATGCTACAGTACTGCCAATAACTAAATTAATTTTGATCTCGACAAACTTTGTCTTTCATAATAAAAAAAAGAATGAACCTCTAATTTTTTTTCTCGAAATTTGTTCAGCAACTCGCGGGTTTCTTGCCGATTACGAAAAAAGAAAATCTCGCTTGCTACAATAGGCGATTCCGCGGCAAACTAGTGTCCGAACCGCATGTTTTAGCAAGCAGAATCGCGCATTCTGGTCAGCAAAATTGCGAAAAATCTCCTGAGGAAATGCAGAAGTCTTAGACCAAATTTTCACAAGTTTAGCTCAATTTTCAACCCCAAAACATGCTCACCTTTCAAAAAAATTCAAAAATCTGTCAGTCAATCAAAATCAGAAGTATGTGTGGTTCTCAGAATGTGTGAATGCTTTCGGCTCGCGCGTTTTGCAGCAATAATGGCCCTGTCGCCTTTGGAATAGGCGAAAACGGTGACAACGACTTGAGACGACTCGCCGTACACTTCACTTCCCGGGAACGATAATTACCCCTGCAAAAAAAAACAAATGAATGCGGGGGTTTTTTGTTGAAAATCTTATCAAAGTGATGTGTGAAAAATGAAGGAAAAAAACACAATGATATCACTGCTATCAAAAAGTTGTACAAAATAGTTTTTGTCTTGGACATGACACTTTTTGTCCGCAAAAAACCAATAGGTGGTCTTTTTTCAATAAAAAAGGATGTTCTTTGAATGATAATACAACGTGCGAAAAATCGCCCTTGGGAGGAAACGAGATTTTTGATTAGTTAGTTGGGAAGTTCGACGAAATATTTCGTGGTGGGACCAAAGTTCGGGCAACTTGAAATATATTTTACGAAAAATGGGTCTCGCAGAGAATTCGCGAAATTGAACCCTATAGAATCGTTGCGAGACTAAGAGACGAGAGATCTATGCGCCTTGAACAAGGACGGGCTCTTATTACAAGGTTTAAGTGAATTCGGACTTTGGTCCAAGAATCTATGGTCTCGGATTGAATTCGCAACTAACAGAATCGTTGCGAGACCAAAAAAAAACAAGAAGCTTCAAAAATTCAAATGTGATTTTTCAACGATTTCACAACAATTTTCTAGACGAAGAAAGGCCAGTACACTGTGAGTTTGACTACAATAAAACAAGAGCTCTTCAATAAAAAATCCTCAAAAAGTTCATCAGATTATTGAAACAATAGTCTATGGCTTCTCCTCGCAAAAAAGCCAATTTTCAATTGAATCGAGCAAGAAAAAAATCAACAAAGTTCCCTTTTTCATTTCATTTCATCTATTTGCTTTCAAAGTCCGCACAAACAATAAAAAGCGAAGAAAAAGACGAAGAATCGAGTTACGCAAACACCCAACTCTTTGACCTTTTATCACAGATTTTTTCAATTTTATTTTTGAGCAAAAAAACTCTGATCGCTCTTTAAATTATCAACAAAAATTCAACAAATCGATAAAAATTTGGTGTAAAAATATGTCCTATGTCAAAGTTCGGAAGATTGGAAAATGAGGGAAAAAAGAATAGAGAAGAGAAAGAGAATTTCTGATCTGATGTGAGCAAAAAAAGATAAATATATATTTTATTGTGATGAGATGAGAAACTAATCGCTTTTTTTTTGAGATGAAAAAGTTTTTTTAATTTCGAAAATTCTTTCGAGAGAAACTTGAATTATTTGAACACCTGGCTATATATTTTTCGCAGATTTTCAACAATTTTCGAGCTTTCTATAACTTTGGCAGTTAAAAGTACATCGGACTGTATTTAATTTCAGAGAACTTTGATTTCACAGCCATTTTTTCATCAGAATTCGAAAAATTAAAAACGTTGTGAAATCAGAATTCAAAAGTATTCATCTTAAAACTCTGAAACACCAACTTTGCCACGTCATAACGATATTTTGGGCGGAAGTAAATTTATTCGATGAGAAACTCTGCAGGATATTTTTGAAAGAATGATTCTTTGTTCAAAACGCCGTGACCTATGACGTGGCAATTTCTGATTCATTATTTGTACAAACAAATATTGTGAAACAATATTTTTTTGTTCGAAAAATGACAAATTTTGCTTCGCATAGAGGCTGGAGAGATTTTAAGACAAAAATGTAGTTAGCATCCAAATTTCAGCTCAAATTTACAGCACTTCGGGGAATTTTCGATCTACTATGAAAATTTAAGACTTTTCCCTAGAAATCCAGCAAAAGAATAAAGTCTTCAGTATTATTTCAGGTTAATCCCCTGTGCGAAAAAACACTTTCTTAAATTAATCTAATCCTTTCACGGATAAACAAACTCTAAATTAGAAATTCTTTGATAAAATTCTTTGATAAATCACGAACTTTCAGACAACATTCTTTGAGCCTTTCTCAAAAAAGTGCCACTTTTCCCTAGGAGCTCTCAAAAAACGAAAAAAAAGCTTTCAAGAAGAGTTCTGACAATTTTTTGGTCTGAAAAAGAATCCATCAGAAATCCCTCAGGACTTCAAAGACCTCCTGGTTTTAAAGAAAACGTGACTTTCAAAAGACCAAAACCTACAGTAACCAGGCCTGCGCATCAATTTTCAAAGATAAATAAATTTCTCTTCTTCATTTTTTGCGTCTGCAAAAAAAGATAGCGAAAATGTGTGTGTGTGTTCTTCATCATCAATTTTTCGTCGCAAAAAATGACACACAAAAAGTGGGCGTGGCTTGTGATTTTTCACGGACAAAATGTGGTTTTTCAATGCCCCGAGGCCAAAAGACGTTTTTGGGCACGGAAAGAAGAAGAAGAAGAAGCTGAGAAGAACGGCGGACCACGCAAATAGGATCGAATTTCGATTCGGCCAGAAATTTTGAGACAACAAAAATGGTATGATATATCTGTTGGAATAGATAGAAAAGTCTTTGGTTGAAAGGACAACTGTACTTTTTTGTATGCATTTTTGAGAAAGGTGACAGATGGAACTGTCTGATGAAAAAAGGAGAATCTGAGGAGCCAGATTAAGTTCAGCTGTTGAACTTTTGGACTATTTTGTAACTGATACGAAGTGGAAAATCTTGTTTTTTAGCAAAAACCAGGAATTTTCATAGTTAAAACATGATGAATTTGTTTTAACCATGTTTTTCTATAAACTTCCTTATGTTCCAGTAAAAATTGACGATATTCTGTTTCCAACTACTCGAAAAAATATAACTATAAATTTGGATCTCTAAGACATGGGATTTTGACCATTTCGAGTGTAGCTATGATCTAAATCCCTATAAAACTCAATTTCCCATGGTAAATTGATGTACAGCTCTGAAAAATTTCTGAAACTTTTTCAGATTCCGAAGTTCAAAATCAAAAGTACAATTTTGTACAGTTTCATCTCGAAGAATTCTCAGACATCAAAAGTTCCTCTATATTTTCAGCCAAACCTAATCTTATCAAAAAGATGTTCAATCATGTTAACACCGTGTTTTGGTACAGACACAAAATTGTGTGGGTGAAACATACAGAATTGAACATTCCTTATCTCAAAAAATTTTTCAAAAATAAATTCTGCACTTGACAAAAGTGCACAAAAACAACAAATTCTATATATTTTTCATTTTCGTCCCAAAATACTTTTATAGTTATCAAATTTCCGTTTTTCTTCCTATTGACAACTATAACTAGATAGGTATACTTTTCAGTTTTTTTGTTTTTTTTTTCGAAAAAAAAGTAACACGACAGTTGTTCAACTGGAAAATGAGGCAAAATATTGCCGTCATGCTATTTTCAGCGAAAAAAACATCGTAGATCAAAAAAAAGTGGAAAAAGTGCTATTTATGACGATGAAACGGAAGTTTTTACGTATTTAGTTTTGGGTCTTGAAAACGGAACTTTTTTCGACATGAAAATTGAGGTCAAAGTTGAGGTTAGAAGCTCAATTTGGGCTAACGAGAAAAGGTTTTCGAAAGGCTTCCAAAAATGCGATTTCTTGACAATTAGCTAATAATTATGCTCTTGAGAAATTCGTAGAGTTAAAACCGAAAGCGGGATCTTTTCCAGCGTCAAAAACTATACAAAGTTCACACAAGAAGATGAAACTCTATTTTCGGAATGAAAATTCGAATACCGGAAGTTAGGCTAATTGCAATATGAAACATTCAAACTAGACCAAGACCAAGAACTAAAAATAAAAAAAAATAATTGAAAATTGGTTTCAGCTGTGCAAAAAGCAGCCAATTTCAAAGTTCATCGGAATAAAAAACAATTGAAAAAATCCTGGAAAAATGAATAGTTAACCTAACTGTGTTCACTAAAAACCCAGAAAATTTAACGAAGCACGACTGAAAACAATAAAAATATAATAAACGACGAATTCTCCGAAAAACCAAAGCTTAAAAACAAATTCATATTTCATAACTGCCTAGAACCCACAGAAAAATGACGAAATCACGTCGGAAAAACAGCAAAGTTCAACAACGTCGGCTGAAAAAACGAAACAACACAAAATAAGCCAAAGGAAAATATCTGCCTCTGACTGGCCTAAAAAAATACGTTGTCTCACTCACACTCATTGACAAAAGAAGGAGGAAGGAGAGGAAGGAGCAGGAGCAAAATAACATGGGAAAAGCTGGAGAGACGAGAGGCGAAAGTTGTTGGAAGCTTGCCAAGAGAAGAGGAAAATGGAGGGAGAAAGGAGCTGAATGGCGGATGAACAGGGGTGAAGAGCACATCTGGGTGGAAAACGGGGAAAATTGTGGAATATTTTCTGGCAAAAACATGTTTTCCATAACAAAATGGAAAACTTTACGTGAAAATGAATTGCATCATCTTTGAAGTCTAAAGGAAAGAATTTTTTATAGTTCCCCTCGAGGAAAAATTTCATCATCGAAGTCTATCTACACAGCTGCCATATTTAGTTCATTTCGCAATGAAGATTTCACCACTTCTTTCGTTTTTTTCACAATTCTTTCTAACGATCAAATAAAAATGATATCAACCAAAATTGCTTTGATTTTACATAAAATTAGCATTTTGTCGAGAAAATACATTATTCTAATTCCTATAAAACCCCGAAAACACTCTAAAAACATCAAAAACCCTCCCCAAAAAAAGCGAAAAAAAAGAAAGTAAAAAATTTGTGTGCAATTTTACGTGAAATCTGCAAACACTTTAGTGGTACGGTCAGATCAAACATTTTAACCGACGCACATTTATTTTCATTTTTCCTCGTTGGATTTTCGAATTTCAAGTTTTTCAGGGTAAAAACGTTGGTTTCTTCGAGATGAATCGCGGTGATCGGTGAGTTTTTCTATTTTTTTCAATGCGAAGATGAAGTTTACAAGAGAAATAAGTTTTTTCGAGTGAAAAATGAGATTTTCTGACCCAATTAGATTTTTAAGCGATTAGCGTTATTTTACCGTGCGAAAACATGATGAAAAGGTGAGAATTTATTGGGGAACCCAGTTAGAATAGAAATTATTGAATTTTGAGCTTAGAAAGGGAATTTGAACTGAATTTTTCGCAAACTAACCGTTTTGAGAATCTGAATAGAATAATAGAGGTCCGATTGCATTTTTTAAATATTCAGAAATGATTTATTCTAGGATTTAAAAAAAAATTAGAGTGTTTTCTAGTTCACGTATGGAAATTATTCGAATTTTTCAACATTTTTTTTTCAAAACTAGATAGCACTTGAGAATTGAAAATTGTTCAAGGACTTTGAAATTCCATGTAACTACTTCATTATATGTTTTATGGAGTTTCCAACAAAAATATTGAGTTTTCGAAATTCTTTTGCGAAAGAACTCGACCTCGCCCCAAAATATAGTTATGACGTGGCAAAGCTCCCACCACTGTCAAAAATCGGACTGTAATTAGTTTCAGAGAAAACATTTTTGAATTCTGATTTCACAGCATTGTTCGATTTGGTAAGCTTGTTATATATTTTTGAATAAAATCTCATTTTTCTCCTGAACTTGGGAATTTCAAAATATTTCTAATTTTTCCATGTATAAATTTGTTCAAAGTTTCTATAGAAAAAAAATTAAAAATATTTGGAAATTTGAAATTTTCACCGTTTGACCCTGATTTGATTTTCTTGTAAACCCCTCCCGGGACCAAAAATCACACATGTTTCTAGATTTCTCCTCAAAAAATCCTTCATGCTCACCTTTTCCAAATAGTTTTCCCCATCCCCTCTTTTCACCGCATGTCTTCTCTCACCCACCCTCTCATTATCCCACACTCTCTCACTCACAATTGTCGCATGCGAACATCAAGGCGTCCTTCTTCTTCTTTCTCTTTTTCTCTAGGTTCCTCCATTTTTTGCCGGGTCATTTTTGGTATGTAGTGTAAATTACTTTTTATATTTATATATTTACTACCAGTTTTTGGGCTGACCACAAATATATATAGAATTTGAAATTCTAGGTTTTCCGGATCGATTTTTCGCGGGATTTTTGAGAAACATGTGCTACTTTTGATTGATCTATCTTGAAAATTCGAAAATTTTTTAAAATTGTACGATTCTTATCGCCAAAAGTCCCTAAAAATTCTCAAAAATTATACGTGAAATCCGGAAATTTGATACTTTTTGGCAGAAGTTTTCGCAAGAAAATTGCATTTTTCCTTTATTTTTTTTTGTATATTTTCCTTGTGAAAAGTATCGAATTTCTAATGGGGAAAATTGGATTTTTTGAGGTTTCATTTGAAAATTTCACATTTCCCGCTCAAAAATACTAAAAACCACGTGGATTTTCGATTTTCTCTCAAAATTTTGATTGGAAAATTCCGGAAACCAGTTTTTTCGAAATTTTTCTTCAGAAAAGAAAATTGGTTTTGATAAGACATTTTTTGTAAAAATCGAGATTTTTTCCGTTTTTCATTGGAAAATTCACGATTTTTCGGATTTCTAGGCCACGGTGTAACTCAAAACTAGTCCCCGACTTCAATATTAGTCAAAAACCCCGGTTTTTCACTGAAAATTGAAACATTGGTCATATTAACTTAAATTTTTCTTGCAGTTCTGATATAATTTCTCCAAATTCTGGCGATTGTTCAACTCTCGAAACAACCAACAACAACAATAATAATTTGATCAAAAAACAACCACTTTTCAGTGTAATGGCCAGTTTTTTGGATTTTTTGCAAGTTAATAAGCATAAGGTGAGGGTTTTTTTTGGTGGGAAGTTGTGAATTTTAAGCTGAAATTCATGATTTCCAGCTTTTCCCCCCGAAAAATCTCAAATTTTCAGACTTTTCGCCCAAAAAAGAAGTTCCCGCAGGGAACTTTGCGCTACAGTTTGCATAAACAAGCCGAAGCTACACTGCATTCTGGAGTCGATTTGAGACATGCCGTGAAATTGCCACCGCATGAGAATTTTGATGATTGGTTGGCGGTGCATAGTGAGTTTGTTTTTGGGTGAAAATTTGGGGTACTGTAGATTTTGGCGCGCGAAAATTTGAGCATTTTGATATGAAATATGACCTATATCAATTTTCAACAAAAAAATCCATGTGGAAAGTTTTAATTCAAAAACGTTCCACGAAAATTGAAATTTCAAATTCGAAAAAAATTTTCCACGTGGTTTTTGAAACTTTTTGTATCTCTAATTTTCTCACTTCTCTGCGTCTCTAACTCTATAGTGATCTCTAGTCGTCTAGCTTCTCTCTGCGTCTCTAACTTTATAATATTCTCTATTTGTCTAAAATTCCCTGCGTCTCCAACTTTCTAGTTGTCTAAATTCCCTGCGTCTCTAACTCTATAGTGATCTCTAGTCGTCTAGCTTCTCTCTGCGTCTCTAATTTCCTCGTAGCCTTTTAAAAAGTTTAGTGCCAAAAAATCCACGTGGCAAAAATTCATTATTCTTTTTTTGCAGCCGTCGATTTTTTCAATCGAATAAATTTGATGTACGGTACAATATCAGATGTTTGTACAATTGAAACATGTCCAACAATGTCCGGTGGATCAAGATATGAATATTTATGGCAAGATGGAGTGGAATATAAAAAACCGACGAGATTACCTGCTCCACAATATATGCAGGTAGGAGAACATTTTGGGAGGGAATTTGGGGAAAAATGAGAATTTTTATAAGAAAATCTTGGAAAAATAGGTAAAAATGCCTAAAATTCATCTGAAATTCAAAATTCCCGCCGAAAAATCCCCCTAATTTTTTGCAGCTTCTAATGGATTGGATAGAAGCGCGTATAAACAATGAAGCGATTTTTCCATCAAATATGTGTAAGTTCATTTTTTTTCCTCTAAAATTTTCAGAATCCCCCATTTTTCAGCCGTCCAATTTCCCAAAGACTTTCGACAAATTTGCAAGAAAATTCTGACTCGACTCTTTCGTGTTTTTGTTCATGTTTATATACATCATTTTGAGCGAATTCGAGAACTTGGAGCTGTGAGTTTTTATGGAATTCTCTGGGTTTTGGGCTGAAAATTCGACTAAAACTCAATTTCCTGATTGAAAATCGAAAAAAAAAATTTTCACCTCTAGGCGCGGCTACTTGAGAACTAGGCTTTCAAGGCTCGGATCCAAGGCGGAGTAGACATCTAGATGCGGCTCCTAGACAATTAGATTCTGTAGGCGCGGCTTCTTGAGAACTAGGATGTCTGGGGTCGTCTACTTGACACAGAAGCTCTCAAGGCGCGGCTGCTTGGGAACTAGAATCTCTAGGTTCGACCACTTCACAATTAGGATGTGTAGTCGTGGCTCCTTCTCAGATTAGATCTCTAGACGCGGCTGCTTGATTTCAGATGTGTTTTCACATAAAATTTGAAAATAAATAAGTTTTCACATTTTTTTTTCTGCAAATTTCGTTCAAAAATCAAAATAACCCACATTTTTCAGATATATGTTCTAAAAAATTTATTTTAAAATTTTGTTTCATGATCATTTTTGAGCAATTTTGAATAAAAATGAGCTACTTTTGACCAAAATGTTGTTTTTGTCACTAAAAATTAATATTTTTCAGCTATAAATGTTCTGAAAATCCCAAAATTTCAACCAAAATTCGAATATTTTTCCAGGAACCGCATGCAAATACACTCTACAAGCATTTTTATTATTTCGTCACTGAATATGGAATGGTTTCAGCCAAAGAATTGGAAGCATTGGTGAGTTTTTTTGTTTCGGGCTGAAAATCTGAAAATTTTGACTGAAAATCTGAGTTTGACAAAAAATACATGAAAATTTCGAATTTTTATGCAAAAAACTTGGATTTTCACAATCCACGTTTAAAAGTTCAAATTCAAATTTCAGAAAGATATGACCGAACGTCTTTTGGAGCCTCAAAATCGTCGTGCTCCAATTCCATCACTTAATGCATTTACACCAAGAGCCTAAGGCCCTACCTAAGGCCTAAGCTTAGGCTTATTAGCCCTGAAATTTCCCGAACTGGTCCATGTATTTTTTCTTTTTTTTAAATTCTGGTTGTGTTTCTTTTATTTCAGAAAATATAATTTTTATGTACCCGAAAGCCATTGTTGAATTTTCAAAGCGATGCCAATTTCAGACCGAAGAAACCATCTGCAAAAATACCGTATTCTGAGGGTACTGTAGGATACAGTACTCACTTTGAAATAAGGCGCGAAAATGCGAGATGAAGTTGATTGGGTAACGCTTGACAACATTTCATTAGAAACCAAAATGTTGGAGCCCACGATATTTTGTGGTCATTTTCAGCCTGAGGAGCATCGAAAATTTGGAAAAATTCATCACGGAATGTTAATTGGTGAAATGAGGAATGGAAGAATAAATCGAGAAGACGAATCAGATCACGGAAATCTTCTTTCTACAAAAAAAAAAGGTTTTCTGCGTCTCTACAAACTCTATGGTTTCTGCGTGTAACTCTATGGTTTCTGCGTCTCTGACTCTCTTCCTCACCTCAAAAACCCTTTGCATATTCGAAATACACAGTCCCCTATTCTTGCACATTTCCACATAAAATTCTTGTGTTTTCTCCAAATTCTCCTCATTCAATTGCAAATTCAACAATTCCTCATCGAAATTTTGATTCGAACTTCGTGGACTCGAACATTCCACCAAAAATCGATAATCCTGACTTTCGTCGACGTCGAAAATCACTATTTCGTAGCATTTTTTGAGCACTTGGCTCATTATTATATAGACGATCTGGAGAAAAATATATTAACCTTGTAAAAGACCGTGTAACTCTAAAAATAAAACCTTTGGCAATTTTCCATACAATCGAATTTCAGGTTTACTCAAAAATTGTTGATTATATTTGACGTATTCGGGAATTGTTTGAAATTTTGACCAATTTATTATCATTCCTCCATTATTTCGAATCAATAATTTGAATTTGTGAAGAGTTTCGACTTGTTCACGACTTTGAACTGCTTTTGCTCTGCAAAAAAAATATACAGGAAAATGTAAAAGAATATTTTGAAACAGTGAAAATTCTGGATTTTTGAAATTCACATAGAAAAAATTCTAAAACTTCTAATTTCCGATTTGACAAAACTTTTCTTTTAACCTTCTGGAAAAAAGCAAAAACTTGTGAATTCCAAATTTTTGATAAAAAATTCAAATTTTCACTCAAAAATCAACCAGATTTTATCAACAAAAAAATTTTTACAAAAATATTCAATAATATTTTGAAACAGTAAGAATTCGGGTTTTTAGAGAACCACATGTTCAGCATTTTTCTAGGCTGAAAATTCATGAAAAATTCAAATTTTCAGCAAAGAACAAGCCATTTTTAAAAAAAACTTGAAACAAAAAAGTTTTTTGAAACAGTGAGAATTTCGTAAATGAAAAAGTGTAGAAGTCTGACTGAAAATTTGAATTTTTCATATTTTAAAATTTTAGACTAGAAAATTTTTAAAATTCTCTAGAATTTTTCAATGAAATGCTGTAGTTCCCCATTTAGAGCAATAAAAAAGTTGAAAATTTGAAATTAGGAAGCAAATCTTCCGCATTCCCAAATCCATCACCAACCTTCGACTCCTAACAACACTAACAGCTTGATTTGGTGTGATCCCATTTGAATACATCATCCAAGCCGCAATAACCATACCAGTTCTTCCGTGTCCCGCGTGACAATGAACTGCGATTTTCCCATTGGCCAACGCAAAATCAAACACTTTCACAATATCTAATAATCTAACAGGGGAGCAGGCTTCGAAATCCGGAAGGGGAAAATTGTAGTGATAAACTGGAAAAAGGGAAATTTGGATTCTGAAGGGTTTTATCCAAAGTTTGGGCCTCAAAACATCCTAGGCTTATTTGGACCGATCTCAGAAAGCCTCCCTAAGGCCATAGAGAAGCCCCCTAGCATATTTCCTATCCAGAAATCCAGATTTTCTTGCTCTCAAAAAGCCCCTAGGCCTATTAACTATCCCAAAATCCGCATTTTTTGCCTATTTTTCATCGTGTGAGGTCAAAAACCGCCCATCTACCCGCCTGCTCAATTTTTTTCCAAAAAAAAATGAAAAATAATTACTTTACACTAGCTTTCAACTCTCCTGCACTTTTACTTTTAGTTCAAAAATGTTCTAAATATTCTGTATCTAAACTACAGTAATTCTATATTTGGTGAGTGAGTTGATTTTCAGAAAAATTTGAAAAAAAAATGTTTTTTTTTCAGCCAAAAAAAAATTTCGATTCAACTTGGATCATTTAGAGAACTTTGACGAAATTAAATGAATATTTTTTTGAATTTTGTTTTTTTTTGGAAATTTTCAGGGGTTTTCAGATTTTTTTTAGAAGATCTACATCCCAATTTCAGCTCATATTTTCAGAGATTATTTTCAGCTCAGATTTTTCAAATGAAAATTTGTGATTTTATTCCAAAACCATTTTTGGTAAGTTAAAATCTTTCCAATTAAAAAATGAATAAAATGTCAACTTTGTGTCACTCAAAAATTTTGACAGGTTTTCTTTTCAATTTCAAGATAAGAAAATCATAATTTTCAATGTTCTCTATTCAAAACTGTATCTAAACTACAGTAATTCAGTATCAAAATTCATATTTTGCTCAAAAATAATACTTTTTCCCACTTCTACAAAATGTGCCCTGACAAAAAAATTTTAAAAAAAATGTGAGTTCCTATTTTTAGAATTTCTTTGCTCATAAAGGAATTCAAAGAATTCAGAGATTTTCAGAAATTCAAGCAACTTCAAAAAAAGCTCAAAATTCTACATAGATATTTTTCCCACATAATACGAATGTGCCCAGACAAAAAAATGAGAAAATGTGAGTGATTTTAAAATTTAAAATTGTTGTTAATTAAAAGTTCCATTTTTCAGAATAGTCCCAAAAATGATACTGTATCTAAACTACAGTAATTTTGTATAAAAATTCATATTAATATTTTTGTGAAAAATTTTCACTACAAATGGCCATGCCATACATGCGAAATTTGAGATTTTCAAAAAAAGCAAGTGAGTTACCAACTTGTTTTATTTTCAAGGGAAAGTCAATTTTTTTCAGCAAAAGAGATATGGAGAGATATCACATTTGAATGAAGTTACGGTTTGTGCCTTTAATTTTTCTATAGTCTAGCTTGCTCCATAAAGCTTTTGTTTACAATTTTCCATTCAAAAAACGTTATCATTCGAAAATTGGCATTTTTTTGGGTTTATATTTATTTCATGATAAGAAAAATTCATTATTATTATTATTACTTTTTTTCTGAATTTTCTTCAAAATGTAATGTATTCAGTACTGTATCTAAACTACAGTAATTTCTATTTTATCTTTTTTTTATAACCTATACACTGAGAAAGATAAACACCTAATTGTAAGTGGAAATGTGATTTTAGCGGATTCTGAGGTTGTGGATGGTACAAGGTCAATGGATGAGTTGTAAATCTTGCATCTTTGAATAAATATTGATTTTTTTCTTGTCTTTAATTTCAGACCCCCTCCCTTCTCCTCTTCAAAAAATCAAAACTAACTTCCATTTCTCATCAAATCTTCCGGATCATAACTGAATCCACTTTTCAAATTTCCTTGTCCACAATAGGCGTGCTCATTTGATTCTTGCAAATTTATCACCGATTTGATGTTGGCTCTGCAAAAAGTGGGATATTTTTGACACGTGGATAAAAAAATCTAACTCACATTTGAAATTTCTGAATAATTTGACATTTCTCAAAATGTTCCAATTGTAATCTAGCCATTGCCAGAATATCATCAGTAATCCACGTGGAATATAATCCATCAATTGCTTGCTCCTCAATTTTGGCTCCAGATGCTTCAGAAGCCAAATAAATTCGACAAAATCGACATTGTTGACCTGAGCAATAGAGGCGACATTTATGATCGCCTGGAGTTAGGCTAAGTATTCCGGTACGAAGTGATGAATAGGTGGCGGTGGCTGGAACAAACACTGATAAATTTTTAACACTAAAAAATCCACGTGCCCCCAAAATTTGACCTACCTTTCTCCTCACTCTCTAAATCGTCTACATTTTTTGCAAAAAGTGGCATACACCGGGAAAAATCGCGAGACTTGTCGTAACTCAAAAAAATAAGAGCGAAAATATGTACACGAGTTACTGAAGAATTTTTTTGGCTCGAGACGAGACACACATGTATCTATGGCAACAGGAAACAAGACCGGAAAACAAGGTTTTTTTTTGCGCCGCAAGAAAAGTAGACACTTTTTGGCGCGAAAACGTGAACGTCAATAGTGGAGTATCGTTGTTTTACCCGGCTCAAAAATTAAAAAAAAAACATTTTTTTGAATTTCACAGATTCCCGGGAACCAGAGGCGAAGTAAACAGTGGAGTATCGTTGTCTTTTTTATAAATAAATTTTATCAACTTGCAAGAAGAACGAGATGTGATTCAGAAGGAGAAGACAAAAAAAAAATTCGAATTTAATTGATTCCTGCCGAACTTACTAAATAAGGTGCAACGGAAAAAATGGAGTGTCGTCGTTTTTTTTAATTCAAAAACAATTACATGATTTAGAAGAAAATAAATGAAAATTTTAATTTCTCGCAGAGTAAGAAGCGGAGTGTCGTTGCTGCTATAAAGCGTAAACAGTGGAGTATCGTTGTTTTTTGTTGATTATTTCGCACGAAAAACAGACATTGAGAATAGGAAGAAAATTTAAATTTCAGGGATTCCCACGGAGCAACCTTGTTTATCCATCAAAACTCAACAAAAATTCAAAATTTTATTAACAATTTCAAAAATAAGTGACAACACTTTTGGAACTCTCTTTCTTCACCTTCTTACCCAAAGAAGCCTTAAAAACATTCGAAAAGAAAGTTCGATAAGGTTTGAAGAACAAAAACGAGGGAAAAGGTGAGAAAAGCGGTATAACAACCAAACCAGCAAACATATAAATCTCCATAAATTCATTTGAATACCCACCAAACTGTTCCAAAATATACATAACCAAGTTGCTGATATAAATACAAGGAATTATTGCTTGATAAGTTAGCGCATTTAAAAGTTGTGAATGCATCGCTTTTGTTGTAATCGATAGCTCGTAATCTTTGACTTCAAGGCGTTTCAGAATTTTCTTGCGAAGTTGAAGAATTCCCAAAAACATTGGGATTGGGATATATGTCATATTAATTACCAACGGGAGAGCGAAGGGATTACTTATGTCTTCAACACCAGTGACACATAAATCAGTTAAGTTAGGATAACTATGTTTCTTCATAACTTCAGATATGAGTATTTCTGGTGAGGCAAGTGCAAAATTATATAGAATCATCGAGGTAAAGGAGGGCAAATAATTGGCAAGGATAACTAGGATAACTTGAGTTCTCTTGGGCTCATTGTGAAATAAAATATAATATCGATAGGCGAATGAGAGGAATTTCGAGGTATTTGAATGTGTTATAGCATGAGCCATCACGGTATATCCAGCGAAGCAAAAACGTCGCCCAAGAATTCGACAAACCCCATAATTAATCGTAACTAGACAATCGCCGATTGGTATCATACGCACTTGAATTATCAGATTCGCCAAAGCCGCACAACAATCCGCTAATCCAATATTGATTATTAATAGCGTGTAGATTTTGACAGCCTTGGGAGTCTTGAAAATCGCCAAGAAGATCAGGAGAGAATTCAGGAATACGGCGAGAAAATCAATGAATGCTAGAAGGGTCCAATATGTGACAAACTGCATTTGCTTGAGAATGAAATTAGATGAGGTAACTTGTTTTTTTCTATCTCGATGTTGAATGAGAAAAGTGTATGTGAAATGCACTTTGTGGGATTATAATTATTACGATTCTTTTGTTCGATAAATGAAGAAAAAAAAACAAAAAATTTGAATCTCAAGCTTTCCCGGCGAAAATTCACAGAAAATTGTGAAACCACAGGCGGCGTACATAGTGGAGTATCGTTGTTTTTTTTTTTAAAATGACTAATCTCTCTCACTCAAACTTGCTAGAAAAACCCCTCACATCAAAACTCACCAAAAACCATATTTCTTCGAACAAATATTCAACCAAGCTCCATTGAGAATACCGGCAATTTTCACAAAAAATTCAAATTGTCGATTTTTCTTTTTCCGTTGAAAAATTCGAAATAACTGCATTTCAAGAAATATTCACGTGACGCTAAAAAAATGTTCAATTCAAAATTTGCAAAAAACAATTTTAAAAAATACCAGAAGGGCTCCGCCGGCTAACGCCGGCTCCTCCTTCTGGATTGTCCCGGCTTCGCGCGTAGTTTTCTTTAGGTGTAAACAGAAACATGTTTCGTCTTAAAATACGACAGAGTTGTAGTTTTTGAAAAGTTGGAAAAGATTCTTTCAACAAAAACCGAAATTTTGATTTTCGTTGAATTCTTTCTCCGCTAGGTATGATTTTTAAAATTTCTGAAGAAAATTGACAAAAATGGTTTTAAAAAATGTGCGAAAAAATTTCTTGATTGAAAGAGGTTAATCCAAATTTTCTACGTCTCAGAAACTAAAGCACAACATTTGGCGAAACTGTTCCGAAAATCTAAAATCTATAGATCCGAAAAAAACGCGAAACGAAAAAAAAATCGAAAAAAAACTATTTTGTGTAGCTGGTGTGTAGACGCGTGCGTATACTTTTTGGATATCCAAAAAATCTATATCCAGAGAGAAAAGAAATGCTGCCTTATTTTCTGAGTATAAGCTTCTATGTTCCATCTGACATTTTCAGAGCCGTGGAAGATAAAACCAAAGTACAGTAAACTCCGCCGCCCTCTGATTATTTTCATTGATTCATTCGGTCCGATTTTTTTCATACAACGAAAAAACTCGGCCCGATTTTTTTTGAAAAAACTCGGCCCGATTTATTTTGAAAAAAACTCGGCCCGATTTTTTTTCATCCAACGAAAAACCTCGGGCCGATTTTTTTGAAAAAACTCGGGCCGATTTTTTTGAAAAAAACTCGGCCCGATTTTTTTTTTGAAAAAACTCGGTCCGATTTTTTTTCATACAACGAAAAAACTCGGGCCGATTTATTTTGAAAAAACTCGGCCCGATTTTTTTTTGAAAAAACTCGGTCCGATTTTTTTATCCAACGAAAAAACTCGGGCCGATTTATTTTGAAAAAACTCGGCCCGATTTTTTTTTTGAAAAAACTCGGTCCGATTTTTTATCCAACGAAAAAACTCGGGCCGATTTTTTTGAAAAAACTCGGCCCGATTTATTTTGAAAAAAACTCGGCCCGATTTTTTTTTTGAAAAAACTCGGTCCGATTTTTTTTATCCAACGAAAAAACTCGGGCCGATTTTTTCATTTGAAAAAACTCGGGCCGATTTTTTTTGAAAAAACTCGGCCCGATTTTTTTTCATCCAACGAAAAACCTCGGGCCGATTTTTTTGAAAAAACTCGGGCCGATTTTTTTTGAAAAAACTCGGCCCGATTTATTTTGAAAAAAACTCGGCCCAATTTTTTTTGAAAAAACTCGGCCCGATTTTTTTTGAAAAAACTCGGCCCGATTTTTTTTTGAAAAAACTCGGCCCGATTTTTTTGAAAAAACTCGGGCCGATTTTTTTTTTGAAAAAACTCGGCCCGATTTTTTTTGAAAAAACTCGGGCCGATAAAACCAAAGTACAGTAAACTCCGCTGCCCTGTGATTATTTTCATTGAAAGAGGAAACGATTGATTTTCTCGGCCATATCGATTCTCTTCCAAGGCTCACAAAATTTTGGATTGATAATAATTGTTTGGGCTTAACTATATTGGGATTCCCAAACACATCAAAACTCACTATCAAACATTCACATTAAAGTATTTGTTTTTCTTCTTGTAAAAGAAATTATCCAATATCTGAAAGTTCGAACAAATTATGAATTTTTCCACAGTAATATAACTCACTTTTTTCTATTTATTTTCAAACCGATTAGGAATAGAGTAATAGCGAGAAATGATTAAAAATGTCCCGCTATGACTGAGCAATAAAAAGATCAGATAAGAGACGTGACCTAGCCATTTTTCTGATTAAAAACGTGCTCATTCTTTTTAGCATGAAAAAAGTTTTGATTTTTTACGTGAAAACTCGCGCACTTTTTGAAAAACCGAATATTAGCGCCTCGATGGGAAAGAATTTGGGATAGAATGGTGAAGGTCCCATCAAAAATGGTCTTGTGGAAATTGAGAAAAGTCGAGCGACACATTTTAAATCCGAAAAATACATTGTGATTTTCAAACATTTGATTCTCCGCGCACTCACAGACATTTTGAGAAAAAATGAATAGGAAGCGCACCGAGCTGCCAACATTTAGAAACTTTTTCTTTTTTTGATCATCAATTTTTATGCACACAGTTTTGAGAACGGGATCCGGACACACTATTGCCAAAAAAATTTTCCCAATTAGTATATAGTAGATGGCACCAAAAAAGTTAAAATTTACTTTTGTTTACACGAATAAAACAGCAAACCAAACACACAAATTTTTGAAAGAGTGCGCAACATGCAGTTTTTATCAATAGGGCGCACTTCCATTTTTGCTTTTATTTTCTTGTTTTTGTTTTTCGAATGTTTTTCTTTCACTTATTTTTTGTTGTTTTCCATGAATTTGAATGAATCTTGTTGTAAAATTCATAAGTATCTATTTTCCTAGTACAAATAACACAAGTTCAGTTGATTTTTGATAGTTATATACTAAAACTGGTGCTCAAAAAGTAATTTTTTGAAAAAATGTTCTTTCTTGAAGTTATCTTTCGTACTTATCCAATTATTTAAATTTGACGCATTACTACATTACAGGAAAAACGTCAGCGAAATGATGGAAATATCGAAACAATTGATGAAGCGAGTTTTAATCGGATGATTTTCAACCACGTGGAAAACTGGAGGATAGGTGAGTTTTTTAACATTGTTTTTAAAAATTGGAAGTTTTGAATTTTATGCAAATAAAACAAATACCTTTTGCAATTTCCGAAGTTTAAAACTAACCGTGCGAATAACACCTAAATTGCTTTCACAGTCACGGGAAATAAATAGCAAGTGGTCGCAAGAAAATTTCATTATAAAAATTGTAGCAAGCTTGCTAAAAGTTGATTTTTATAGCAATACTTGCTACTTTTCCCCGAGACATGATTAGGCGCTGACAAGCGAATTTGAGGTCATTATTTTTATTAAACAACAGTTTTACCTCAATGAAAGTTTTATGATAAAATTTTTAAAATTTCAATTGAAATTTGGTTTTATTTTTGAATTTCGCCGGAGTAAATTGCATTTTAAGTGAATAACGTGTTCTAGATGACGTGTTCGAGAATGCCAAAAAAAAGTTTTGTTCATACCACTCATTTATTTGTTCAATCGAAATAGGAAAGGGTGATTTTCTAATCAATTTTTTCTATCTAATGTCTATTCTATCCAAAAACCAGTGAGAACTGGCAGGATTTTTGAAGAAAGCAATGAAGCGGTTAGCAAGGTGTGGTTTTATCTATGGGTACTTATTAGGCAGTAAATGAAAATGAGGTTCTGATCTTACTTGTGGGTGGAATTTCGCCGAATATCCTTATTTTTCTTGTTTCGCCTTTGTGTGATAAATTTTAGCTCGAAAACTTCATACTCAAGTGTTCCTGTGATACAAAATTGTTGTTTGGTGCATGCTAAACCGTAAAAACATGTGATTTATCGTTTTTTTCAAAATAAAAACAATCGAAAAATAAAAATAGCAATATTTGCTCCATTGACAAATAATTTTTTTCTCTAACCGCCTCTCAAATTGGGGCTATGGTATTTTCGAACACACATTTTATTTAAAGTCACCGTTTTTTCTTTTTTTTTCAATTTTTTTGTTTTTTTTCTAATAGCTACACTGTCCAAAAGTTTATGAAATAATTTCAACTTACACATTTTTCTGTGCTTTCCAGAAAAAAATTTTGAAAAAAAAATTTGCGTTCACCTGGAATTGATCTGGCACATGCTATTTGTTGACCAAAGTGCTAACCGACAACGCTATGGGTGCCTCCATTTTTCATTGAAAAAGTTTTCCGTTATCTCTCAGCTGTATGAGAGAGACGCAGAGGAAACACACATAGCTGTAAATACAGCAACGCGTACCTGTGTCTGCTTCTCTGCCCTCTAACCGCCTGTCATCTTCTTGAAGAAAAATGGACCTCAAAAAACAATTCAAAAAAAAATTTGGAACCAAAAAATCTACTTTTGTTTACACGAATGTCGAGAAAAAAGAAGAAGAGTGAATGGGCGGCGCGAAAAAAATCGATATTGATACGGAGACACAACACACATTGTGTTGCTGCGCAGCGATTTCAATGGAGCGCGCGTTGTTCGCTTCGCCCTGTTAAAGCCTGCCAGCTATTTTGTTTTGAGACTTTCGAAAGTTTCTCTGAATCTTCGAGGATTTTTGATTTTTTAAATTGTTTTATCAAGTATATTCTGTAATTTTAATGTTTTTGTGGCTACGGTATTTTTGAACACACACTTTATTTTACGTCACCGTTTTTTCTTTTTTTTCTAACGTATACGAAAGCTACGAAAGTTTATAGAATAATTTCAACGTATATACGTGGTACCTAGTTTATGGAAAAAATTTTCTGGGCGCATACCACGCCCAGCTCCGTGCGAAAAAAAAAAATAAAAATTGGCGGGGTGGTTTCTGAAGGATTTTTGGCGTGGTGAAAACAACGTATTTTTTCAAAAAATTCTTAAAAAACGGCCCAAACATTAAAATTTTGGAAAAAATTATTGGCGCCGTGCATTTGTAAACCTTGGGCGTGGTATGTCTGGGCGTTTCCAGGAAAAAATCCCTTGAAGGTTTTACTACTTACGGGGATCCTTTAACGCTGCGACAAAGTTTTTTTTGTGGTCTTACCCCCCCCCCCCCTCTTTTATGCATCGTCCAAAGTGAAAAAAAATGCGAAAAATCAAAAAAAAACGTCCAAACTGACGCATTTTTTTTCGCAGAAATCGCATTTTTTCGAGCACTTTTTTCGCGTTTTCTGGTGTTTTTCGAGCAAAAATGGACAGAAATTGAAAGAATTTATCTGAAATGGTGTTTTTATTGATACTGGAGGAAAAATCAACGGTGAAACATGAAAAAAAAACGATTTTGAAAATTTCAAATTTTTTCGACTTTTTCGACATTTTTTCGACAAACTCATTTTTCATGTTTCACCGCTGATTTTTCCTCCAGTATCAATAAAAACACCATTTCAGACAAATTCTTTCAATTTCTGTCCATTTTGGCTCGAAAAACACCAGAAAACGCGAAAAAAGTGCTCGAAAAAATGCGATTTCTGCGAAAAAAAATGCGTCAGTTTGGACGTTTTTTTTGATTTTTCGCATTTTTTTCACTTTGGACGATGCATTAAGGTGTCCGCTGATCAATCGTGAGTTCATTAACATTTTCGAAACCCTGAGTCAGACGTGCATAAATACGGGCAACCAGCTGATTGTAGCTATTTTGTTCGCGAGATGCGGAGAGTGCAGAGAAATATCTTTTTTTTTGTTGCAAACAGTTTTTCCTCTGACCGATGAAGAAAAACGGCTGCCTATTATGAATCATTTGTGTTATCTAGGGTTTGTATGAGTGTCTGCGTTTCTTCTCGGTGAGAGAGAAAAGAGAACGTCGCTCATGTTATTCTTCTTTTCCCATTCATTTCTCTCAGTTTTCTATCTAGATTTTTCGTTTCATTTAAAAAAGATAGTTTTTATATTTTTTTTTTATAGAAGCATGGATTTGATTGAAGACATTGAAAATGCTCCGGGAATTAAAGAGGAAATACTTTGGTTTGATGAAAATGAAGAAAATAATTGGAAGACTCGAAGCTTGAATGAACCGAATTTTGTTGAATATATGGAAGAAATTGATGATTTTTTGAGCGCCGAAACTATTGGAAAGGAAATTAAAAAGGAACCGAATTATTATGATGCTGAGAAAAAATGCACGATTTGGGATCATGTTGGAGATATGGATTCGGTTTGTAAAAATCAAGATATCCCAGAGGAAGTTAAACCATCTACTAAAAAAGAATCTAAAAGAAAACCAAGAACTTCGAAATCTAACATTATGAAAATGTCGGAAAAGCAAAAGCTCGAAAAAAAGAAACTGGGAGCTAGAGAGTGTACAAATCGGTGTTATGCTAAAAAGAAATCAAAGCTCCAAGAAATCACTGAGAATGTGGAGAAACTTCGGGAAAATGTGAAAAAGAAGAAGATCGATATAATGAATATTGAGATGAATTTGCATCACTCTGTTGTTATGATTCGAGATTGGTTTGGAATTGAGATGCTAGTGGTTTCGAGAGATTTGGACACGTATAAAATGAAATATGAGCAATGTTTGGGGAAAATAATGAACGATGAAAATGTTATCAAATTGGAAAGAGAGATGACAAATGCTGAAACTGTGTATTTTAACGCTGAGGCTGATTTGGAGCAGAAAAGAGTGAGTTATTTTCATGTGACGTGGCATAGCTCCGAAAATTCACCAATATCAAAAAAGTCCTCTTGACCCCCTGGAAATCCGGAGACCTCAAGAAGCCCAGTAAATGGTCTCCAAGATCATCAAAAAAGCCCTGAAGCCTTCTATTTTTCCAGAAAAACCAGAATACCTACGGCTCCATCAAATGCCGTGCCAAGACCAAAAAAGAGCAGGCTCAAAACTCGTGGTCACTCAAAAAACTCGAATTGGTAAGCTCAACTTTCCCTGCTTGGTTTCAACTCATTTCTTTATTTTAACTCGATTTTTTTTCAGGAATTCGAAGCTATCTGTGAATATCTGCACAACCTGGAAATTGTCAAAAATCAAGTTTCCCCGAATTTTTTGGAGGTTCGAAATTCGATGAATTTGAATGAGATGTACAATTTGGATTCGGCAACTCGAGAGATTTTTGAGGATTTGTTGACTTTTTATAATTTACCGAACCCTGCTCCCATTTAATTGTAAGATGCAAATGCGCTCTATTGGAAATTTGGTGGCCGAGGATTTGGAAAAATTAGGTCACGTGGTTTTCTAGGCCAAGAGTTATGACAGGATGAAAAATAAGTATTCAGAATTCGTCACTTTTTCAGTGAAAATTGAAATTTCTGGATGAAAATGCACAATTTTCTTGATATTTCTCACTCGAAATGTGGCAAGTCCTGAATTTTCATTTGTTTCTAAAACTGTATCACTTTTTGGCCTAGAAAACCAGGTGGCCTAGTTTTTCCGAATCCTCGGCCACCAATTCTTCGCTAGTGCGCATGAGCATGTTTAGGTCCGTCTTTTTTTTTTTTTTTTTTTTTTTTTTTTTTTGAAAAAACAGTTTCCCCTTACATATTTATGCCCTTATATTACTGATTTTTGTGAATAGTTTAATGTCATTTTGGTTGTAAATAAATAGTTTTAAATAAGATTAAAAATTGAAAAAATTTAATTTTTTGGAAGACCAAAAGTGATACCAACTAAAAACTAGCTGCTCCTTTTTATACTCCCAGAAAATATTGTGATAAGACTGTTCATTGAAAAGGTATTCTTTTTTCAGTTCGATGAATATTGTGCAATTTTTTGGTAATATTATCAATGTTCAATAAAAAGGGGCTCATTTCACCTGTAATTATGGATTATTCAAACTTGATTTCACTTTTATGAACTCATTTTTCTGGATAACATGAATCAAACTCCAAATTTTCTTCAAAATAATGAACGTGACCTCATGAATAAGCCTGATAATTTAATTTCAGCTCCAGAATTTGCAGGTGAGCTTTTGAACAATAACAGTAACCAAGGTTATTTTTTGACCCCAAAATTATTCCCCAAAATATTTTTTTCAGATATATCAATTTGGTATGCTATAATTCCAACTGAAACCGATCATAATTATCCAAATAATATCAATTTGTAGCATAATCTTCTTTTTTGCCACGTCATAACCTTTAATCGAGCATTTTTATTTTTCAATAAACTTTCTAAAAATATTTTTTTCTAAATTTTCAGAGAATTAAACACACTAAACCAGATACTACGCAAACAGCGGAGTATCGTTGTTTTTGAAAATCTTTAAAGAGGAAGTTTTTGTAACGTGGATTTTTTCCAAAAAAAAAATGATTCAAAATTTTTCAAAAATTCGAGATATAAATGATGCCACGTGGAAATAAAAGTTATGAATAGGAAATACAGTAATCTAAAATAACAAATATTTCTAAATATCAACAGTTTTTGTGTATCAAGTATCCTCTGTACAGAAAGGTGCGAGAAATTTTTTTTATTTTCACAATTAGCAATACTTGCGAAATAGTTCTGGTGATGAAAATGCATCCATCGGTATAAAAATAGATAACACTTTGGATCAAATACCGTGTTTTTAATTGAATGCATTTTCCGAATAATTTGAATTTTGGTGGGTTTTTTTATAGAAATTAAAATTTTATTATTTTGAAATTTAATTTCAGATTTTTCAAAACTCGCTTTAAAAAGCCCCACAATCTTCAGCCCAATTGAATTTATCATAACCGAAAAGTGTTTCACAAATCAAGAAGAAGAGGAAATTGTGGAGCCTATGATAAAAAGAGCCAAAAAATCTGAAATGCAAAATCTGAGCAGAGATGATTTATTGGAGAGACGCAGAGAACAGGCGAGGAAAAATTCGAATAATTATAATGATAGAAGAAAACAGAAAAGAGAAGAGTTATCAGAAGAACTTGAGAAAAATCAGATTGAAATGGAGACTTTGAGGAGGTTTTGTGAAAATATGGTGAGCTCAAGGGATGGCTGCTTGACCTTATGAACGTCAAGGATTCACTACGGAAGTCAACATTTTTAGCTCTAGTGTTGGCTGCTTGACCTACAAAAATATGACGTCAAGGGCTAACTGCTTGTTGTTTCTATACTAGCTCTAGGGTTGGCTGGTTGACCATAAGTTGTTCTTAGCTAAAATTTCATTTTCAGATTGAAAACATCAGAAACCTCCAATATTTCATCCTAAATTATCAGCCAACAAGTCAAAATCAAGGATATTTCGACCTGCAACACATTTTAAGTCTGGAAAATCAAATCAAAATGATTGAAAATCAAAAACTAGAAAATTGTAGAAAAATTGAAAACCTGGAAAATATTCAAAAATGCGAAAGAAATTTCGAACTTCACCAAAGAAAATATGATATTGCTAATAGAAATTGGAACTTGAAACAGGGAAATCCAAATACTCTTGGCTCAACAAAATCTCGTGCAAAATCTGAAATGGAACACGCTGAAAACAAATTGAAATTGGCGAAAATTCAGGCTGAAATTCAAATTTTTAAAGAATTTCAGACGAAACTCGAGCAAATTAAAGAATTTGTGAGTGAAAATCAAAAAGTTTCTGTAAACAACTTTTTTTCAGTGCAGAGAGCAATTTATTAGTTATGTAAATATCAAAAATATCAAGCTTCACGAGAAAATTCAGATGAGAACGGAGGATTTTGAGAGATTCGAGAAGATTTTGGCATTTTTCGGACTTCCTGATCCTAATCCTTCCTGATAATTGATTGTTTGTAAATAAACATTGGAAAAAATAACGTTTTATTATATGTTTTTGAATTCGCATTTTTATTGTCAATCCTATCCTGCTTCCATCGAGACACCACCCAACCGGGATTTTATTAAAAAGGTAGAAAATATAAAAGCCGTGGAAGAGAAAACCAAAATACAGTAGACTTCGCGGCTCTTTTCATCTTTTGTATTGAATGCAGAAATATCTGGTTTTCTAGGCCATATCGGTTCTCTTCCAAGGGTCACTAAATTTTGGACTGACAATATGCTCTTGAGCCTTCATTTCCTCGAGAACTACACAAAATAGACTATGACGTGGCAAATTCTAATTTTGTTTTCTAATGATTCTCCCTTCCACATCCACTCTCAATTGCTCCCAAAAATGTTTATTCTGCTCCCGAAAAAGTCCACATTTGTTCTTATCAGAAACAAACAACTGCCAAAAATGTTTTCCACCAACAAATGCATCGTTAGAAATTTTCCGACGACTCACGATTTTGAGCCATCACGTGATTTTTTTTTTGCAAAAAAAACAGCTTATAAAATTTTAAGCTCTATAAAACTCAACATCATAAAAAAAGCTCAAAAAATTGTATACAAAATGTTGCCACCTCATAGCTTCTTTACGAAATTTCGCAATTGTTTCTGACAGCTTGATCTATCAGCAGGTATGTTCGTTTCGCCTGCTGACCGGACGGCACGGCTGCCGTTGGGGGCGTGGCCTTGCTGTTTCCGGCCGTTTAGCCGAGGAACAAAACAGCAAAAAACGGCAGCCGCGGATGCCGGCAGGCATTTCGGCATTATTTCGAACAATTTTATGAAATGACATTTTCATTTATAAAATAACTTATTTTTTTCAATTTAAACATGATTTATAGCAAACAAGAATTCAATATAATATGAAAATAAAACACATTCTAGAGTTCATGAAAAAACAGAAGTGAATATATAAAAGTGTGAACAATAAAATCTCTAATTAGTTCTGGAAAGTTCGTAACAGATAAACAGCTTCTCCAACAAATTGCACTCTAATTTTCTACGATTTTCTCTATATATATTTCGAAGTAAACTGAAACTTCTTTCTGTTGAGCTTTCGGAGGCTACTATTCCCATCACTTTTCGAGCTATATTATATAATTGTGGGAAATTATGTTCATTAGTTGGCCAAAATTCTTCGACTTCCAGATGACTTTGTACAGTCAAGAAGTGATTGTATTCAATTTGTAACGACATTTTGGGAGATTCCCGTCGCAAACATTTGGCCAAAAACGAGTCAGGCGAATCATAGCGAGGTCTTGATGGTGGATTGCCATTCATCGAAATGTTTAAAATGTTGGCGAGTTTTTCGAGAGCATTTTGTGCACGACTTTTCAAATCAAGATCAACCTAAGTAAAAAATTTGATTAACTGTCAAAAATTCAGAAATTTTCGGAAAATCACCTTGAGTGCATCAATATCAGCCTGTAAAGTTTGCGGCCTCCGTGGATCTAGCATATATCCTAGACAATGAAAGTCGGTTAAATCGTGCATGTTGAAGCGCAGTGCTTCGACAGCAGCGCTGGCTAAACTTCGGAGTGTTTCATCATTCGACAACTTTTGCGCTTCAAAATGTTTCAGCATTCCTATAACACATGGCACAACAACATGGATTTGTATTGAATCGCTCTGAAAAATGCATAAATAATCAATATTTAGATATTTTTGAGGTCTTACTTGGAAAAATACACAAAGTTCGTCGAAAATTTTCAATGTGCTAGTTATTGACCGTAAAGTTTTCATATTTTGCGAAACTTTAGTTACATCATCCGCCAAATCGGGTTCCATCATATATTTGAATTTCAACAAAACATCTGCATTTTCAATTACACTATCAACAACTTTTTTATAAGATAGAAAACGTGTTTCGACATGTGTTTGAACTTGCTTTGGAAGTTGGGAGCGGATCTGTACTCGTTTTTTCTTCTTTAAACAACTGCAATCAAGAACTTACATAAAACTTTTTCTTGATATTCTTCATCAATTCATTACAATCTTTCAATGTTGATCGAACATCACATAATTTACTTTTATCCTCACTGCTAAGTTTTGATTTTGAATATGGAACTGTTGTACGATCTGCAATTATATTCATCATATGTGCGGCACAGCGTATGACTGAAAACAAGAGTTGAAATTTTTTTCAATGGTTTTCTCTTACATGTGATAAAATGATCTTCTCCAGCCTTCCGATTATAAGCAGCTGCATCAGCTATCAAAAAATAATCATTCAAATTCACATTTGTGATTTCCATGTTCTTCAACTGTTCTTGAATAAGTTTTGCTACCTGGAAAATGTTCATGCAATGTTTAAAAAGTGAAAAGTATACTTACAAAAACAGATGTTTTTGACGACTCATTCACCACTTGCATACACATGGGATAAATTTTCATTTCCCAACTCTTTCTATTTGTGTTTTGATCGGTCACAATTTGCACGAAGCTAGACTTCAAACAGAAAAAATCTGTGTGATTTCTACCGAAATCACAAGAAAATGACGCCATCTTTGACAGGATCTCAGGCTTCAAAACATCTCTAACTGCCTTTATAGCCGCAGTCGCCTCCTTCTCCACAAGATCTCGAATTGACTTTCGTTTAGGCATTATCTTCTCGAAGCAGTCTTCCGATAAATTATAATTGATATTTAACAAATCAAACACTAAATCTTGGAATGCATCATTTTCCACAACATTGAGCGCAACTCCACTTTTCAAAATATATTTTGTTATAATATGCTGAATGGTAGATTTTTCTAATTTTCCTTTCGAACATTCACCAATCAAAGTTTCGCCCATCGAATCAGTATTATTTTTCTTCTTATCCATTTCTTTTATTTCACACTCTCTTCTGTGAACTCTGAAAACAAAAAATAATCTAATTGTAACGAAAAACTGGAATATAACTCACGATGCTTGTCCTCCATTTTTCGAATAAATTTTATAGCAAAATCGACAAAACACATATTTTGTAGTGATTAAACTTTTTCCATCAGTTAAACATAAGTCCGGCATGGAGTCAAAGTTGGCAGGATTTCGCGCCTAAATTTGAAAATAGAGGGAAAAATGTCATAAAGTCACTGACCACACGATATCCATTAACAGGTTGTCCAGGAGTCTCATCATTTCCTAACATCATAATCATGTGATGTTTTTGCAAATCACCAATTTCGCATTCCACCCAAATTCCGGAATCTGAAACACTTGGCGCATCGAACAATTCATTGGTTGACGGACTCGGGCAGTTTGACATTTCTAGAAAACAATTTAGACTATATATCATAGTGAAATACACGGGAAAATATGAGAATAATAGTTGAAAATCGATATGATGTATGACACCGAACTACCAATCGATCAAGTTTTATCAGAAAATGAATTATTTTACTGGAAAAACAAGGAAAATGGTTTTTATCGACTTTTCAAAAAAACAAAAACAAAAGGAAAAAATAATTATCATCATCTCTGCGTTTGTTCGTCATTTCTGGTGTTTGTTGCGTATTTGATTGAACACAGTAGTCTGAAAACTGAAAAGAAAGTGAGAAAACATATAATTTCCATAGAAATTACTGAATTAGCAAAACGGCAAAGCCGGCATTTTGGCACGGCAGCCGCGGCAAGCTGTTTAGTGTTGTTTTTTCAAAACGGCAGCGGCTGCCGTTGCCGTTTTTGAAACGGCGAACGGCCAGCATTGCCGGCGAAATGATCATACCTGCCCCCCCCCTTCCCTCTCTTCTACATATCAATAAGTTATTTTTCTGTATCATAACTATGTGATTTTTATCAGAGTCAACCCGCCAAAAAATAAATTCAAAAGTATACTTTTTGTAGTTATTTTTTCCTTTTTCACAGGATGACTTTGGTACATTACTCTAATTCCTCCTTTTTCAGACGTTACAGTCTCCATTCGTGCTCAAACTACTTCACGAATTTTGTGATTTGCTCAATTTTTCAAATGAAACAAAAGTTGCCAATAACAATTGATAGTTTTTGCAAACGTCAAGGTGAGAATTATCATTTTTAAAGGTGGTTAAACAGTTATTTCAATTGAAACTTTTTTGTGAAAAATATTTGAATGATGAAAACCAGTAAAAAAAATTCCGAAAATTAATAATACATTTCGAATTTTGCCTCCAGCGGATTTGTGTGTGCAAACACTGCAACGCACTTTTGCGTACAGTAGCATTTTAACATCAATATTCCATTTCTATCTTTTGATTTCCAGGTTACTGTGATCCATTTTTGTGTCACAAAAATCAATCAATATTCAAATACACAAGAACCAAAAATGACAAAACCAACATGTGCGCTCTAGCTCACACACACACACTTTTTTTCTAGAAGAATTCTTCTCTGTGTGCAAACAATTCCAAAGTTCCCATCGGCTGAGCGAATTCGAAAATTATTATTTTATTTTTCCACTTTTGCTAGACTCGAAATTTTTTCTTGATTTTCATGAATTTCGATTACTTGAAATAAAAAATCATTTTCTGCTCATTTCTAGGTGCTCTTGTGTCTTTAACTCGCAGAAAATTTCGGGTCGAAATTTTTCTTATCATTTTTTTGGGAATTGTGAATTTAGTTTTCCGAATTTTTTAAAAATATATTAAAGAAAATCTATAGAAAAATTATCATTTTTCAATAACATGTGATAATGTTTTTCTAATTGACATCAATTACTTTCTAATTCAGACACCAATTACATCACTCTGTAATCAATGTAAATAATGAAACACGATAAAAATCTTTAAAATTTTAAAAAATGACTAATGAGGATGACAAAGTTTTCTTATCACTAAAAAGTGTGGATGTTTCTTCCGGAAAACTTTTCTGAGAATCTTTAAAAAATCTTCGGGACTTTTTAGATGAAAGTAAGTATAATTGTTTTTGCAGATAATTGAACATCATTCCAATATGAGAGTATTTTCCGAGGTTACGGATTTTCAAATTGATTTTCACGAGATCGAATCAGGCAAGTTGATCGTTTTTTTCATTATATTGTGGCCCCATTTCTTCAGCAAAAAATTTTTGCAGAAACACTGTATCCAAACGGTTTACCATCTCCACCAGGTTACATTTTATTTAACAATCCTAAAATTGAAATTTTTCAATTAAATTTTTTTTTGCAGACGAATATCATGTTCCTCATAATTCTGTCGCCAATTCTACACGTGAGTTGTGATTTTCAATAGAGCGCTTAGCATTTGAGAACATTTTTATGTTTACAGAAAAAGATTACCAAGATTTTTCACCACTTTTGATGCGTAAGTTTTTAGAAACAAATTTTTAGATTCAGAAAAAATTTTTTTTCAGCGCTTGATGGAAATTTTGAAGTTTCAAGTTGGAGTCAAACTCATATCGATCAGACTGAAAATCATCAATATTTTCAAAATGATTCGAATCGTAAGTTTTCACTGAAAGTCTGATTTTTTCAACCTAAAAGTCCCTGGTAAATTTACCGTTTCAATAGAGCGCATTTGCATCTTTCCAATTGTTCTTTTTACAGAATTTCAAACAACTGAAAGTCCAACAACAACTCAACAATATCCAAATGAGCTGATTCATTCAAATCAACGTGAGTTCATATTTTGAAATTTATCAGAAAACACACAGTTTTCAATAGAGCGCGTTTGCATTTAAATTTTTTTTTCAAGTTCTTTTTTTCAGAATTTCAAGGTCAGCATTTTCCGGCATCAACTCAACAAACCGGTTTTGGTTATCAATATTTACCACGTGGGTTTTTGTCGCAAAAATGAATTTTTCAATTTTTTGTTTTTTTTTTAGCTCAACAACAATATCCAAATCACCCGACAAATCCAACTCAACGTGAGCTCATTTTTTTTTGAAAAATACCTGGAAAAAATACAGTGTTCCATAGAGCGCGTTTGAATGTTTAATTTTTTTTTTAGAAATTCAACCCACTGAAAGTCAGCTTTTTCCAACAACAACTCAAACCGGTTTTGGTACCCAATATTTGTCACGTGAGTTTATCTAGTTTTTGGCGCCAAAAAATCAAGATTGACATTTTCAGCCCTGCAAACACATTCAACAATTGAGAACGATTATAATGGACATCGTGAGTTTGCAAAGGAGCGAATGTGAATTATTTTGTTTCAATTATGTTTCAGAATATCAACCAAATGGATATCAAATTTACAACAATCAGCAAGATGTTTCTCCGTATTTTGAAGGAAATTCACGTAAGAAAAAGGGCTCGGACAGTTATTTTGGACCACCCACGAAACCTCTGACTATTTCAATAATTCAGTTTTTTTTTAGAATTTCACGGATCTCAAAATTTCTCCTACCAAAATGATGCCAATTATCATGCGCCACCTGGTAAGCTGATTCTATTTGCCACCTGGATTTTTGTAGATCAATAATTTTTTCAGTCATTCAACAAGATATCCAATATGATAATAATTTGTTTGTTGGTGAGTTTTTTATTTAAAAACAATTTATAATTATCTAGAATTTTTTGAAGATTCGTCAGAAGATGAACCAAGCCTCAACACAATTGAAGAAACTCCAAAGATCATGAGAACTCGAGCAAAAAAATCTGAAATAGAAATAATGAGCAAAGAAGAGAGAGAAATGAGAAGAAGGGATCAAAATAACAGCAATTCAAAGAAGAGTTATGATAAGAAGAAAATTGAGCTTCAGAATTTGAAGAATCTATTCGAGAAAAATAAGGAAAAGGTGGAGAAATCGAAACAACGCTGTGGGGATACGGTGAGGCTTTTTGAATTTTGAAATGCAAAAAAAACGGGATATAATTGTAAATTTAACAAATTTTGCAGATTGCAGACATTAATAATGTCAATGACTTTATCATAAATTATCAACCCACAAGCAATCAACGCGAATATTTCAATCCGCAGAATGTTTTTGAACTTCAATATCAAATCCAAGTTATTGAAACTGAGAAGGAGGATAATCTCATGGAAATCAAGAATAATCAAAGTGTTCGAGAACTTGAGAAAAACTTCAAAACTGCTGTTGAGAATTATAAATCTGCTGACGGAGATGAAGAGTTAAAAAATACAAATCGAGGAACTTATGGAACAAACAAAAATCGAGCACAATGGAAAAAAGATATGGCTGAGATGAAATTGAAATTGGAGAAAAATGAGTTGGAAAATGACGTTTACAAGAATTTTAAAATGAAAATCGAGAATATTAAGGGTTGGGTAAGCGATTTGTCCAAATTTTGATTGTAGCAAAATATAATTGTTTTCAGTACAAAGAAGAATTCTCAACCTATATTCTATCACAAAAAATTAGTCTTGATGAGAAGCATCAAATGAATAAGAAGAATTTAAAGCAATTCGAAAAAATTCAGGAATTTTTCGAACTGCAAGATCCGCTATCCTACAACGAATCTGCCATTCTACAACAAAAATAATCAGATTTTTTATTCAAGAAATAGTATTTTTCTTTTTTGCTGTCCCTGATTATCATTTGAGCGACCTGTTTTTTTCTATTTTTCCCGGTTTTTTAATGGGGTCCTTCGGGTGTTATTGAATTCAAAAATCGGTGAAAAATAAAAGTGTAGGTCATAATCAGTCGCGATGGAGTTGGGCGTCATGTTCTACGCAACGCACGACCGCATCACAACTGACGACATATCAATCTACTTTTTTCTAATCATCACATTTTTCAATTCAATAGTACTCGAATAACCCCATGTTTTTTTCCCGGTGATCTTCTTTTTTCCGGTTTTTTCTTTTGTATTTTGCGGTCCAATCTAATTTTAATTATTTTTGTGAATAAATGAAAATAATGAATTACTGTAAACTTTTGAACGAACAATGTTGCAGAAATATTTAATTGGCCTCTTAGCTTACCACTTTTTTTCAAAATTCAAAAAAATGCATTTTGGTGAGCATAATTCATTAGGCCACCTTTCGAGCCGTGGAAGAGAAAACCAAAATACAGTAGTCTTCGCGGCTCTTTTCATCTTTTATATGTAAAAAGAACATACTTGGTTTTCTAGGCCATATTGGTTCTCTCCCAAGGGTCACAAAATTTCGGACTGACAATATGAATGGAAAAAATATTTTTTTATATTTTTTGAAATATTTTTTGTGGCGCGAAAAAAATAACATTGGAGCGCTTGTAAAAATCATTACAAAATTTTTTCAATTTTTTATCGATTATTGGCGCCACAATTGACATTTATAACCCAAAAAAAGTTTTTTATCAACATTTTTTTTCGAACGATTACTCAGGCTAAACGTCTTATCTATCTGTTTTTTCTTCAATTTTCTCTCATTTCTCTTCTTTTTTTGTGTAAAAATTTAGAACTTTCACATTGTGCAACCTGTTTTTTTTAGGTTTTACCTCAAAATTTCTTTTAAAACAATGGAAATTTTGCAAAATTTATTGATTTTGGCGATAGAAAACGAGATAATTTATGCGTTTTCACGAGAAAATTTGCAATTATATCGATTGAAATGGCGCCAAGATTTCGCAATTCAAATTGGAATGTTTATAAGTTTCAAGAGAGTTGAGGGATTTTTGATGGATGTTGAGAAGTTGATCGATATTCGAGCACCAAATGAAAAAGATTGTGTGCAAATTGAAAACACTGAAAATGGACCAATTGTGAGTTTTTTGGGCGAAAATAGATCACAATTTCATCATCAAAACAAATTCAAAAATCTCTAGAAAATAAAAATGTGGCATTGGAGCGAACTAACACCATTTTAAAAATATTTTACCGTGAATTTTTGGCAGCCACGTGGCATTTTTGAGGCGAAAATTACGAATTTCCAACAAAAATCCATCTAAATTTCTCCAAAAATTCGCTTTTTTGCAGATCGTCTTGAAATCGTGGATGATTTTCAGCCAAAACCAAAATTTGCGATCACACAAAATGAATTGCGGTTTCTCGGATTGGTATGGATATATTCGATGTTGTTACGATTCGTTGCGAAAGTCCAGAAATTCCATTTTCGTCGTCTCGATTACAGTGTACGTTTTTAGCGCGAAAATTCGAAACTGTCATGAAAACCCTAATTTTCAGCGACGATCTGAAATACGATCGAAAATCTGGTGCTTGCCTCTTCCGTCAACACGGCCGACACGTTGGAAAAAGACAATTCGAAGAGAATTATATCAGCACTTGTGAGATTCTAGAAACCGATTTGAAAGAGAGACAAGCGCTGGAATCGGTTCTAGACGTCGACGAAATCAAATTGGGACCGAAAATTTCGAAAAATCAGGAAAAGTTAGCCTAAATTCATGTTTTTCCGCTTTCCAACAAACAAAAACAAAAAACTAATTTGGTCGAGCAAACGCGCTCCAGCGAACCGGCGGGAAGAGAAAAAGAGAAATGGAGAAATAGCACGTGCCATATGTTTTCTTCCCGTTTTCACTTTCAATTCTTCGTTACCCCTTTTCAATGCATTGCTCATATCAATTGTGTTTAGAACACACCTGACGAGACGTGTCCAAAAGGGACACTGTACAGAAATTTTCAAAAGCCACACTGTACATTTTTTCACGAAAACGTGTAGTTTTCATTGATTTTTAGCGGATTTTGATGAAAATTTCCGAAAAATTACAAATTTCACACTGCACAATTTTTTTTTGCAAAAATTTTCACGCTGCACAAAGATTTTGGGACACTATCTCGTCAGGTGTGGTTTAGAATTTTGCAAAAATATTCGTAATGTATATTTTCCGCGAGAATTTATGTGTGTTGTGCCGAAAAATTGTTTTTTTTATGAGAAATACGATTTTTGAGCGATTCTATGGTTTCCCCGAGCAATTGTTTATTGATTTTCGGAGCGTAAATTTGAGCTAGTTAGTCATGTTTTTTTGGGAGCATGACAATAATTTCAAATTTTGTGTGTTTTTGAAAAAACTTTAAAAAATCAGATTTTTAGGTTGGAAAATTCAGAACTTTCTTATAATTCAATTGAAGATTTGAATTTTTCTTTAATGCTAGATTGTGTTCGCTGGAGCGTGTTTGCTCATTTTTAATGCATTTTAATTAATAAAAATCTAACATGTTTCACGTTTTTTTTTTAAATTTTCTAACACAATCTGTCATTTTTTGATTGACATTTCAAAAAATAATACGATTTTTGAGGAAATGATAACAAACGGTGCTTTTTATATAAAAATAATCAGAAGCGAACGCTTTTTTAAACTAAAAATTCGAATTTTCGATGAATTTTATAATTGTTCGGTGGAGCACACTTGCTTTTTTACTCATTTTTCCGTCATGTTGATTTGTATTTTTCGAATTTTTATCAAATCTTCGATTTGTTCGCTGGAGCGCATTTGCCGAACCACGTTTTCAGCCAAAAATCCCCTATTTTTACAGAATATTAATGGCCAAAACTGCAGTCGAATACAAAATCCTCGTGCTCCGATTTGACCTCGAAAATAATGCGATTTTTGGTTTCAACAAAGTCAAGCGATGTTTAATGGTTGTCGACGTGGAAAATGTTGTAAATCGCGAGATTTTTGAGGATATTCGAGTCGGAGGATGTGTGAATTTTATTTATTTGGCGACCAAAAATGGATTGTTGATTCCGGAATTGGGAAGTGTTTCGGTGGACAAAAAAGAGAGGGAGGATGATGTGATTAGTGTAGATGGAGATTATTTAAGGGTAAGTAAGGGATTTTGGGCGAAATTTGCGATTTTTTGAGCCAAAAATCACAAATTTTGGACAAAAACTGAGGGTTTTAATCCCCAAATGTTGTTTGTTCCAGATCCAAACGATGATTGCATTCTCCTCAAATCCCAATCATTTTACCAACTCAAAAGAAGTGGCATTTTCCGATTATTATGGATTTATTGATTTTTCGAGTTACGCGAAGTCGAAAGCTGATTTTGAATATAATGTTGTTTATGACACTATTATTGAAGTGTGAGTTTTTTGGGGGCTTTTTCACCTGGCATCTTTCTTTTTTTTAAATGCCACATCATAACACATGTGAATTGCATAACCGCCTAAGTTTTTATTCAACTTCCCAAGTAAAACAAACGTTTTCATTGATTTCTGTTCCCCTTAACCAAAGCCAGAAGAGCCTCTTGGAAATATCCAGAAGTATCACTTATAATCCAGTTAGTTAATGATTCACTCCACTTACGTCGACTATCAAAGTCTTCTCGAATCGATGCCAAATCTCGTTCCGATCTTGTTATAATAAAATAAATCAGGGCTTCATTGTGTGTTCCAGCAGTGATGCTCATTGTGGCTTCAATTGCGTCTCCGAACCATTTCCATCGATCTTCTATGATATACACAATCGTCAAATAACTATCCAACCATGCTCTTAAAAAAGTAGTTTTGGTGTAAATATGTATAGAAAATCTTACTCCCAATTACTCAATGACCGAATAACATCTTCCATTTTATCCCCTGTATATTCATGGTATTTCTTAAAAATCAATTTGAGTTGAGTCAAACTGGTTTTGGCTAAAAGATCAAGTAACACTCGTAGACCACTCCCATCATTCAAAGCTTTAAACAATCGTATAGCATCTTCCATTGCTGATGTTTTATTTGCCATAAAACTCTCATCTCGTCTAACTCTTGCCAATTCCATATATGTTTTTACTGGTTGTTTTTGATAATTCTCCTCTAAATATTCCATGAAAAGATCCTTTTGAAAATCAAAAATTCGGTGACCATATTTCAATTGAAATTCATTTTTCATTCGTTGAATTTCTTCATTCGTCCGAGTCATTAAAACATCAAGAAGCAGTTTTCCACGAAAAACCGTTTTTGGAAATTCTGCGCGCATTGCCCAAATATCAAGATCTACTGGTCGTAGAAGTAACCACATCATCAGTTTTCGGAAATCATCCATAAAATATTTTTCGATTCTTTTACTCAAATCAGAGTTATAAATTCGTTTATATTCTTCAGCTATTTGTTGTCGTTGAAGTTGTGAACGACGACACAGAATTTTGATAAGCTTAATAAATTAATGATTGAGAAAAATATATGAATTCAACTATTTTTGTACCCTATCAGAAGATAAGTTCTCTACAGCATATTCCACTTCGATGACATCTGATGTTACATTAAAGTTTTTGTATGGGATAATGGAAGGTTTTGCATCAAACATCCCTGCAAAAAAAACAGTTTGTTTTTTGACAAGTGAATCAGTTCTATGCTAACTTACATCCTTTACCAAAAGTGATCAGCGGTTCATTAGTTTTTACTTCTTCTTTTACTTCAATTTCCACATGATTTAAAGCATTTTCCCATCCTTTCGAATTTGAAAACCCGAGAAAATCATCGTCTCTACAACGATATTCCAAGGATAATTCATATTGTTTTAAATCAAAATTATATTTTGCCAAAAATCTTGCTTTTTCATTTCGTAAAAAGTCGATGTCACCATTAGTTGAATTCACAGAAACAAGTCGAATAACATCATTGTAATTTCCAAAATCATGAATATTTCCGGGTTTTTCGAGTTCTTTTTCAAATTTTGTTATATTCAAACTATTGTGTCCACAACTATATAACATGAAATTATCATTAAAAAGACCTTTCAACTCGATTTTATCCGCCAATAATCTCTTTTCATATTTTTTCATTAGCCTTTCGGATACTCCTTTATAAACTCCTTCAATATATTCAACAAAATTATAACTGTCTTCCGATAATAAATGGAATTTATTATTTTCAATTATGAACTTATACCAACTCGAGTCATCATCATAATTTGTAATCGAAAATGTTTGAAATTGTTCAGCACCGCCATCTAGGTAAATATAATTATAATTGAAAAAAATTGTATGATATCCAAATTCTGATATATTTTTAATTGAGAATATATCATCTTCCATTGTATTAGTTCTAACAGCATTTTCGAATTTTTCCATCAATTTTTCAGCAATTTTCAAATATGTTTTTCGATAATCAATAAATGCAGAAGTATACCATGCAATTATTTCTGAATCATCATTTAAATATTCTCTTTGTTTTTCTGATATTATTTCCCATTCTTCATTTTCATTATAAATTACACCAAGTGTAATTATATTCGTTTCGAATTCTTCAATTGCAACAGAAATTTTGAGTTTTGATTCAGAAGATAGCACGATATAAATTTGTTTTCTAGCAATCATTGGAATATTTTCAATCAGTTTCACAACTGTATTTATATTCGTTAAATTTCTTGTATCAATTGAGAATTCAGTGATAAAGAATTTTAAATATTGTGGAAAATGTCCAGCTGCAAGATTTCTCAAATATTTTTCCAATAAGAATTCCGATTGTTTTTGGAATATTTGTTCATAATCAATCAATAAACTTGAATGATACGGTCTATTTTGTGAAAGGCACTTATTTCTTTTTTCTGATTTGATTTGCCATTCATTTTCACCAATATATTCTAATTCAAATTCACTCACAAAATATCCAACTTCAACATTGAATTTATTGTTAGTTTCATCGTCATTGAGGGGGAGTATTTCATAATGTTTATTTGGAATTTGAGTGTTCGATCCATTCATCAGTTTCTTCAATTTCAAAAAATGAAAATCAGATCCACTTAAAACATTTCCTTCACAATCATAAACTGCAAATCCGTCAGCAAGAATGTTTTGAGATTCTTGATTCTGAATAGCATTGATGTAGCTTTTCAAAAGGGCGTGTGGATTGAAATTTGATTCGGCATAGATGAAATTGAAGAAAAATATTAGTAACAACATTTTTCGATTCGAATTTGGGATGGTTTGGGAGAGAATTTAAATGCGGGTTCAAATTTGGATTTATGAGGGCTAGACTTTCAGAATTTTTTTGTTATCAATTTTAAAAATAACTTGTGGGCGTAGATGTTTTCAAAAATGTGGATTACTGTAGAATTTATGAGATCTAACATTCCTGAACAGAAAAAATCACCCGACAAAAATAAAATCAATTATGTTTTCCAGAAAACAATTGGACACGTCAGAAGCACCGATTTTCGAGGCGGTTTCAACTCCAAAACGCGTGTCAAATTTCAATCATGTTCGGCAATTCATGGATTATCTGCATGAATTCGAGGCGGAAAAAGTCGAAGAAAAACGACGAGGTTTTGGTAGCAGTGGATTCGATTTCGATTTAGGCGAATCGAAAAATCGATTATATAATCCGTATTATACGAAGAATAAGAAAACATATGAATTTGTGAAGAATGCGGTGGTAAGTTGGCCTAGAAAACCAAAAACTAGTCCGCGGATTACGAATTCTTCTTACGAATTCTTCTTCCAGCGCCTTCAATATCAACAAATGGTTTTGGTGAAAAAGTTTGATCGGGATCTATCGCGAGTTTTGGGCGTTTGCTCTTCGACATTTGGCGATGCTGATCTTTATGTTTTGGGAAATGAAGCTGGAGAATTTGAGCTGGAAATTGGAGATTGGTTTAGAGGCATTTTGGAGTGAGTTGTGGGGCTGAAAATTTGATGGAAAATGACCAATATTAGGCCGCGGCCTAGAAATCTACTTTTTTGGAACTCTAGGCCGCGGATAAATTAGAAAATCACAGGGTGGTTATATAGGCGCATCTATTTGACACACAAGCTCTCAACACGGCGAGAATTTTTAAACCTCCCCCCTCCCTTGGAAAATGCGGCAGAGAAACCGGTGCAGAAAAACGAGAGAGTGAGAAAATTGGAGAGAGCGGGAAAAGAAAAAGAGTACAGGCGAAAAAAAATGGCTGGAGAAAATTGAAAATCCCAAAAATTTCCTCTCGCATACATTATCATTAGAGCGCACATTCTCCACTCCTCTCTATTTTCTGCGGGAGGGGGAAGAAGAACAAAAAGTTTTATTTTTCTCGCCGTGTCAAGGCGTGGCTTCTCTTCGATATGGTGCTCTAGACACGGCTACTTGACACCTAGGTTCTCTAGGCTCCGCTCCTTAACAACTAGGTTTTCAAGGCGCGGCTCCTATCCAGGGTGGATCTATTGGCGCGGCTACTTGACGCACAAGCACCACGACTCAAAAAATCTTTTCTAAGTCATAATCCGAGAGAAGTACACGGGTTTTTGAATGAAAAATCTCAAATTACCAGTTTCTGTTGAAAACCCTTGAAAAAATATTTTACAAATCAGAATTTTGATATATTTTCAGTCGAAAACATAATTTTTCATTAAAAATCTATAAAAATTCCAAATTTTCAGCCGAAAAAAGACGGCCGAACGTCTGATCGTCGACAAAATCGAAGAAAAAATGGAACCGGCTGCCAAACATCGACTGACCGCAAAAGGTGAATTTGTTTTGCAATTGGAAATCGACCTGAGATATCGAAGAAGGCCCAGTGATTTTGAGGAAGATGGAGTGACTAGAAAACAATTTGCTATTATTGAGGATAATATTGTTGGCAAATTTTTCATTGACAAATTGGATTGGTTTTTGTTTGGGAAGAGGTAGGAGGTTTGGGAAAGGGTTTGGGGAAGTTTCGGTGGAAAATTTGAAATTTTGAGCTTTTTTGAGGTCTGAAAGCCTGAAAATAACGATGTTAGTGAAATTCTGACCAAAATTTAAAATAAAATTTCAGCTGAAAATCTGAAAATTCCAATTTTTGCAGAGTTCACGGCGAGGTGATTTTCGTCGAAAATTCGCCGCCATCTTCCTGGAAATTTCACAAAATGATTGAAGATATTCCGGATGGAGTTGAATTTGTAAGTTGCTCTGGAATTTTCAGCCAATAAAATCTCGTTTTCAGAAAAAATGGCTAGCTCAGAAAAGTAGAGATGGTGACATTCGAGACCAGTGAGTTTTTTTTAGTAGATTTTTATGGAAATCTGGAATTTTGCAGACAATTTGTGCCAGCGAATATCGATGGAAATGATAGTGATTTTGAGGATGATGATGATTATGATAGACCTTTTGTCTCGAGAAAAGGTTGGACTGAAAATCTTTTAGCTGGAAGTTTTCAACCATCTGATCACGATAACTTTGTCAAAAATTGCAACTCAACTTCTAATATGAGTTATGACGTGGCAAAGTTGGAAAATTTCGTGACTTTATGTAGGAGGTTATAACTAGCTGCGAAAATGGTTTATATCTTCCTAAAGTCACGAAATTTCCCAACTTGCCACGTCATAGCTCATATTAGAGTTCTCCTGTGAGAACACACACAAAACATAGCGCATGACAAATCTGGTGAATTGCCGGCCAGTTTTTTTATTTATATAATTTCCCTACACTCTAGTTTACTTGTACCTACAAGCGTAGGCGTTGCAATAAGTTGTACCATAAGGTGGATTAGTAGAAAGTGTACCCGCTTGATTTTAGCAGGAGCTTTTTGCTATTTTCCTGAAATTTTTGAAAAGGCGGAAAGCCTTGTATTTTGAATAAGCTCATAACTAATTAGAACGTGGCACTTCTCAAAAACGTGATAATTTTTTCAAAAAAAAAAAAAAATATTTTCCCAACATTTCTATAATTATTTACCCTGAAAAATGCCGCGAAAAAATCGAAAAAGAAAAATGCTTCCGAATAATTCTGCTTTTGGAGAATGTTGGAGACAAATTTCAGCCGAAAATCGACAAAATTCTTCGCCGAATTTCAATCTGAATACAAATCAAAATTATGAAAGAACGAGTTCGCGAAACTCGAGAGAAGATGCAGGAATTTCGATGAGAAGTGGAGGAGAACATTTTGAAAAGGTACAATTTCACTCTTCTCATCAGCTGTTTTCATAAAACCGGGATATGAGATTTTTGCAGCCGCCCAGTCGCTCAAACCACAGATTTTCACCTCAAAATCCACCAACATCTGGAGAATATGTATATAACCCACAAAAAGTCAGTTTTCCCTATTCTTTTCGATAATTTTGACTGAAACTTTCATGAAAATTGTGCTCAAAATCGATTTTTTGAACTAAAATTCCCAAAAATCCGCTCTCCCTCAAAAATTATCGATTTTTGCAGCAACCCGGTAGATCAAATCACAATATTTCACCACAAAATCCACCGACATCTGGAGAATATGTACATAATTCGCAAAAAGTCAGTTTACCCCCATTTTTTCGATAATTTTGACTGAAACTTTCATGAAAATTATGCTCAAAGTCTATTTTTGAACTGAAATTCCCAAAATTCCGCTCTCCCTCAAAAATTATCGATTTTTGCAGCCGACCAGTCGCTCAAACCATAATATTTCACCACAAAATCCACCAACATCTGGAGAATATGTATATAATTCGCAAAAAGTCAGTTTTCCCTCATTTTCCCGAAAATTTTCTGCAAAAAATATTTTTCTTCGAAAAAAAATGAAAACGAGCAAACGTGCTCCACTGATAATCAGTGCGTGTTTTTTTTTCATTTCTCATTTTTTCATGCAAAAAAAAATATTGCACATTAGTTTCTCCAGCTAAAATTATCGATTTTTGCAGGCGAGAAGTCAAGCTGGAAGTAGATTGGATTCGGAGGTAGGCTAGAAGAGATGTTGGCTGTAAAATTCCAGACTTTTTTCAGATGACGCAAGATGATTTGATTGAACTTGGTATTGTAACACAACAAATTGATGATAGGGAATTTATTGTTTTTTCGGATACGAGAAAATGCGCGGTGTTTTATGAATTGTGAGTTTTTGAGGAGTTTGGGCTGGAAATCTGAAAATTTGGGTCTGAAGAATCTTGAGGGCTGCAAAATCGCATTTTTTGAGGTTGGGAGGCTGGAAATCGTGATTTTCACGCTCAAAACATGGTTATGAAGAGCCTTGAGAGTTGAAAATTGAATTTTGTGAGCCGTAAAATTGGATTTTTCGGGATTAAAAGGCTCCTGGTCCTGAAAATCGCGATTTTCAACTTAAAAATCTGGGCCTGGGAAGCCTTGAGAGCTGAAAATTGTAATTTTCGAGTTCTGGAACTCAAAATAATTGATTTTTGGCTGAAAATAATTCAAATTCAGATTTATGAGCATCATAGGTTATTTGTGGGTGGCCACGTTTAACCGAAATAACTGTCTAGCCGCCTTTAAAATCAATATTTTCTGCAATCGTTTTCCCACCAAAAAATTGCCTTTTTAAGACATTCAAACAGACATTTTGTTCTAAAAACATATCAATGTTTGCCTTGAAATTTCTCTTGATTTTTCTTCAAATTGCAATTTGCAAAACTAATATATTGCATAAGACATGGGTTCTCAAATCAACGATTACAATACATGGTAAATTTATGTGCAATGATAAACCAGCGGCGAATACGGAACTTCTTCTTTTTGATAATGATTCTCGAGGTGATCCAGATTTCCTCGCCTCAACATTCACCGATGAAAATGGAACATATTCGATAACTGGAGGTGAAAGAGAATTGGGAGGAATTGATCCGTTTTTGTGCATTCAACATAATTGTTTTTATCCTCGAGACAGAGTTGATTGTTGGGTTTTTGACAAAGCTAATTTGGAGAAAACTGTTGAATTTAATATGGCAGTTGGTTGGGCATTTGATTGTCACGATTGGTTTTATCTCCGCCAATTTGCTAAAAAGTTTTTTGGTAAATCATCTGAGTATGAATAAATCAATTTTCGCATAAATAATTAAGCTGCTAATCGTGTTTTTCATGTTGAAAATCTGAAAATTATGGCCCAGAAGGCTTTGGAAGCTGAAAACTTTCATTTTCTGAGTTCTGGAGGCTCGGAGCTGGAAGAGAGAAAAATTTAGCGATTAAAGTCTTTTGGAATTTCAAAACCCTATTTTTCAGAATTCCGAACTCGACAAATGCGCGACTCGGTGAATTGTTCAAATTTCGATCAGTTCGAGTCATGAATCCCACCGGACACTATAATTTCAAAGTTAGTGAAGTGATACGCGTCGAAAACCTCGCCGATATTGGAAATCCTGTAAATATTGTTGAAAATTGCGCACAAATGGGCGTTTCGGTTGATTTATCGAAAGTTGATGAAGATGAGGCGAGATATGGTGTTTTTATATCGCAATCCAATGATTTGGGAAGAGTGATTTATGGTGAAAATGTGAGGAATTTTGAGAGGGAAAATGCAAGGGGTTGAGAACTTCTATGCAAAGAAGCCAAGCCTTGAAACCCTAGGTGTCAAGGAGCCACGCCTAGGGAGCCTATATCTCAAGAAGGCGCTCTTATAGAATCTAGTTCTCAAGAAGCAGTGCATTCAAAGCCGCTCTTTAATTGTTTTCAACCTAAAAATTCAAAATTTATTTCAGATCTCAACTCCAACATCCGATTGTCTAGATGCCAAACAATTTCACGATTTATACAAAAATCGTGAAAGTTCTCGAAAAATGCTTTGCTTTTGCCAGTTCGAATTCCGTCGAGCTATAAATGCGAGCCATTATGAATATCAATGGGTTCTAAAATCGTGTGAAGGAACTGTCGAATCATATTTGGAAAGACAACGACGACTAGAAATGCGAAATTTGGGGGGAGGAGGACAACAGACTCGAGAATATTTGGATGATGATGATATTGCTCAGGCTAAACGAAGAAATGCGGAGAATTTGAGATCGGTTCAGAATTCGAGAAATACGACGGCTGTTGATGAAATGGTGAGCTTTTGGGGAGGATATTTGGGTTTTTAAGCCTAAATTTAAAGTAGGCTAAAATCGGTCCAAAATTTGAATTTCTGGGTTCCCCAAAGCCCGAAATTAAATTTTTAGGCACTGGGACTTGAAAAAATGGTCTAGAATGACAGAGACAGAGTAGTCAGACAGCTAGAAACTAGACAACTAGAGAGTTAGAGACACAGAGAAATCAGACAGCTAGATAGTTTTGACTTAAATTAATTATTTTGGTTACATCAGAGCCTTTTTAACAAAAAAATATTTTTCTGAAAATTCTCGATTTACCACTGAATTTCCAGGTGGATTTTCAGATTTTCTGGAAAAATATCATTTTTTTTGCAGTATTTCAAAGAGCCCATGCCATCTTCATCGTATTCTGCTCAACCTCCACCACAACCTCCACAATTTCGACAAAATGTGAGTTTTTTTGGCTGAAAATTCTGAAATTTTCTATATTTTTCAGGAGAATTATCGATTTGATGAAATGCCCTCTAGAAATGAAAGTAGATCAGGAGAAGGAAGAGGAGGATATTCGAGAAATTCGAGAGATGACGAATATTCTAGGGTAAGTGTTTCTGAGACCAAACAAGCCTAGGATTACTGTAGAATTTTGGCGTCGAAAAATCCACCAAAAATCTTTCAATTTTTTCAGCGCCCACTCCAAGAACCACATCAAAATTACCCCGAAGAAACGCGAATTCTGACCCAAAATTCATCAAATGGCAGAGGACCCGGAAGCACAACAAGCGCATCCGGAACAAATTCCGCGGATACGGAAACGTTGCGGAAATTGCAACGCGAATTGCGACACTTGTACAAAATCAACGATTTCTTCATGAAATCCGCATCGATTCGAAAAGCGGTGAAACAAGAGGATGGAGATATATTTGATGAGTGGGAAGATCATATGAAACGTGTCAGAGATTTGGTGGGTTTTTGGGTGAAAATTTGGAAAATTTGCGATTTTTTGACACCAAATAAGCCTATTTTCTGAAGTTTACATGATTTTTCAGTGACCGTGGCTGTGTGGCCTAGAAAACCCAATTCCAATTAGTTTTCCTAGGCCATCACGCTCATTTCTCCATTTTCCACCTGTTTTTTGCTTTTTGACCGGGGAAAATTGATTTTTTTTTTCAGCTCTCCACAACTGCACAAAATAAATCGTGAACTTGAAAAATCAGGAAACATTTTTAATTTTTAACCCATTTATTGTCTTTCATTTCGTGTATTTATGAACTATTCGTGTGCCATAATTTATCTCGTTTTTTCTTTTTTCTCCACGTTTTCACAGCGTTACAGCGATATTTTTGAATCTGGAAATCTTAAAATTTCAGCGTTTTTTTCTCAGATATACTAAAATAATTCTGAAAATGCCGCCGAAACAACAGAAAAGCAAAAAAGAGCCGGAAAGTGTGCAGAAATTGTTGGAAGCATTGCAATTGGCGCAGGTTTGTGAGAATGGGATCATCTCATGAGATTTTGAGCTAAAAAATATGCATTTTTGAGCAAAAATGAGCCCAGGAGCTTGGAAATTTGTTATATTTGATCCTGGAATTATTGGGTTTTGAATAAAGATATCTTATTTAATCTGTGAATCACTTTATTAGATTTCAAACAAAAAATGCGCCTGGAATTTCAAAATTTGTAGTCATTTTTGCCCAAAAACTATTGAATTTGAAATTTTCTCCTGAACTTCCCCTAAAAATCAATTATTTTCCAGTCAAAAACTTCATCTTCCACTTCCTCCGATCAACCAAGTTCGTCTAACTCACAATCAGCTTCAGCTTCTGCCTCAAATCCGGAATTCAAAAAGAAACCGAATCCCAATAAAAAATATCCACAAAATATTGCACCACAAAATCAACCAAAAACTGGAGGAATTTACAAGAAAAGTGTGGCGGCCAGAATGCAGGAAAATGTGGAAAAAACTAGTGGAAATAGCACATCAAAAAGGCAAAGAACAACATCGAAGGTAAGGATTTTTGAGGGGAAATTTGACTAGAAAACTGAAATTTTGACTGGAAAAATATTTACTGTTTCAAAAAATATTAAAATTTTTATGTGGATTTTTCAAAACATTGAAAGATTGGACTGAGATTCTTTTAAAAATTCAGGATTTTTTTAAAGAATCTAATTTTCAAATAGAACATTTATCTGAAAATCCGAAAATTAATTTTTTCAATTTTTCTTCACAAAAAAATTGAAAAAATTCACTGTTTCAAAAAGTCTTTAATTTTTTTGTGGTTTTTTCAAAACATTCAACATCTACTTCTCATTCTAAAAAAATCTTCTGGAATTTTTTTTAAAAAGAATCTAATTTTCAAATTGAACTTTATCTGATAATCCGAAAAAAAAACAATTTTTTTCTTTTAAAAAAATTTGAAAAAATTCACTGTTTCAAAAAATCCTTTAATTTTGTATGTGAATTTTTCCAAACATCAAAATATTGTACCTACCATTATCTTTTAAAACTTCTGGATATTTTTTTTGAAGAACCTAATTTTCAAATTGAACATTTATCTAGAAATCTGAAAAAAAAAGAATTTTTTTCTTTAAAAAAATTTGAAAAAATTCACTGTTTCAAAAATGTTTTGAATTTTTAAATTTTGAAACATTTTGATAAATGAGCTAGTAAATCTGAAAATTGATAAAAAATAAGAAATTTCGACTGAAAATGAGCTTTAAAAATCTGAAAAACCATTCCAAAATTTCCAGAACACACCAATCGCCGTCTCCAATTCTCAAACGCCTCAAACACCCCAACATCCAAATCCCAACCCAAATCAATACAAAGGTCCTCGAATTCCGCAAGACATTCTCGACGAAATCGAATTCCGCTTCATCTCAAACATGCCGCAAGCGGAAAAACACAACAAAATCCGCATAAGTTTCCAAATCGAATTGGCTCATTGGTTCTACATTGATCATATCTACGATTCCACTGATCGCAAAGATGTTCCGAATATCGGAATCCGCGACTTCTTCCGCGCCCTCTTTTTGCATTGCCAAGAGCTCCGGAAATACGCGCGGAATGTGGAAGAGATCATTGCGGAATGGCGCGAATATAAATCAACTGTGCCAACTTATGGTGCAATTATGTTGGATGAATCAATGCAAAATGTATTGCTAGTGCAAAGTTATTTTGCCAAGGGAAATTCTTGGGGATTCCCAAAAGGAAAAGTGAATCAAAATGAGGATCCAAGGGATTGTGCAATTCGAGAGACTTTAGAAGAAACTGGATTTGATTTTGGCACAATTTCCAACACGGAAAAGAAAGTGCAAAAATTCATCAATGACACGATGGTTCGATTATATATTGTGAAAAATACACCGAAAGATTACGCGTTTGGTCCGCTTACGCGGAAAGAGATCCGGAAAATTGAGTGGTTTAAAATAGCGGATCTTCCCACTGATAAAGGAGATATTGTTCCGCATTTGAAAGGATATAATTTCTTCATGGTTATTCCGTTTGTGAATGATATTCGAAAATATGTGGAAAAAGAGTTGGCGAAGGCGAAAAAGGCGGTGAAGAATGCGGAAGTTCCCAAGATCTTCTCGCAACTTTTTCCAACTTCCACAACTCCGGCAAAGAAAGCGATTCCGGGGAGCGCGGAAGCGGAAAATTCTGTGGATGATGTGCTGAAGACGCCTGTTTTGAAAAGGTGGGTTTTTTTGGGGAATTTTTGGCTGAAAAATCGATGATTTTAGGCTGAAATTCTGAATTTTTTGTTGAAAAGTCGAGAAATTTAATGAAAAAGTTGCAGATTAACCAGCGAGGAACTATTCCAATCGTTCCGCAAACCCCTTCCGGAACCATCGGCTTCCGGAATCTCCCGTCCAACTCTTCCCGATATTTCGCCCGAAGTTGATGGCGTCGATTCGCTGGCCACTTTGGGACAATGTACACCATTAAAACCGCCCGAAAATCCCACACAATTTCCGTCAACTCAAGGAGCTCCGTCGGAAAATTGCCCGATTATTCATGAAGAAGTGGATCAGCGACTTGGATTCAAAAGAGAATTGTTTCAGAATTTCTTTAAAGTTGATGGACCGGAAGGATTGAAGGATTTGATTGGTGAGTTGGGTTTTTGGGTGAAAAAATGAAGAAAATTATGGATTTTGAGCCAAAAATGAGCATTTTTAATGAATTTCGAGCAAAATTACTAACATGAGCAATGCCTGAGAAATTATAGTAATTTATGAGCAAAAACGTGCCCACTGAAATTTTCAAAAAAAAAAATTAACATGAGAAATCTGGTGATCCCAAATTTCCACGTCATAACCTTCCACTTTTCCAGGAGCCGCAACATCTTGGCTAGATAAGGTTGACTGTGTCAACACTGTCATGCACCCACCGCTCCCTAGTTTGACACCCAAAAATCCTGCTGCCACGTCATCATCGCCACCACAAACCCCGCCATCCACGTCATCAAATCGATCACTCAAACATCTGATCGGCAAACCAATTCAACCGCAAGCCATCTTTCCGCCTGCGGCTTCCGCTTCCGAAATGGGAAGCGCGGAACAACCGAAACGAAGTTCGCGAATTAGCCTAAGTGATAATTCGGCGTTCACTGCGATTCCGAAGCAAGGAAGTTCGAATGCGAGAATTACGGCACCGCCGCCCAATTTTGATCATCAGATTTTCAATTTGGTCACATCTCCCGTTTCGAGTGGATTGAGAAGTGCTCAAGGTGAGAGTTTTGGGGGAAAATCCGGGTTTCGGACCAAAAATTTCGAAATTTATGTGAAAAATTGATCTAGGAGAAATTTACTGAAAACTTTACTGTTTCAAAATTTTCAGAAATTATTTCCGAATTTTTGAAATTTTGATTAGATTTTCCTATCTGAAAAAATATTCACAAATTATAGCAACTGTAAAAAGTCTTACGATAGAAATCTGTTTTTTTTTCAAAAACCCTGGGAAAAGTACGTTTCAAAATTTCTCTTTAAATTTTTTCCAAATTTTTTTTTCAATGATGGTAAATATCTTGACCGTATTCTAAAAAATTTCCATAAAAAATTTCCCGAAAAAAATACGTTCCAAAGTATTCAGAAATAAATTTTCGAATTTTAAAAATTTCGATATATCAGTAGAGATTCAATCCCTGAAAAAAAGTGTTTTTAAAAGCTTTGAGGCCAGAAATCTACTTGGCAAAAGAATGACGTCAAAATCTGAACAAAAATAATTTTTAAAAATTTCACTGTTTCAAAAAATTTATGTTTTTTCTTGTCATTGTTATTTGTATTATGTGTGTTTAATTTTTGCGCCAGAAATCCACGTGGAAAAAGCACACTAATTTTAGCCTCATTTTTACTGTTTTGTTTTTCAGGTGCCAGCGTTATACGCCGCGACCCCTCTAGCTTAGCTAGAGGAGGTCGGGCATATACTTTATGCTTTTTCCTAAAGTTTAGTTAGATATAACCTCGAGTTCTTGATTAAGCATAGTTTATTATAGATAAGGATAAAGATAATTACAGTAATTAGATATAAAGATACAAGATTCTACTAATGAAACTTAATTAGAAAAGGGACCTATGGTCCCCTTCACCTAGCCATCTCCTCAACCCAACTCTCCTCCTCTTCTTCTCCATCACCAACGCGCGAGGGGGCGTGGCCTGATGGTGACCGTAACATCCCCCCTTCCTATGAGTCGAGCGCCCTCGCTCGAAATAACTTGCTTCGACCACTGTTGCTTGATTGAATGTTGTTGATTGATTGAGCATTGTTGATGAATTCGCTCCTTTATAGTGATGTCGATTCCTTGATGTTCCAAAAAAAAAAATTGTGCCAGATATTTTCAATGTTGGCATGTCCATGATGAGTTCCGGAAAAGAAATGTGTCCGCTTGTTTGAATTAGTGGTGTTGTTGTGTGCATCATAAATGTTGTGCATCTTTTCGAGGGCTGTTTTGCTGTCCCATTGAGAGGAATGGTTCCAGCGTGCGTTGGGTGTTTTCTCTTTTCTTTTCGGGCAGTTGGTTCAAAAATCTGATTCGGCGAAGAGTTCCATAGGAGTCCTTGATACTGAAAAATAAAGTAAGGAATAAATAAATAATTGGGTGGGTTTTCCTAACCTACTACTACAGCAGATTCAGACTCAAAAAATTTAATATTAAAACGTAAAACTTAGAAAAAAAATTGAAAGAAAATTTTGATTTAACTTAGAAATTAGGATAATTGAAATTTGGAATTGAGTTAATTATATTTGAAAGTTATTGTTGGAATATTACTAGCTTAATTAATTGAGTATAATGATTTTCGAGAATAATTTTTAAAAGAATTTGACTGAAATAAAAAAGGTGAATGAACAAAAAAAAATCCATCATTCCATATGTTTGACACGTAGTCTTTGTGATCTTCTGGGTTGTGTTATGTTGGGCTGCTTCTCCACTATCTCTTGATCAACATCTTCCACCATGTGCTCCTCTTCCGATTCTTCCGACTCATTTCTTGCAAGCCATGTGTGGACTGATCTTGGTGATAGCATGTGGCGTTGAGTTGATTGCGAAGATTATGAAAGGCAACTTTTCATCCCAATCGGATTGAGACGAGTTTACAAATGAAGTTAGTGGTTGATAGGATTGTTATTGGTTACCGTTTCCATTCCGATCATAGTCCCAATCATCATTGGGTCGATTGTTGTCCCCATTGAACCGATTATTCGATCTATTGGACCAATTGTTACCATTTGAACGATCGTTGTTGTTGCGATTTTCGTTGGGACGGTTGTTGTTGTAACCACCATTTCCTTGATTATCGCTAGTATCGTTTCCCCAATGGTTGGTGCTTGTGAAGTTGACTTCCTCTTGCTTTGCTGCAAGGCTGTCAATTCTTGCCGAAAGGTTGTTAATGGCTTCAGCAACGTTCTCCGGAGATTCCAACGAACGAATCGCCTCTTCTCGTCTCGCAGCTTTGAAAGCATCTTCAGCACCTGTTGGTTGAGCTCTTTGGACATGTAGTCGGATTTCAGCTTTGAGGCCATTGATGAAGCTGGATGTTATCATCGCTTCTTTGATTTGACGATTAGCCTCGCCTGGCCAAGCTTGGTTGCCCAATTCTTTGCATTGTTTGAAAAATTCCTCGACTGTTCGACCTCCTTGTTTGATAAGACCCAATTCGGTTCGAGCAATGAGTTGGCGATCTTCTGTGTGAATTTCGTCGCACAGGCGATCCATCATAGCATTCCATGGGCCTTCACGCACTTCGGGATTGAGATTTTCGAAGGCGTCTCTCGCTCTTCCGTCTAGAAGAGAAGGAAGAAGTCTTCTTCCCTGCTCCTCGTCGAGCAGATTCGCGTTTAAAAAATCATTGAGCTTACGAACGAATGATGAGAATGCTCCTTTGCCAGTGAATTTTGGTGTCTCCAAGAAGATAGTTCTTCCCAGAAATGGTTGAGCTGGTTGTTGAGCGTGTTCACCCATTCTTTGTCGAGGTGCTTGGTTGTTTCTTGGAGCTTCCTCGTCGTCCTCCTGATCCTCTATTCTGTCCTGCAGATGTCGCAACTGTCTGATTTGACGATCTTGCTGCTGCTGGCGTTGTTGGTTTTGGAGGAGGAGTAGATTTCGTCTGTGGGCTCGTTCGTGCCGGGCTAAGGCTTCTTCTTGCTGGCGATCAATGGTTTTCTGAAATGAAAACAGTCTTAGTAACGTATGAAAATTACGGTACATGCGGTGAAAATTGAGATTGAGTGGGGTAAAGTGTGGCTTAGGGTTGGGGGACACATGCAAGAATGAACTTCGGTAAAATGTGCCTCGGTAGGCGTGAGAAAAAAAAAATTAAATAAAATTGCCAATTGAGAAAACCAGAAACCGGGCATCTCTGAACTACCCTCCATCTTGTGGTACGTCTACCAACAAATGAATTGTTTCTGATAGCACTGGTACCTATTGCTCCGCCCACATGGGTGTAGCAGACTATTCATCTCTTGTGGTCCTTTCCATTGTTTGAATTGTTACCCGATTGAGCAATAAAAATAATCCGATGACCTGATTGCGCAATTCGATGAATGCGATTGTGATATATTTATTACACTTATCTGTTGGTGTTGACCCTCTTGCGCAATCCTTTTGACCCTTTTATTTGCATATGCTCGGCAGATACGTTTTTGAGGTCAGATTACGGCATTTGGGCTGATGTGTCATAAATATTCAAATTGTGCTTTTTGGGTTAACTATTCGTTTCATGCTAAAAATAGTTAGTGTGAGAGGGTGTATACGTGCAACAAAAAAAAATTTTACATCCGGATGTGGACGCCTGCCTTGCGGGCTTACCTTTTGTACACTTGTTGGAAACAAGCTGCCGCGCGTCAGAATAAAGGGAAAAAAAACATATAATCATGCGACCAGAGGTTTTAAAAAAATACGAGACAACGTGTGGATACAACCCAACACGTTTAAACTTACCATAAGTTCCATTTCTTCACTTTCCTGTTCATAAAAATCTGAAATTGTTTTGCGCGCGAATTTTGAAGTAACCTACTGCAGAAAAAGCGAAAAATTGTCAACTAATGGATAAGCGGGCGATAGCTATCTGATGTCTCAACATAAAACCAACCAAGAGTTAAAAAGCCCAGATTCTCACGGATAAATCCGCTCTCTCAGAGAATCCCTCAGGAGTAAAAAAAATCCCAAAAACTCACGTAACCTGCACACTGGGCGAGCTTCAGCGTGCGCAGGACCTCTGTCGTTGGCTTCAGTTCCCATTGTACCTCTTCTATTTGGCAGTAGATGGAATAGATATAGAATACTAGTACAATAGTCGGTTGCTTGTGGCTTCCGCAAACCTAACCTACTCCTACACGTATACATTATACACTACTAATTTGAAAAAAAAAATAAAATTTAAGGTTAAATAAAACTTAAAATAAAGAAATTGAAATTAAAAAAAATACAAATACTACCTATCGGGGAGTACCTCGGAGAAGTATCCCCTCAAGGTGGAACCTCCACGTTATACGCCGCGACCCCTCTAGCTTAGCTAGAGGAGGTCGGGCATATACTTTATGCTTTTTCCTAAAGTTTAGTTAGATATAACCTCGAGTTCTTGATTAAGCATAGTTTATTATAGATAAGGATAAAGATAATTACAGTAATTAGATATAAAGATACAAGATTCTACTAATGAAACTTAATTAGAAAAGGGACCTATGGTCCCCTTCACCTAGCCATCTCCTCAACCCAACTCTCCTCCTCTTCTTCTCCATCACCAACGCGCGAGGGGGCGTGGCCTGATGGTGACCGTAACACCAGTCACGAATCACTTCTAGAACTCTCACAAATCAACAAAGATGTTTTCTCGCCGCCACCCGGATTTTTGAATCAACCAAGATGTTCTGAATCGATTACACCATCTATTGCTGCACCATCTTCATTCTTTGCGCCAAATTTGGCGCAAGCTTGGCAAAGACCGATTAAGGTGAGGTTTTTTGGTGGGGAATTTGATTATGCTAGAAATCGGATAATATCGGTCAAATATTCCACTAAGAATTCCCTCTGTACACCTAAAAATCCCTCATTTTTGCAGATCGATTTGGAGCAAGTTTTGGGCTCGAAAGAAGCTTGGGAAAATGCATTTTCAACTTTGAAAGTTTAAAATTTCCAATTTTTAATATTATTTTCTGTAATTTGCTGTAAAACTTTATTTCGACTAATTAATTAATTAGATTAATTTTAATTGTAAATGTATTTTTATATAAATGAATCGTAGATTTTTTTTTTGAATAAAAGTTGAACGAAAATTTTGATTTTTTAGTCCCAAAAATTTACGTGGCAAAAATAAATATGGAGCTAACAATGTCATATTCAAATATTCAAATTTCTATTTACAGTACCATTGCTCAGGTTACTGTAGTCCCTTTTTGTGATTTTTTAAAATCCGATTTAATAAGATATCGAAAATTGAAATTCCCAAATTTATTAATGGAAATTTTTGAAACGTATTATTTTCGCCCCAATTATCCAGGTGGTGTAAACTTGGAGCCTCGTAAAATATAGCTGAATTTTTCAAAAACGCTGTAAACGCGGTGCATCGTTGTAAACGAAAAATATTTTTCATTTTTTTTGTTTTTCACTTGTTTTTTTTTCAATGTTTGCTGAGCACAAAAGCAAATATTTTTATCAAATAAAAACTCGAAAATTCTATTTTTTCTCTCATTTTTTTCTGGCACCAAAAAATGTCAGACTTAACACAACTTTTTGCGTGTATTCCTCATTCGAAAAATCCGGCCAACATTGAAATCGAATACAATTTGGAAATCGACAAAATCTACGAGGATTTGAAAAATTCCGATATTCCACGAGAAGAAGACATTGCTTATGATGAAAAAGGTACAGTATCCGAAAAACTACAGTACTTTTTTCCACAGTAACCCTATTTAAAGGTACACACACAAAAATCGATATTTGGGGACCGCAAAAAACCGAAAAACTTTTGATTATGATTCACGGTGGATATTGGTTGGTAGGTCAAAAATTGGGCCCACAGTAATCCTTGCAGATTTTTCGCGCTTGTGAAAAAAGGCTACAAATTCTACAGTAATTCTTGCAGTTTGGCTCCCGTAAAAAGTGTCTGGCAATCGTAAAACCTGCTCAAAAGCTAGGCTACACTGTAGCCAGTATTGGCTACGATTTTGCTGATCAAAAACATCCACTGCCCACAACTATTGAAGAAACAATGAGGGGAATTGAGGTTGGTCAAAATTGGCAACCAAAAAATACACGTGGCGAAAAGAAGTAGCGCGAAAATTTGAAATTCAAAAAAAATCAGAAAAAAAATCACTGTTTCAAAATTTTCCAAATTTTTATCAAAGCGAAAATGTTTTAATGAGATGGATGTTCTTTTCTCGAATAGTAAAATTTTAGCACTAAAAATCCACGTGGCGAAAAAAGTGGAGCGAAAATTTGAAATTCAAAAAAATATGAAAAAAATTCACTGTTTCAATATTTTCATAATTTTTGAGAACATTTTTCGCCACGTGGATTTTTAACGCCAAAAAATGACCCCACATTTTTGCAGTTCACAATCTCCCGTTTCTCCTCGCTCAACCCATCTTCAAATCTTCATATTGTAATTGCTGGTCATTCAGTTGGTGCACATTTAGCACTAAAATCCCTGGACAAAACTTCAGCGCGAAATTCAAATTTTTCTACCAAAATCCACGCAGCCTATTTGATCGCCGGACTTTTCGAGTTATCCGAACTCGTCGCAACCGATTATGGCAGACAACTTGGCCTAACTCCGGAACACGCCCAAATTTGTAGCTGTGATTTAAACCATTTAGAAAACTTCCAGAAAATCCCAATTTTTGCCACGTGTGGAACAATGGAGGCTCCGAAACTCTACGAGCAAAATATGAAGTTCAAAAATTTGGCTGAAAATGTGAGGCTGAAAATTTACGAGGGAGAAGATCATTTTTCAGTGCTCACTTATTTGAATGACGTCGATTCGGAGATTTGCAAAGATTTTATGGCATTTTTGAGAAATGTTTGAAGTACAACGATGCTCCGCGTTTCCGTAGATAAAAAAATTGATTTTTTTTTATTTGGAAAATTTTACTGTTCATGAAGACATTTTGAAAATTGAATTTTTACAACAAGTGGGATTTACGATGCTCCACGTTCACACCACCTCAATTTTTGACGCCAAAAAACATTTTAGAAAAGTTTCTCTGCGTCTCTAACTCTATCGTGATCGTAAGATGTCTAGCTTCTCTGCGTCACCTAAGCCTAGAGCCTAACTGAACCAAAAAATTAAATTTTTTCTCATGGACAATGTGTGTGTCTAGACTAACTATCAAAAACAATTCCAACTTTCAAGAAAAATATTTTTTCATCAATAATAGTGTCTAATTGTAAATACCATGATACCAATCTTTCTTCTTCTAATTCTGCAATCTTCTCTAATACACAGTATTTCAATCCATCATCAAGCAGCTAAATACATTCTCAAATCGCACAATGATTTGCGTAGTCTTGTTGCTAAATTCGAATTTAAAATCAACGCGAATCTAAATGCTGAACCATCTTCAAATATGCGAAAATTGATGTGGGATGCAAAATTGGCTGAAAAAGCACAGAATTATGTCAATGAGAATCCCAAAGAACCTAGAAATTTTCATGGAGAAAGCTTGTATCAAATCAATTATACAGGCATTGTTTATGGTAAGTTTTGAATTCAACGATGCTCCGCATTCACGCCATAGTTTTTGAATTTTGAACAATTTCGCGCTTGCAGTTTGAAACCGGGATTTTTATTGAAGTCCAAAAATTTCGCGATGAAACTAACTCACATCAGATTACTGTAGTTTATGGAAATCAATAAAAAATAGATCAAAAATTGAAAATCCGAAATGTATCAATTCAAATTTTCCCGCCAAAAACTGCAAGGATTACTGTAGCCCTTGTGAATTTCGACACAAAATTCAAAATTTGCAGGTTCACCGCACGCCGAAGCTGTCGCCGCCATGGACGAATGGAAAGCTGAGTTGAATGGTGCAGACTGGTCACCACAATCGATTTCTTGCGAAGATTTCAAAAAAATGCGAAACGGTTTGCAAATGATTCGAGCAACATCGGGAAGTGTTGGATGTGCTTATCATAAAAAAGAGCTACACGGTGTTCTAGTTTGTATGTATGATGGAGATATGGCAGCATCAGCGATTGTTGAAGGAACAACACATTCGATTTATAAAGTGGGAAAAGCGTGCTCCGAATGTCCAAGCGATTCCAAATGTGATGAAGAGTCAGGTCTTTGTGTCGGAACAGCTGAGAGTATTCCAGAAGATTCAAGTCTTGCCAAGGCTATTTTGACACGTCATAACAAAGAACGAAGTAAAATCGCCAACGGGAATTCAATTTCTACTACTAGGTCTTGCGCTTTACGCTCAGCGTCTAATATGAACAAATTGGTGAGCTATACATATTTCTTAAAATTTGGCGATAGCTTCGCCACCGCCCTCAAGCGGTGCAACACAGAAAAAAAATATATAACTTTCTCGTGTCACCGACGGTTCGCGGGTTGTGTGTGTCGTCATTGTTTGCGTGCAAAAGGGGCGGGGCTTAATTGAGGAAGCGCGTTTTTTTTGTATTTTTCGAGGATTTTCAGACATGGGACAGTGAACTAGCCTGGTCCGCAGAACAATATGCCAAAAAAAAAGCACACGAAAAACGTTGGATGAGCGGTGAAAACATCTATCATGAAGATGGTTCTGATTCGAATCCAGAACGAATTGCAAATTCAGCCATGACTTCTTGGATGAACGAAATAATGGATAATAGTTGGAATCTGAATGATAAAATTGGAGAGAAAGAATATATAAAAATGGGAAATGGTCTACAAATGATTTGGGCGACGAGTGAGAAAATTGGATGTGGAATTTATCAATGGACATCTGAAGGTGGACAGAAAAATCATGCGAGTTTTGTTTGTCGATATAACAAACTATCAATTTGAGTAGTAGCGAGCAAACTTTCTTTCAAGAAAAAATAGGGAATTATAACATACATTTTTGAGAAAAAAACACTTTCAGAATATTCCTTTTTTTATGTTACATTGTGATTGAATGTAAGTTGGAAGCTTGATCAGTGTCGAGGGTGATAATTTCCAATGCAAGTTTATTTATTGCCGATAAAATAGAAATGTAAAGAAAAATCTGGATGTTTTTTCTCTACAATTTTTTAAATGTATAGGATTTCTTGACGATATTTTGTCTACATTTCATTTTCTTTATCACATGTGTTTTTCTATTGCCCAATCCTATTGTTTTCCGAATATGTGAAAAATTGAGAGCGTATTTTCTTTCATTTTCCATACACTTGCTTTTTCTAGTGATTTTTCAGATAAAAAGCTGGTTTTCTTTTGAAAAACGAAAAACAGAACAAATATAATGTTTTTCTCGAAAATACAAAAAAGTTGAGTTTGATAATGCAATTGCCTCATCAATTTAATTGTTCTGAACAAAATTGGCAATAGGAATTGTGATGTGACAGCATTTTACCCGAAAAAACACCAAAAAAGCAAGCGAAAAAAAAGAAAAATCATCATGTCTGCATTTTTGCGTACACTTGTGTGTGTGGTGACGCACAAATGCACAATGATGATTTTTATTTTCTTTTTTTTCTTTTCGGTTGCTTTTTTGGTGTTTTTTCGGGTAAAATGCTGTCACATTACAATTCCTATCGCCAATTTTGTTCAGAACGATTAAATTGATGAGGCAATTGCATTATCAAACTCAACTTTTTTGTATTTTTGAGAAAAACATTGTATTTGTTCTGTTTTTCTTTTTTCAAAAGAAAAGTAGCTTTTTATCCGAAAAATCACTAGAAAAAGCAAGTGAATGGAAAATGTAAGAAAATACGCTGATTTGAGGAAAGAATAAAAACATTTCCATAAAACTTTACATTTTTGTGTTTTTGCAAAAAAATGTGAAGAAAAAAATGCCCACATTTTGTTTACATTTTTTCGAAAGGTGAAAATGTAAGCTAAATTGGCCCCAAAATTCTTATACATTTTTCAAAAGAAAATGTATATGATTTCGCGACAAAATAAATTTTACATTATTCTTTGGAGATGTGGAAATCGGAATGAAACATTAGGAATCTGAACGATAAATGTCGAAGGATATGGGAAAAAAGAGATAATCAAATAAACAATATACACACAAACAAAAAGTAATCAAAATGAGCGAAAAATTTCTGAACGTGCTTATCCTTCATACATTTGTGATGAAAAATTGCTCATTTTTTCTTGAAAGAAAGTTTGCTCGCTACTATTCAAATTGATAGTTTGTTATATGGTATTTTGTTTTTTGAATATGAAAAGAATGTTTATAATCATGGTGCAACTTGTACAAGTTGTAAGGGAAAATGTGGTGAAATTAAGAATGGGGAACCTGGTTTATGTGTAGATAATTAACTATTTATTTTGATGAAGTCATTGATAAATTTTTCAAAAAACCTTTTGATTTTCTTGTTTTTTGTATTGAAAATACTCAAAATATTTTAATAACAAGAATTACAATCAAACTTCAAAAAGTTAACATAACTTCAAAATCCATCAAGCTAAACACAAAAAATACGTTATCATCATCAAAACACAGATTTGATAATCTTTGTTTGATTTGTGTATTATCTCAAAAAATGGCTATCATCATGTAACACCAGGAAACATCGGATAAACTTTTTTTTCGCAAAAAATCGTGTTATCTTATTTTTCCGTTTTGTGAGGTATATTATTGTGATATGAGTGATTATATTTATTTTGTGTTGATTTTAACAATAAGTGAATTTTCCATGGTTTTTGGATGTATTCCAACACAGCAACTGGAATTTGTTGGTGAGATTTTGGTTGGAAAATTTCTGGGAACATTTTTTCCCATATTTCATTCAGAAACCACTTCGACCTCAATATCTTCTACAACAAGCACTACAACATCTACGACCACCTCCACTACTACAACAACAACAACACCAATAATCTACGAATGTCCGGATTCCACGTGGACAATGTTAGATCGTACCACCTATTTCTGGTGTATTTTTGTTCTCTTAGAAGCTCGTCAAGCCAACACATTTCAAACCGAATGTCAAAATATCAATGCGAACGCAAAAGTTAGCGGAATTCAAAATCTAGCCGAAATCTCAACAATTACCTCGCTAGCTATGGCAAAAGGCGCCGATTCTAGCACACGTCTTACAATTGGTGCAAAAAGAAGTGCAAATTGTTGGCTGGTGGCGATCACGGCGAGTTGTACCAAATTGACGAGTTTTGAGTGGACTGATGATGCTACAACTGGAACTGATGGTTGGAATTGGGCTTCCGGGCAGCCGGATAATTATAATGCACCCGAGGATTTTGTGGTGCTTTGGGTGACTTCTGCTGTGATGGAGGATGGTTGGAGTAGTTCGACGTCATTGGGAACTGTTTGTGGAGTTAAGGCAACGGTGGCCAATTGAGTTTGTTGTTTAAGATAAATATTTAAAGGTCTTATTTAAATCTTTTAATGTAAAGAAGTCGTATTGTATCAAAGTGATTGATTTTTTTAATTCCAAAATATTAATCTGCATAGGCCCAAAAAAATTTGCGCGCGAGCTATTTTTGGAACACAAACATTCTCAAAGTCTAGCCCTCATAAATTCAAATCCGAACTTTCATTTATAAATCTTTTCCCCAATCAAATTCCAAACGAAAAATGTTGTTACTAATATTTTTCTTCAATTTCATCTATGCCGAATCTAATTTCAATCCAGAACTAATGTTGAAAAGCTACATAAATGCTATTCAAAATCAAGAATCTGAATCTCAAAATATTCTTGCTGATGGATTTGCAGTTTATGATTGTGAAGGAAATGTGTTAAGTGGATCTGATTTTCATTTTTTGAAATTGAAGAAGCTGATGAATGAATCGAACATCCAAATTCCAATTCAACATTATGAAATTCTTCCTTTCAATGACAATGAAACTAACAATAAATTCAATGTTGAAGTTGGATATTTTGTGAGTGAAATTGAATTAGAATATATTGGTGAAAATGAATGGAGAATAAAATCAGAAAAAAGAAATAATTGCGTTTCACAAAATCAACCATATCATTCAAGTTTATTGATTGATTATGAACAAATATTCCAAAAACAATCGGAATTCTTATTGGAAAAATATTTGAGAAATCTTGCAGCTGGACATTTTCCACAATATTTGAAATTCTTTATCACTGAATTCTCAAATGATACAAGAAATTTAACGAATATAAATACAGTTGTGAAATTGATTGAAAATATTCCAATGATTGCTAGAAAACAAATGTATATCGTGCTATCTTCTGAATCAAAACTCAAAATTTTTGTTGGAATTGAAGAATTCGAAACGAATATAATTACACTTGGTGTAATTTATAATGAAAATGAAGAATGGGAAATAATATCAGAAAAACAAAGAGAATATTTAAATGATGATTCAGAAATAATTGCATGGTATACTTCTGCATTTATTGATTATCGAAAAACATATTTGAAAATTGCTGAAAAATTGATGAAAAAATTCGAAAATGCTGTTAGAACTAACAAATTGGAAGATGATATATTCTCAATTAAAAATATATCTGAATTTGGATATCATACAATTTTTTTCAATTATAATTATATTTACCTAGATGGCGGTGCTGAACAATTTCAAACATTTACAATTACAAATTATGATGATGACTCGAGTTGGTATAAGTTCATAATTGAAAATAATAAATTCCATTTATTATCGGAAGACAGTTATAATTTTGTTGAATATATTGAAGGAGTTTATAAAGGGGTATCCGAAAGGCTGATGAATAAATATGAAAAGAGATTATTAGCGGATAAAATTGAATTGAAAGGTCTTTTTAATGATAATTTCATATTTTATAGTTGTGGACACAATAGTTTGAATATCACAAAATTCGAAAAAGAACTCGAGAAACCCGGAAATATTCATGATTTTGGAAATTACAATGATGTTATTCGACTTGTTTCTGTGAATCCAATAAATGGTGATATCGATTTTTTGCGAAATGAAAAAGCAAGATTTTTGGCAAAATATGATTTTGACTCGAAAAAATATGAATTATCGTTGGAATATCGTTGCAAAGATAAAGATTTCTTCAATATTTCGAAATCAAAAGGGTGGGAAAATGCGAAAAATAATATGGAAATTGGAGATGAAAAAGAATTTGAACTTGATGAACCGCTGATCACGTTTGGAAAACATTGTGAGTTAGGCTCTTCAAGTGTTAAGCTATTTACAAAAATATTTTTTAAAAAATTTTCTAAATTTTAATTTCAATTTGTAGGGATGTTTGATTCTAAACCTTCAATTTTTCCATACAAAAACTTCAATGCAACTGCTGATGCAATCGGAGTGGAAGAAGCTTTTGTAGCACAAGATGACCGAAAGGTAGTTAATATTACATTTTTCTTGGAGAATTCTATTTTTGACAAAACAAGAAATGATAATTATAGCTTATTGAAATAATATGTCGCCGTTCACAAATTCAACGTCAATTAATAGCTGAAGAATACAGACGCATTCATAAAAAGAGGTTGTCTTCTAAATTTGACAAAAATTTGGATTCCGACTTCGGACAACTCATGAAGAATTTACTTTTGCGCCCAGTGGACCTTGATATTTGGGCGATCACTAATGATTGGGATGGGAAAGGCGGAAGATTGCTTTTCGAGATTTTGATAACTCGCACAAATAAGGAAATTGAAGAAATAAAACGAAGATTTCTGTTGATATATCGAATATTTTCAGATAAGGATCTTTTTATGGAATATTTAAACTATCACTATATAAACTGGGAACGAAATGTGATCATGGAAATAGTGAAATTTAAACGAGATGAAAATTGGGAAACAAATAATAGTACAGCTATAGCTAATGCTGTGCGATTCAAAGATTTTAAGAGAATTGTTGAGGATAGCCCGAAAGATTTAGTTGAATTGATCAGCACAACAAACTGGTTACAACTAAAATTGATTCTTCGAAAATATCAGGAATTATATGGGGAGACAATCAAGCAATTGCAACTAGATAACGATGAATGGTCAGACTATGCGTAAGTCTTCACTTATAGAATAAAGTTTCTAAACTTTTATTCAAGGACATGGGATACATATTATGACATCACTATCAATGTCGCGAAAAATCGATGGAATTATTTCTCAGATAGAATAAAATACACAATGTTTGGCCAAGGAACGGATAATTATAAACTGATTTATTATATTATTTCGAGATCGGAACGAGATTTGCAATCAATTCGAGAAGAATTTGATTGGCGACATTCGGAAGAATCTTTGACTCAATGGATTGAAAGTGATACTTCTGGACCTTTCCGAGTGGCTCTTTTGACTTTGGTTCGAGGAAACAGGGATCAATAAAAATTTTTGTCATTTTTGAAATATTTAATAAAAAATTGAGCATTAAATTAGCCATGCTTAAGTGAAAAATCCATAAATTTCAAACTACAAAAATATTACTAATTTTCTAATTAAATTTCACTAATAATAAATAATTAATTCTAAAAATAAGGTTGATTTATTAGAAATTCGAAAGGTTTTTATGAATCGAGTAGGTAGTGCCTCTCCATCCATTTATAAATTGAGAAAGAATCGCCTCTCAATTCATAACTTTCAAAAATCAAAACCAACCCTTTATTAAACTTTAAAAACTCTAATTTTTAGAACCTAACCACAAAAATATCTAATTTCTGACTAATGTCTAGTTTTAATTTGGAATTTGATGAAATTTAGAAAATAAAGTTAAAAATTCTGAAATTCTTTCAAAAATTCTTATTCTAAACCCGAAAAATAAATAAACTTACTATTCTGCAATTGTCCTCGTCCTCCTGATTGTCGTCGATTTGTGGCTTCCGAGTGGTGCAATTGGTGGAAAAAGCTGTTTTCAGCTGTTTTTTGCTTGTCTCACAGCGACAAATTGAAAAATGTGGCCACCGTAAGTAAAACGCAAATTATTTGAATTTTTCTCGATTTTCCACACAAGACACATTTTTCTTACTGTGAAAGACGAAAGAAACATAGCAAAATATGCTGTTCGTTGCAAGACCCTTTCGTTACAGTAGTCTGTAATGACACGTCGACGAAGCGGAAATTTTGGGATTTTTGTTTTTCAGTTTTTTTTCGAGGTTTTCAGATGGGTTTCAGATGGGTTTTGGCGTCATTCTTGTTGAATTTTTGAATTTTCAGTTATTGAAATGTTTTTTTCATCACCAAGTTCGCGGAAAACGTATTTTCTTACAGATTATTTATCTGTCAACTTGGCAATATTATAATAATGAGCGATTTCTCTGACGATGGATGGGGATCTTTTGAGCCGGCTCGTAAATCGCCGCAGCCAATTCGTCTTCCAGACGACTCCAATCGTCGATCTTCCTTCATTTCGCTTCAAATGGATCGAACTTTGCCAGTCGTGGAATCGCCGGGAGTTACACCATCTCCAACTCGCGATGAAGAGCCATCTTTCGATGTCACGTTCAACTCTTCTACAACTGTTATTTCGAAACCACCACCAACAACAGTTTTTGGAAGACAAATGCCAACGAATGTTCAATCTTTTGGTGGCCAACAGGTTCCGCCAGCACAAAAATCAGGCGGATTTGGATCTGAGAGCCAGGTTGGTTTATCACTATTAGTAAAATATGAAATTCATAATTTTTTAGGACTCAGTTGACTTTGGTGTTGAGAAGAAAATCGAGAGACCACCATTTGGAGCTCCACCAACAAAATCGACTGTTTTTGGTGTTCAATCGAAACCAAGTTTTCTCAATTCGAAATCAACGAAAATTGAGCAAGAAACAAAGTCAACTGGATTTGGCACACCACCTGCTCCGGTTCACAAATTTGGACAACAAACAGAAGAAAAACCTGCTGGCTTTGGTGCAGAACCTCCTTTTGGAATCCAACAATCGAAGCCAAGTGGATTTGGAGAAACCAAATCTAATGTTTTCGGCATTCAACAACCAGCAAAACCAAGTGGATTCGGTGAAGAAAAATCAAAACCAACTGGCTTCGGAGAAAAAGCGGCTGTTTTTGGCACCCAAGAACCAACAAAGCCAAGTGGATTTGGAGACGACAAAACGCATGTTTTCGGTATTCAAAAGCCCAAACCGAGTGGATTCGGTTCGAATGTCAAAAATGCAGCGACTGGTGAAATGAGCCCATTCAACAAACCTCCACCAACTGAAGAAAAACGACAAGGTTCACAATTTGGTGCAGATTTCACTCGGCCAAGCATTGATGCTAATCAAACTGAAGACAGTTTGATGGATGGCGTTTGTACGGATGAAGATGAAACGATATTGATGTCGAACCAATCTGTCAAACATCAACCGGGTTCTCGCGTCGGTTCAGATTTTCAACCACCCAGCTCGAGCACATTTGCCGTAAGTTGACACACTTCTAGATATAAGTTATTTTTAACAAAATCCTATTGTTTTTTCAGAAATCAACATTTGGTTCCGATTCAAATCGCCCATTCCAACAAGGTTCACAATTTGGTGCGGATTTTGAGGCGCCTGTTAATGCTCCCACTGTTGCATCACTCAATTCGAAACAACCAGAAAAACGTCCATTCCAAGGCTCACAATTTGGAGCAGATTTTGAAGCGCCAAATGTTGGTACAAATACCAAAGCGGTTCATCATGATGTTGCACCACCTCAAAATCGTCCAATACAACGACAACAAGATTTGGATGCTTTGTCAGATGATGGATGGGCTGAGGACAATTCTGAAATCGCACTACCACCAGAAGATTCTGTTCAAACGATTCAGTGAGTCGTACATTCGAAAAATATTAATAAATTCCAATATATTTTCAGAGCGGAAACAAGTAGCATGGTAAACCAATCACAAACAGTTATTGGAAGTCAGAAAGGTGGATTTGGTGGTTTGTCGAGTTCTGGTGGATTTGGTTCAAATTCACGAGTTCAACCACAGCCAGGCTCGAGTTCTGGAGGATTTGGAGCTCACACATCAAATGGTGGATTCGGATCACAACCGCGTTCCGATTTCGGTTCGAAACAACCATCTGGAGGATTTGGAGCTGGAACTCAATCTGCTTTCGGAACGCAGCCGCAGTCAGCTCTTGGAAATAAGCCATCTCGTGGAGAAGTACAAGACAGCGGATTCGCATCTCGATCACAGTCTGGTTTTGCCACAAAATCATTTTCTGGAGGTCTTGGAGCAAATTCAGAGTCTGGATTTAAAACTGAACCGTCTGGTGGTCACAATACAGCATTCGGAAGTAAACCAGCCAGTGGAGGATTCGGTGCTGCTCAAACAACATCTGGATTTGGAGCAAAGTCGTCTTCGGGCGGTTTTGGATCTCAACCACAACCAGGATTTGGCACATCCGCACAATCTGCTTCAAAACCATCTAATTCTGGATTTGGCACAACTTCGAAATCATCTTCTGGCGGTTTTGGAGCACAAGTACAATCTGGTTTTGGATCTAAAAATCAAAACAGCGGATTTGGAACCTCTTCACAAACCGGATTCGGATCAAAACCAGCTTTTGGAGGTGCCAATGAAGACACTGGATTTGGTTCACAACAACAATCTGGATTTGGATTATCAGCTGCTGCAAGTTCTGGCCAAACAACAACTGGTGGATTTGGCAGCAATGACAAAGGATTTGGTCGATATGCGTCGTCAAATCAAGGAGAAGGTCGGCCAGAACAAGACAGAACTTGCTACAATTGTAGAGGTGTTGGACACAGATCTAGTGATTGTCCAGAACCACAGCGACCAAAAGTATGCAATAATTGTCAAGCAGAAGGTCATTTTTCGAGAGAATGTGATCAACCAAGAAGAGCACGTCCATGCCACAACTGTCAACAAGAAGGACATTTTGCAGCCGAATGTCAAAATGAGCGAGTTGAGATTGCGCCACCTGGAGCTTGTACAAGATGTAAAGAAGAGGGTCATTGGAGTAAAGAATGTCCAACTCGTCCACGCGATTGTAAGTTTTTTGTTCATCAAAATTCATAATAATAAATAATTCATTTTTCAGTGGATGGCAATATTCTTCAACCATTCGATTATGTTGAAAAGGCCGAAGATGAGTTGTTCGAAACAATCAAACCAACATCTCAATGGTGGATTGATCAAGAACAGGACATTGTTATTTCGATGGCAGATTCGAATATTCCAGACATCAAGTTAGTTTTATACTTTGAAAATAAAAAAATAAGTTCAATTTTTCAGATCATTCGAGCAATTTCCGCAAATCGACGAACAAGTTTTGGAAAATTTAAAGCGAATGCAGCTCGAGATTCCGATGCCCATTCAACGAGCCGCTTATCGACCAATTTACAGTGGAACCGATGTTGTTGCTTGTGCACATACTGGAAGTGGAAAAACACGTAAGAATTTCCTAACAATGCAAAGAACTCGCAATAAATATTTTTCAGTTGCTTTCCTTCTTCCGTTGGTTACTCGACTTCTTCAAAGTTCATGGAACTCGGATCAAGATGATGAAGTCCCATCTCCACGTTTGGTTATTGTTGCACCAACCCGTGAACTCGCACTCCAAACATTTGATGTTGTTCGAATGGTCACTTATAAAACCAGTTTGACCAAGGACATTGTTTATGGTGGAACCAGCCGATCTGGAAATTTGCAACAATTGGCAAGACATCGAAAACTCGCGATTTTGGTTGGAACAATTGGAAGATTGAAGGATTTTGTTGCATCTGGTGAACTGAGTTTGGCCAAAGTTCAACACATTGTTCTCGACGAGGCTGATCGAATGGTCGACGCACACGATTTCGGAGAAGAAGTTGTGGAATTGTTCAAGAGTTCGGAAGAGAGAACCGCACAAATGGCATTGTTCAGTGCTTCGTTCAAAGATGAAATCCAGAAACAAGATCTTCTCAAAGTGGTCAAAAGCAATTTTGCGATGATAACTGTCAACGAATTTGGAACTGCCAATCGAAACATCAAGCAGGATATCATTTGCGTTGACAGAAGTGAAAAGTTGCCCAAATTATTGGAGATTCTTGGAATCGATGAGAATTATTTGTTGATTGAAGGAAATCGTGTTCAAAACGATAAAACATTGATCTTCGTCAACTCGGTGAAATTCGCTTCCACATTGGCTGCTCGTTTCTCGGATACTGGATTGTCGGTCATGCCAATGCACAGTTATATGATGCAACAACAACGCGAACAAGTTTTGAAGGATTTCGAATCCGGAAAATATCATATTTTGGTTGCATCCAATGTTTGTGCTCGCGGACTGGATATCTCAAGATTGAGCCACGTCATCAACTATGACATGCCAGATGGAAATGGATTTGACGAATATGTCAATCGAATCGGAAGGTTAGTTATTTTAAATACAATTTGGAGCTTGAAATTTAAAATATTCAATAATTTTCAGAACTGGTCGCGCTGGTTTCCATGGCGATTCGACAGCCTTCTTCGACCAATCTGCCGATATCGAAATCGCAGGACCATTGATCAGTGTCCTCGAAAAGGCCGGAAAAACCGTGCCAGAATGGTTGAAGGACCTCAACCAATCATCAGCTGCCCACCAAGATGCCGATGCTGAAGAAGAATGGTGAACACCATTTCTTTTTAAATAATTTCAATGTACCATCATTTTTTGTTTGGTATTTTTATCCCCACTTCTTTTCATGTATGTTGTTTTATAATTTTTATTTTATTTTTGTTTAAAAGTTTTTTTAATTATAAATTTTTGATTCAAACTTATGACGTGGCAAGTTTACGAGATTTCCCATGCCACTCTTCCAGACAAACTTGTCAGTGTTAATTTTTAAACCAATCAATTTCTCAAAAGTCGGAATGTTTTCGTCGCTTTCAATTCTTCTCATTTTTCTCCATCATGCGTAGTGCTCCAACGCAGCTCGAAATGATGTTTTCGTAAATAGATTCTGTGGTTATCCAAATTATCATCAGGAAACAACATTTTTCTTGGAAAACACTTATTTTTGGAAACAACTTATTTCGGTCAAACATTTGTAAATCTGGAAGATCTTCCAGTTTTGCAAATGCATAATTTTCGAGCCAAAATTCATGATTCTACTGGAATTTCCAGTATGAAATTTTTATTATTTCATATATTGAGAATTTATTGATTACTGTCTTCAAATTGTACTATTTTTTGATTGTTTTTTAAAATTCCTTAACTTTCCCAAGTCATATTTTTTTACCCTTCCAGACAAACTTTTCTTCAAAAACCAATCATTCATCTTCTTTTCTCAAAATTCTAAATGTTTTCGATTCCAACTCTCCTCATTTTTCTTCATTTTCAATCCTCCAACGCAGCTCGAAATGATGTTTTCCTATTTGAAATCGATGTTTTATGTGGTTATCCAAATTCTGACTTTCATATTATGATAAAAGAAGTTGATAGCTTGTGAGAGAGAATATTCTCAATTCAAAAAAAAACAAAAAACAATTTGAATTCAACATCGAATGATCAAATAGTTCAAACAAATACAATGCTTTTGACAAAAAATCAAACACATTTAACTCTGAATGGAAATCAAGATGGTGATGAAGAAAGATCAAAAGGATATGAATGGATTGCTCATATTACACATAACTGTAATTCCAAAGCTGAAATTAGAACATTTGATGTTTTCGATAGGAAACAGCTTGATAAAATTCCTCTCAATCAAAATACGAAAATCAGTTTTTCGGTTGATTTGACAGATTTTGAGACTAGATCTTTGTGGCCAATTATTCTTTATGAGAAAATTTGAATTTGATAAAGATTTTCGATGAGATCGTTTATTCACAACGTTGTGCAATTAGGGGATAAAAAATTAGAGAAAAAAAAAGAAGAGAAAAATCGTGTGAATTTAGTGCAAATCTCACTGAAAACGGCGAGTTGAGTGAAATGGGTCCAATTAATCCATATTTTCGTCGTCATCAATTTTTGGTGCCAAATAGAACTTCAAAAATCCATTATCTTCGATTGGATATTCAACAACAACTGGAACATCATTACAAAGCGAAAGACGAACTCGATCACCCAAAGTTGTGGCTTTTGTGAATTGATTCATATATTTGATTGAGAAATTGACATTGACTGGATCTTTGACTTCCAATGAAACAGCTTCATTTTCATCATCTGTTGAAGAAGATGGAGAATATGTCACCACTGATGAACCAATATCTCCTTTTCCAGTGAAAACGATTGCAGACTGAAAAAAACATTTTGTGTTTTTTTTAACCCAGCCGCAGTCCCAAAATTAATTACCACTTCCCCAAAATCCTTACCTTAGTCGCAGTGATGTTCAACGAATCCGAGAAGGTGGCCAAATCCTTGCAAGTCTTTTGAAACTCGGCAGCTGGCATCTCACAAACAACCGAATATTCTTGATCCGGAATTCCCAAGTGTTCGCTATCAATATCCATCATTTTGACAGTAACATCTTGAGTTTTGTCGCGTTTTGGATCGGCAAAAGTGAACACGATCGAATCGCCCTCGTTTTCCTCGTATTTCAACATGCATGTGTCGTCGTTGTTGGCACATTTCAACGCTTTTGACATATTGGCCAATGAGAGTCCCAAATTGATGGTACGGTCGCATCGGTAGGTGTCGAACAAACCGACCTGAAATTAAATTTTTTTGAAAAAATTATGCAGCAGAATAAAAACTACGTGTTGTGACGTGAACATTTTCACATTTTTTAGTAGATTTCCATTTGTTCATAACGATCCAATAGTCAAATTCTACTTACAAGTTATGACATGGCAAAGTTCAATGGATGTTTCTCGAAGTTTGCCACGTCATAAACTCAAATTTAGAATTGAGATGAATAGAATTTGACTATGGGATCGTTATGAACAAGTGGAAATGTGACGATTTGCCACGTCATAAGAGGGCTTCAAGTAGTTTTTGATATGTAGAGCTTGAAAACGCACCTCCAACTTCAACGAAACCAAAGCGACATGAGACGAATCCATGGCTTGAAGACTCATAGCAGTTTCGGAGCAATCAAATGGTGCATCGGTGACCAAATCCTTGATCGATTCGACGATTTTCTTGAGAAGTCCAGCGTTTGCGAGTTTGGCCTCGAACATTTTGTTAGTTGTGTGTTGTCTGTAAAATTTAGGAGATTTTTTAGAGTAGGTTGGGGTGGAATATAAGTCTATTTCAAGGAAAAAGTCAAATTTCGCAACAAAAAACCCTACCTAAAATCACATGTTTCGCCTAAATTTCCCCGAACCCAAGAATCTCGAGCACCTTAGAGCACTTAAGAAACTCCTTAATAACCTAAACTTCAACGAAACACCCTAAAACCCCAGCAAAATGAGCGAAAGAATGAGAGCGTGACAAAAACGAAGAAAAACGAAAACGAAATTTTTGGCGGGCTGTCGGTTTCGCGGGCATTCAAAAAATTGCGTCAGTGTTGAGCCACATTGCGGACCTGGCATTTGATTTGACGCGCATTCATTTTTATTTTTTTTTCGGGAGAAAAAGGTTTTTTGGATCAGAAAGTGATTTTGAAGGGTATAAAGTTGCAAAATGGGTAAACGCGATTATTCACCGTGAGTTTATTGAACCAGAAGCTGAAAATATCTTAAATTTTCTACAGAAAGCGTAAAAATGAGCGGAGAAATGATGAAGTTTCAAAAATGCGAGATAAAATGAGAAATGGCTTGGAACAAGCATCCACATCGAAAAGAAGAGAAGAATATACGCATAGTTCAGAAGTGTTGGATAAATTTGAAACTTCAGGATTTCAACCAGCCACGTTTCGAACAGGAGAACGAAAAAAGGAGACATCCAAGGAGAAATCGCAAAATTCGCACGATTCTGCGATTTTTGGACCCGCCTGGAAATCGGCTGAAACAAGGAAAAAGTTGGAGGAGAAACAAGAGGCTTTTGTTGAGGAAATTCCGATGCCAGTGTCGAAATCGCATGTTCCAATGATACCTGATCATGTGAGTGCTTTTGGGGTGAAAACTTGATGAAAATTTCAAATTTTGGTGAAAAATTTATGAAAATCATGAAAAATTGCCGGAAAATCCTAGTTTTCACTGAAATTTTGTTGAAAAGCTGAAGTTTTATGGAAAATTTCGAGTTTTTTGTTGAGAAAAGGCTCTCAAGTTTTATTTTATTGATTTTTCATCGAAAAATTCAAGTTTCTCTGTAGATTTCGCTGAAAATCTGATATTTCATCGAAAAACCTGAAATTTATCTTATTTGGAACTGAAACATCGAGTTTTCTTCGATAAAATTCAAAAAATAAAAATTTCCAAACTGCCACGTCATAGTTCACGTGAAAAATTTTGAATTTAAAAAATTCGCGCTAAATTTTGCAATCTGTGACGTGGCAATTGAAAATCTCAAATTTTCCCCGCATTGCTCATAATACACTAATTTTCAGATGCTCTCGGAGCACTCGGAAACTCGCAAAGCACAATGGTTCGAATATTGGAAGTCTACCAGGCAGCAATTATTGTCCTAAGCTTTAGGGCTCAAAATAAGGGTCTTAAGGCCTTAAATACCTTATTTATAAGTATTAATTTATTCTGACAATAAAAAGTACATAAATGCTTTCGGTAAGACAAAATAAATGCACAATATTATGCGAAAAATACACGTCTTGGGGGTAAATTCAAAATCAATTTGTGTTTTTTTTACAAGCGGGGAGCATAAAATTTAGTAAAGAAAGAGAAAATCAGCGATTTTGTGAGATAAGTGATCGAATTTCGAGGGGATTTGTTGAATGTTGCGATGTTCCTTGTTGATTCTGATGATGAATTTTGAAGTTTTGCGGAAGCATTGAAGCAGAAGCGGCTGATAGCATTTGTGGTTGATACATTGAGAGACCAGAATTTTGATGGATTAGATTCAGGTCGGAATTTTGAGCCGATTCTTCTTTGTTGTTTCGGCAACGCTGCAAAAATTATTGATTTTTTGGGGGACATTTGGGAGAATTGACACTGATTGCATATTTTCTCTCTAAATCTTATGATATTTTTGAAACAGTGAGAAATTTAGGAACAAATTTTTCTAGGAAATTGAATTTTGGGAGATTTTCCTGGAAAAATGCTGTGTCAATGTTTCTAGATTTGAATGCCTGGATTTTCAGTCGAATTCCAGCTAGAATTTTCAGGTTTTCTAAAAACACAAAATAATCCCTTTTTGTGTTCAATTTTCTGATGATTTTCCTGAGAAAATTTGAATTTTCAGTTGAAATTTCGAGAAAAAAACAAAAATATTGAAAAATGCGATTTTTTCAGAAAAAAATATTTTTTACAAGTTAAATTTCACAAGTTAGAAATTTCATACAATATCAAACGATTTTATAAATAATTATTCTCTAAAAAATTTTGGAACAGTGAAAAAATGAGATTTTTCTGTGAAATTATTTCATGGAAAATCTTTTTTTTTTGGTCATATATGAACGAACCATCAAATTTATTTTGGTGTGTTTTTATTTGAAAAACTTTTGAAACAGTGAAATTATAAAAATAATGAAAAATTCAATTTTCCATGAAAAATTGTGTTTTCTGTGTTGAATTTTCTGCTTTTCTTGGGAAATTTGGATTTTCTGTCAAATTTCAGCTAAAACAACGAAAAAATATTTTTTCTAAAGATGAAAACTCCATTCTTACAATATCAAACGATTTTATAAATAATTATTCTCTAAAGACATTTGAAACAGTGAAAAATTTAGATTTTTTGTGAAATTATTTCATGGAAAATCTTTGTTTTTTCTCGTACATGAAGGAAACATCAAATTTATTTTGGTGTGTTTTTATTTGAAAAACTTTTGAAACAGTGAAAATATCAAAATCAAAAACCGTGTTTTCTGTGTTAAATTTTCTTGAGACAATTTGGAGTAGCAGTCAAATTTCAGCCGAAACAACGAAAATTAATTTTTTAAAAAGACATTCATACAATATCAAACGATTTCATAAATATTTATACTCTAAAGACATTTGAAACAGTGAAAAATTGAGATTTTTTGTGAAATTATTTCATGGAAAATCTTTGTTTTTTCACATACATGACGGTAATATCAAATTTATTTTGATGTTTTTTCATTTGAAAAACTTTTGAAACAGTGAAATTATAAAAATAATTCAAAATTCAATTTTCCATGAAAAATCGTGTTTTCTGTGTTGAATTTTCTGCTTTTCTTGAGAAAATTAGGACTGTCACTCAAATTTCAGCCAAAACATCGGAAAATTTTTTTTACAAGTTAGATGAAATTTCATACAATATCAAACGATTTTATAAATAATTATTCTCTAAAAAATTTTGAAACAGTGAAAAAATTGAGATTTTTTAATGTGAATTTCATGGAAAGTCTGTTTTTTATCTCATATATGAAGAGAACATCAAATTTATTTTGGTGTGTTTTTATTTGAAAAACTTTTGAAACAGTGAAAATATAAAAATAATGAAAAATCGTGTTTTCTGTGTTAAATTTTCTGATTTTCTTGGGAAATTTGGATCAAAATCGAAAAAATATTTTTTTAAAGATGAAATTTCATACAATATCAAATGATTTTATAAATAATTATTCTCTAAAAAATTTTGGAACAGTGAAAAAGTGAGATTTTTTGTGAAAATATTTGTTTTTTTGTCTCATATATGAACAGCTAAAACATCGAAAAAGAATATTTTTTACCAGGTAAAAACCCATTCATATCATAAAAATTTTATAAATAATTATTCTCTAAAAAAATTTGAAACAGTGAAAAAAAAAAGAGATTTTTTTGTGAAATTATTTCATTGAAAATCTTTGTTTTTTTGTCCCATTTATGAAGAAAACATTGAATTTATTTTGGTGTTTTTATTTGAAAAACTTTTGAAACAGTGAAAATATAAAAATATAAAATCATGTTTTCTGTGTTAAATTCTTCAGATTTTCACGCTGAAAACTGAATTTCCAGTCAAATTTCCCCAAAATTCCCTCCCAAAATACTCCTTACCTCTTCATGTTTTTTCTTCTCATCCGCCTTATGAAATCGTCTCAAACAAGTCAAACAAACAAATGGTTTATCGCTCGAATGAATTCGTTCGTGTTTTGCCAAATGATCAGAACGGGCAAAAGATCGCAAACAAGTTCGACACTGCAAAAAAAATTTGGAATTTCAGGTTGAAAATAGTGAAAAACAGGATTTTTAGATGAAAAAACCTGATTTTTTCAGCAAAAATCCAAAATTTCAGCCCAAAACCAACCTGAAATAATCTCTGTCCAGTATGTATTCTCATATGCCTTTGAAGATGATCATTTCGGCAGAATCTTTTTTGACAATCGGGTTTCGGGCAAATAAATGGGCGCTCTTTGGGAAGTCCCTGGAAAAACAACAAAAATTTGAGATTGCTCACAAATTTGTGATTTTTTTGTGAAAAAAAACTAATTTTTCAATCGAAAAATTTCACTGTTTCAATAATTTAAAAAATAAAGTATTTGTCTCAAATTTCTGATAAATCACCTTTTCTGTAAACCAAAAATTTAACTGTTTCAAAAATTTTGTGGCTGAAATTGAACGTAAAACATTTTTTGAGCTATTTTTTCAGAATTTTCTCAAATTTCTAACAAAAAAATATTTTTCCCCATCAAAAACTCACATTAGCATCCAACGTTGGCCTTCTTCCTTCTCCAGTTCCTTTTTTCTTTTTCGACGTCTGAAAATTCGAGAATTTCTAATTTTTCGGCCGAAAATTCAAGGCTTACTCTTTGCTGTGAATTATTTGACATCATATTATTTTGTGGGGGCAAAAAATCGAATTTTTGTTGGCCATTTAGTAGAAGATTTGAGTCGAACATGCCGTGTGGTGAATCTTGTGGTTGATAAGCTGCAAAATTTTAGATTTCTCGCTGGTCAAAACAGAAAAATTCAACCAAAACAAAATTTCAAAAAATTTTGAAACCTATTTTTTCCTGGGTTATTTTCAGTCAAATTTGGTGTCAAAATCATCAGAATTTTCGAGATTTTCTATTTTTACTCTTTCAAAAACCAACTCACCTCCAGAAATCAATTGATTAACTCGATTCAAAACTAACGCAGCTGCTCCACCCGGTGCATTTTGGTGGATTTGTTGCTGTTGTTGTTGCTGTTGCTGCATTTGATGTTGCTGAAAATTCGGGAATTTTCGGAAAAATTTTTTTTAGGTTTTTTATTATCGAATATTTTATCATGTTGCCAGGACTGATTGGAAATTTCCAAAAAACTTGGAAAGTGTATATTTTTTGAAACAGTGAAATTTTTCGGAATAAAAACGATCAGTTTTTATTATAGAATTGAGTTATGACGTAGAAAATATGAACATGTCGAGTGATTAAAGAAGATTTCTACAATCAAAAATTATACCTAAATTTTGAAACAGTAGATATTTTTATGAGAAAAAAAACAATTTTTGTGGAAAAAAGCATAATTAAAAATCTGATAAATTTTAGAAAAATTGAAAATGAATCTAAATTTTGAAACTGCAAATTTTTTGAAAAAATATTGTTCAACAATCTCAACAAAAATTGAAGTGAAAATTTTCAAAAAACATGAAAAAAGTAACTTTTTTGAAACAGTGAAATTTTTTCTGGAAACAATCAGCTTTTATTACAGACAATAAGTTGACTTAGAAAATTTGAATATTTTGAGTTAACAAAAATCATATAGCGAAAATCAAAACAAAAATTTCTACAATTAAAAATTATACCTAAATTTTGAAACAGTAGATATTTTCATTGAAAAAACCATTTTTGTTGAAAAAAAGCATAATTAAAAATCTGATAAATTTTAGAAAAATTGAAAATGAATCTAAATTTTGAAACTGCAAATTTTTTTAAAAAATTATTGTTCAACTGAAGATTTTCAAAAAACTTGGAAAAAGTAACTTTTTTGAAACAGTGAAATTTTCAAGTCATCTTGGGTCTTAATTTCTAGATTTTTTTTGAAAATTACATAAATTCCAGGTTTTTTGCAGCTAAAAAATGCATGGGATCAGAAATCTAATTTTTCTAACATTACTAGTGCCCAAAATCCATGTTTTGGTCAAATTTTCATCTCAAACCCAAAAAAAACTCACCATCTCCTTCCTGGCTTGAAAATTGGAAGTTTGCGGGTCCGTGGAGCTATGCATCATTCGATTCATCCTAAAAATCCCCACATGTGCCTTTAAGGACCACAGTACTTCAAAAATATGTCTACCGTATCAAAATAACGGTCAAAATTCAAAAAGCACAAAAAATCAATAAAATTTCTTCCAACAAAAAAAAACAAATTAACAAAAAACTTAACAACAAAACAAAAACTATCTAGCGTTTTTTGCCGGATTTTTTGGCGGCAAACTTTCCGCCTCCGCTTCCGGAACCTCCTCCGCGTTTCGGCGCCATTTTCTTCTTCATATTCTCGCCACGTCGATGATCCATATAATTTTGAAGTTTCTCTTGTTTCCGGCGGCCTTTGAGAATTTGATCGCGATTTTTGAGTTCGGAATGTTTCGGACCGGATTTGGCCGCGCCCCATTTTCGTTTTCTCGAATTCTGAGCCATTTCATGATCTTGATCATCTCCATCTTCTTGATTTTTCTTATCAAATCCAATTTTCTGCTTCTGTTTCCATTCTTCATATTTTCCAGTTTTATACGAGGCTGGCAGCCAAGTTCCATCTTCGGTTCGGATTTTTTTGTTTTGTGGCTCATCGGAGGTGCCGACGTATTTTTTGAGACGACGATCCCTGGAAATTTGAAGTTTAATATGAGCAATGCTTGAAATTGCAGTCAAATTTCCCGTGAATTTTTAAGATTTTTCCGAAATTTTCAGATTTTCAGTTGAATTTTCCTTAAAGTTTAAGTTGCCCAAAATTAAGGTTTTTCACGAAAAATTGAAAATTCAACCAAAAACTCGAAATTATGAAAATATTGAAACAGTTAATTTTTTGGCTTTTGAAAATTTTAATTTCGAAAATTTTGACCTAAAATTAAGCTGAATATTGCACCAATTTGAAGTTTAATATGAGCAATGCTTGAAATTGCAGTCAAAGTTGGTCTCATCTCATAATGATCAGAATTTTTCAGATTTTCAGCATACTGGTAAAATTTCCAGACTTTTTTGGGCCCGGCATACTGTAATAGTTTTTGTCTCGAAAAATTCGAATTTTTATCTGTTTCAAAAATAACACATGAGAAATTCAAAAAACTGTTTTGATCAACTAGAATAAATTTCACTGTTTCAAATTTTCTTTATCAAAAAATCTATTTTTCCGATTTTTGATAAAGAATTTATATGAAATTCAGAAATGTGTTAAATAATTTTTTAGACATAAAATGATGCAGTTTTGAAGATTCTCGACTAATTCACATGTTAGAAATTTTAAAAAATGATAGCTTTTCATTATTTATTTTCAATGTTCATCCAAAAACCCTTTTCTCACCATCGTTTTCCATGTTGTTGCTTATACATTCCTCGATCATCATCCATAATAATATCAACTGATGCACCTTCAGCCTGTTTCGCAAAATCCACTTTATCCAGTGCCAATTGTCTCTCCGAAACATGATCAGCAGATGTATAAGGAACATAATGATTTTTTCGCTCCAATCTCATTTGTTCAGCTCGATCCACCTTTTTCCCGCCAATTTTTTTCTTTTTTTGCTCCAATTTCTCTTCGGATTTTTCGTTGTGTTTTGTGGAACCGATAACTGTTGAGAAGACGGTAGCCTGAAATTAAATTCAGGATTTTTAAGGCGAAAATTCGCTAAATCTTGATGTGAAAATTGCCACGTGGCTTTTTTCGCACCAAATTTTGACAAAAAATCATTTGAATTTGTTGAAAAAAGGAATACATGACAAAATTCAAAAAAACTGTTTTGATCAACTAAAATAAAATTCACTGTTTCGAATTTTCCTTATCAAAAAATATTTTTTCCAATTTTTGATGATTTTTCCAATCCAATTTTCCCATTTTTTCACTGTTTCAAGAATTTCATAAGATATTTTCGAAAATTTTCCAATTCGATCTTCTTCTTCTCACAACAACAAAAAAAAATTTTTTTTCACTGTTTCAAAATTTTTTAAATTATTTTCGAAGCTTATCAGAGTTTGGTGAATAAAATGTTCTCATTTTCAGCCTAAAAATCTAGAATTTTCAGTTAAAAACACAAGCTTTAGGTTACAATCAACTTTTAATGGAAAATCTCTGAATTTCAGCGAGAAAATTGAATTTTCAGGGGTTTTTTTGAACAAAAAATCAAATTTTTTTTTTGAAATTTCATTATTTCAGAAAATCCCACCAATTCTTCCTCATTCGCCTGAATTTCAGCATTCTTCACAATTTCCGCATTCTCCTCTTCTCTTTCTTTTTCCGCCGCTTCTTTCAGTTTGCGCTTTTCCTCATTCACAATTTCAATGCGTCCTTCGTGCGCTTTCCGTTTTTGTTGCATTACAGCCAAAGCTTGCGATTTTGTCGATTTATTCATTTCGAAAATTGTTGAACGACTTTTGTAGTTCGCAATTCGATTCAAAATACTCGCAGATTGCTTGTCATCTTCGGTTTTGAGGAATGGATGAGGTGCACATTCTGTGGATTCGGATCTGGAAAATTTGAGAATAAAATTGTGAAAAATACCCTAGAAAACTGAATTTTTGACCAGGAAAACATGGGAATTATGGAAAATTGACCCAAAAACTATTACTGAAAATTGGAATTTTTATTCTGATTTTCTTACAATTTTTAAAGTTTGGATCATACAAATGAATATGCACAATAATATCATTTAAACAAAACAATTGTAAAAATATTTTTCAATAAAACTTTTTTGAAACAGTGAAAAAATAAAGTTTCTGGAACAAAACAAAAATTTTTGGTGATAAAAACTAAAATGTGATTATGAGTCATAATTTTCTCAATTTTTTAAAAAGATTTTCATCGATTTTTGGTTAGAAAATGAGTCATTTTTGAGGGGGTTTTGGAAATTTTCAGAATCAAAATTAGGTCTGAAAGAGCGCACTTGAATTATTTGATTTTGAATTTCAAAAATTCGAAAACTACAAATTTTGCAAGGAAGTTCAAGGGGTTTTCAGGTTTTTCAAATTTTAAGATTTTAATGAAAATCCAACCTAATATCCTGTTTAACTCGTCTAGCCGATTCAGCAGATGGTGGTGGTCGAGTTCTCGTATGTTTCATCATCGCATTCGTCGCTTTTTGTCTCAAATCCAACATATCTTCATTATTATCATGAATCGAATTGAAAAACTCCGTCTCCAAACTGACAATACTTTCCGGAACTCTTCCAATCAATGTTTCCGATTCATTATAAATACTCGAATCCTTTGCAAAATTGATAGGTTTTCCCAAAAAGAGGAAAAGATCTGTTAGATATGGTAATTCATCATTAGCAATAAGAGAAATGGCAGTTCCAGTTCTTCCAGCTCTCGCAACTCGCCCAACTCGATGAACAAAAAGTTTGGCTTTTGGTGGAAAATGTAGATTGATAACAGTATCCAAGAGGGGAATATCAACACCTCGTGCAGCGACATCAGTTACAACAAGAATATTATTCTGTTTTTCGTGGAATTTTTGAATATTCAATTTTCGCGCCGTCGCATCCAATTGTGAATATACAAATGAGCAATCAATTCCAGCTCGATGCAAGATTCCAACAATATATTCGACGTGTTTCATTGTGGCACAAAATACGACTGTTTGCTTGTTTTCTCGGTCCATTCGGCGACATAAATGAAGTAAGGCAAAGAGTTTTTCTTCCGGGCGGCACATACAGAAAACCATTGACAGTTTTTCACTCACTTTTTCATCGACATCAAGGCGGACTGCAAATTATAAAGGGTTTTGGGTTTAACATTTATTTTTGACTGAATTTTCCACTGAAAAATGGTCCGGTAGGTTTTCTGGGCTGAAAAACCAAAAATTTCTAATTTTTTTTTAAATTAAAACATGTCCAGCTTAATTTCTGACTGTAAAGTTTGATTTTCAGACCTATAGCCCGGTTCAGAAGAATTTTCAGACGAAAATTCTTTTACATTCAGATTTTCGAGCCCAGGAATATTTTCCAAACAAATTTTCAATTGAAAATTGAGCCCCGAAACAAATTTGAAGCTCATAAAACCAATTTTCAAGTTTATTAGCTGAAAATTTCAGCTCCAGAAAAATTTGTCATAGTGAAAAACTCCTCTTTCAAGAATTCTAAGCTGGAAGCTCAGCCCGAACTGATTTTTCCTTACAATTTTTTTGGAAATATCAATTTTTCATACCACAAAAGCGATAGAATCCGAAATTTTGACATCTTTGGGCGAAAATCCAGTGTTAAGAGCATTTTTTTTCAATCTTTTTAGCTTTAAATCAAGGTTCAGAAAGAGTCCTGAAGGTTTTTGAGCCAAAATTGCATGAAAATTCTGATTTTTGAACTCGAGACACCTTTCGGGCCAAGTTTTCATAATTTCCGATTGAAAATTGGGCCTCAAAGTGAATTCACAGCTCCAAAATTGATTTTTAAGCTTTTGAGCTGAAAATGCTGCTCCAGAAGGATTTTTCAGTCCAGGAAACATCAAACACCAATTTTTCAAGTTTTCTCACCCAACATCGGATCAGTCAATCCAGCCTTCGCAAAATCAACCAACATTTTCGGCAGCGTCGCAGAAAACAACAAAGTCTGTCGACTTTCCGGAATTCTCTTCAATGTCTCCGTCAATTGATCCTGAAATCCCATCTCAAACAATCGATCAGCCTCATCAAAAACCACATATTGCACAAAACTCAATCTCAAATCCATCTCAACAATCACATGTAAAAGACGTCCAGGGGTAGCCAATAGAATATCTGGATTCTCATGAATCGTCGAAAATTGTTCATCAATCGCATCTCCTCCAACTAAACAAGCACATCGTAATCCAGTGAATTTTCCCAATTCTTTCACAATTTTGAATGTTTGAAGAGCTAATTCTCTTGTTGGTGAAATCATCAGTGCTCGGATTCCCTTTGTATCTCGTCTCTTTAACCTTTGCAACATTGGGATAACAAAAGCCGCAGTTTTTCCAGAACCAGTTCGAGACATTGCAACAACATCTTTTCCATCCATAATACAAGGAATTGTTTTTCTTTGAATCGGAGTTGGCTGTTTGAAGCCTTTCTTCTCGATTGCTTTATAAACCGCATGATCTAAGCCAAGAGTTTGCCAACCTCCCGCTTTTTTCTGCTTTCGATTTTGTTCAATCTGCAAAGCGGTGAAATCCTCCTCTTCTTCATTAAAATCTTCCATGTTTTACCCTGAAATATCACAAAATTATATTTTCAATGAAACTGTCAAAAAAGAAAATAAAGAGAAGCACGCGAAATTGACCTTTTCAAATGTCGTCAGGTCTAGTGTCCGGTGTTTGCACACTTTTAAATGCAAACAATGAGGGGAACAGGCAGTGGTAGAAAGGAGGAAAAGGATGTTTCGCTTCGAAAAAACGTTTCGAAAACAGGACGGATGGAAAAATGAAAACAAAACAACGAGACTCCGCGGATTACGTTGCATGAATTATCGATTTTCAGTGGAAAATGTGAAGATTTCTGGAGATTTTTCTCAATTGCGGTCAAGTTTAACTAGAAATCCAGCAGTTTTTGAAGTTACAGCAAGAGCAAGAAAAGTTCAGGCAGAAAACGGAGAAAATCCAAGAAATTTCTAGAAACCAATTCAAAAAATTTTTTTTTAAACATTGCGCACTACGGTATTTTCAAATGTGTGCAACGCAAAGTGTTTGCACACATTTAAAATTTCCCACAGTAATACCTGCTATTTTGCTGATGAGCTCATTTATTGTTTGAAAAGACAGATAAAAAATAACATGGGGAATTTAGAATAACAATTGAAAATTTAAAATTTGGGAAGAGAGATAAACATGAGCAAAAATCGAGTAAAGTCCAACAATTAATCCAGATTATCGTCATCACAGATTTGTGGGGCCAAATGGAATTTCAAAAATCCATTGTTCTCGATCGGATATTCAACAATACCCGGAGCATCATTCGAAAGCCAAAGACGAACTCGATCACCCAAAGTTGTGGCTTTTGTGAATTGATTCATATATTTGATTGAGAAATTGACGTTTACTGGATGTTTGACTTCCAATGAAATCGCGTCATTTTCATCATCGGTTGACGAAGATGGAGAATATGTCACCACTGATGAACCAATATCTCCTTTTCCAGTAAAAGTGATCGCAGTCTGGAAAAAGAAAAAGGATATGTGAATTTTGCTAAATTCGTTATAACGTCAAAAAACCCAATTTTCTCTTGAAAACTCGTTCCCTGACCTGTTATAGATAATTTTGCTTGAAAATTCTAGTTAGAGAGCATCATAAAGTGCTTCAAGACATAAATTATCAGATCCCATTGAATGAACAATACAAATCAGGTAAATTCAAACATCCCGCGCGCACGCGTCAACGCGGAGTCTTGTTTTTTCGGAATTTTTCATCGAATTTTCTATGTTTCTGATGAGCTAATTGTAAGCCAATTTTCAACAAAACGTGTATAAATACTCACTCTAGTTGCTTTGATGTTCATCGTATCGGAAAATGTGGTCAATTCTTTGCAAGCCTTTTGAAACTCGGCAGCTGGCATCTCACAAACAACCGAATATTCTTCATTTGGAATTTGCCAGGCGACGCTGTCAATATTCATCAGTTTGAGAGTCCATTCCGTTTCTTTGCTGTTTCGGCCGTCGAATATGAACCCAATCTGCTCGCTCTTCTTTTCATCGTATTTCAACATGCAAGTGTCATCATTGCTGACTTGTTTCAAGTATTTTGACATATTGGCCAATGAGAGTCCCAAATTGATGGGGCGATCGCATCGATACGTGTCGAAAAATCTAGCCTGAAATTGGAAATAAAGTAGGAGTTGTACACACTTTTCATCCGAAAATCCCCCATTTTCAGACCCAAACTCACATTCAATTTCAAGCAAACAAAAGCCACATGAGATGAATCCATGGCTTGAAGACTCATAGAAGTTTCGGAGCAATCAAATGGTGCATCGGTGACCAAATCCTTGATCGATTCCACGATTTTCTTGAGAAGTCCGGCGTTTGCAAGTTTGGCCTCGAACATTTTCTCGATTTCTCTGAAAAATTTTATTGTGACTATAAACTGCAAAAAAACGAAAATTCTACGCTGAAAACCCCGAAAAAAACGAAAAAAATTGGGCCCAAAATTTTTTTTCATTGAGCGCTTCAAGACCAACTACGTATTGTCCTCTCTAATTTCCCCCTACCCCCGCGACGCGTGTGCGTTGCGGTCGCTTTCACATACAATTCAACTACGGTAGCCATGGAATGTTTTTCCTGGCTGATGCCATCGGCAAATTATTTTTGTTGATATGAACTAACTTGTGACCAAAAAAAGTCCAGTTAGCATACTGTAGCTATGTGTTGATTTTAAGCTCCGCCCATTTCTGTACAATGTGAAGCCCGTCATCATGGAATCAAGTCGAAAATTTTTTTTTCGATTTTTGGAATTTTTTGGAATTTCAGTTCATTTTTAGGAATTTGCTAGAATGGAGTACTGTACCTATTTTTGGTCATTCCATAAATGTATCAAACGAGTTATGACGTGGCAAATTTTTGAAATACGGTTTTTCAAATAGGCTATAATTGATCTAGTCAAGAGATACGCAGTCAATTTCTAGTTATATTTGGCTGCGTACCATATTAGATACTCAGCCAATCTTTTTTTTTCTGTGAGAAATTTGTTTGAAATCGACATTCCTGGTTCAAAGATGACTGAAAATTTCGAAAATTTCAATATTGCTGGAAATAAGGATAAAATAAATTTGCCTGAAAGTTTATAGTTAAACAAATATTGCTCATATTAATTGTTGGTTCTCAAAATGTTTTTCTCATGAATTTTTATAGCTCTTCCAGACAAAGTTCCTTTTCATTTCATAGTTTTTCATATTCCAAATGTTTCCGATTCCAATTCTTCTCATATTTCTTCATTTTCAAAGCTCACAGTGGGTTTATTTGAAAATTTAATGTGAATTTCGAAAAAAATGCAGCCAAAGGTTGCTCCTTTCAAAATTCACTTCAAATTCCACTGAGTTTCAGGGCTCATGTCATAAGATTTTCGCCAATTCGAAATGACACTTTGATCTTCGAAATTGATGTCTTCTGTGCTTATCCGAATTCTGATTTTCAAATGGAAATAAAGGAAATCGATTTATTGTGAGCACGGAAGCGGAAAAATCTGCAAACCTCATTCCAATTTTTCAGCACACCGAATGATGAAATAATTCCAATATTCTCAAAAGTTTTGACGAAAGTTCAACACATTTTAGTCTGAAAGTATATCAAAAAGGTGATGAAAAAGGATCATCAGGATATGAGTGGATTGCTCATATTAGTCATAATTGTAATTCGAAGGCTGAAATTAAAACATTGGAAGTTTATGATAGAGATTATATTGTTCCAATTCCACTCAAACAAGATACTAAAATTAGTTTTTTGATTGATTTGACAAATTATGATTATTTTCATTTGTGGCCGATTGTTCATATTGACAAAATTTGATTTTTATTGTAATCATGAAAAAATCCCCAATTTTTAATGAAAAAATTAAAAAACTTGAAAATCAGTATTCTAAAATCACAAAGAATTCAAACTTGTTTTTTTTTGCACACTGTGCGGTAGTTGCAAAAAAGGAGTGGCTTGATCCACGTTTTGCGCCAAAAAAATTCAACGAAAACTAGGTCACGTTTTCTTTATAAAAGGTAGTTCTGAAATCAGTTTGATCAGTTTTTCAACGAATTTTGTCAAATAAGAAAGTGACAGCAGTAAATAAAAGAATGGTGGCCAAAGCTGATTTAGGCGCTATTTTCAAGGTGAGCTAGAAAAGAGTACTGTACGGTACAGTAATCCATAATTTTTCAGTACGTCATGATTGGTTTGGGTGTGTTGCATTTATTGATTGGCATTTTGGCAGTGGTGGAGTGTGTGAGGTGAGAACTACTGTAGATTTGGTGGCTGTAGATCAAGATGCTGGAAGCAATGATTTCAAGTTTTGTAATTTTTTTCTTGGAATACTGTAGATCACGTTTGACAGTACTTTAGTTTTTCTAAACTAATCATTGTCGAAGTTGAAAACTGTGGCTGCCGTAAAAAAAACAGTGCAGAGTCGCGTGCGGCTGTGCGTGGCGGTTAGGAAGCAAACGAAATTTCGCGCCAAAAAATATTTATTGATTGCTTCCCGCGGCTTATTGATTGCCGACCGCGACGCACATCTGCTCGCGACTGAAACAAGTAATGTTTTTTCATTCATTCAACTCTGCACTGTGTTTTTTGTAACCGAACAAAACTCTGGGATCGATTCCTAGTGCCTGCGAACTATTTTCTTTTTTTTTGCAGGGAAGGAGTGACGCTTGGTGATATTTTCCCGTCAGTAAAAGATTCCTCGTTTAGTATTTCAATGCTTCCACCAACATTTACTCCATTTCTCGTCGGAGCAATTTGCCTGGTTTTCGCATTTATTCCAATTTATTACATCATTATTCCCATAATTCTTCTTGGTCTTATCGAAAGTGGTCTTTTCTTATGGACAATGATTAAAATTTTTGATTTTGAAAGTGATCTCGCTAAAATGAAAGATCCACTCGCAATCGCATTTTTGTTAATATTGATGCAAATATCTTTAGAGGAAATGAAGGATAGAATGGAAACTCTCGAAGGTATTTATGTGTTCAATAAAGTGATTTGTGGAATGGGAATATTTGTGGGAGTTGCGACAATTGCAGTCGCTGCATTTCTTGCTTTGTAAGCTCTTTTTGTTTTTTTGATGCAATTTACCCTTTTTTTTCCAGCAAACATCGACCAGGCGGTGGTGGCAGTAGATCGTTCAGCTCAACCGCAACCTCATGAATCGCGAATAGAAAATATTGTCTTGTGTAGAATTTTCAAGGTGTGCCTAAAGTAGTAACAGGTTTTTTTTGGGTACTGTAGGCATAGTCTCTTACCATTTATTCAACGTTTTATTAGTCTACGAAAAGGCTTTTCGAGAAACTGGAACATTCATTAAAAACTCAACAAAAAAATACACAAAAATTAACAGAAAAACAAAAATTTCCCTCAACAATCAAGAATTATTTTACCTGATATTTGATGTACAAAACCCGATGAGAAAGTGATTCTTTGCAAATATATAATGTCGATTTTTGATTTTTTCTGCAAAAATTGGAATTTTTGGTGGTAAGAATTTAGTTGAAAATTTCAGATTTTCAGCCATTTTTTCTGAAAAAAGTCTCTCACCGATTTCGTCTAACTTTGATCCATTTTTGGTCTGAAATTCCAGTTGGGATTTTGTCGGATAAATCGTCGCCGATTCGATTTTTGAGGCGGAGCCGAATTTCTTCGATTTCTCGATTACCCAAGAACCAATCCTGGAAAATTTTTAGTTTTTGATGTTCTGCCAGAACAGTTCTGGACTCAAATTTTTTTTTCATAAAATTCTAATTTTTCGCAAAATTTCCGAGTTTTCAAATATCCCATGAAATCGACTTATCAAAAAAACTTCCAAATTTTTTTCTTTATTAATTTTTTGAAACAGTGAAATTAATTATTTTCAATATTTTGAAAATGAATTTTCTTGATGAGCTGAAAATAGATTCTGAGCTCATTTTTTCTTCAAAAACTCGAATTTTCATTGAAAAATAACAATCTTTAGCAATTTTTAGTGAAAAGTACAGATTTTCAACGAAAAATCGCTCCAGGACATGAGATTTCGTGAAAAATCTGATTTTTGAGATCCAGGACCTAAAAATCGCTCCTTCTCGTCTTTTCCAAGCTCTTCAGCCAAAAAACTGTCCCAAGCCCCAATTTTTTGAGAAAATTTTGATTATTGAGGTTCAGGACCAATAAAATCGTCCCTCGACCTAATTTTTCAAGAAATTTCCAAATTTTGAAAATCCTGGACCTTTTAGAAATTATTTCCAGTAATTTTCAACCAAATTCCCCCTGTCCAAAATCACTTACATTAATCAATTCAACAACAGCTTCATCAGTTACATCAACTCGAAAAGCGATATTCAAAAACGGGACTTTTTTGGTGAAATTCAAAAATTGTCGATCATCCAACGGAAACACGTATTTCGAAACTTCGAAACTCAGCGAAAATTTCGAATTTTCGGGAATTTTTGTGTAATTCTGAATGCACACGAAGGTTTTCTCGTTTTCCTCGAATTTTTGCAGTTTTTCTTCAGTCCATTGTTTTTTGAAAGCCACACAATCCACGTCACCACTTGGACATCTGTAAAAATTTGAATTTTTAGGTGAAAACATTGTTTCGGACCTCTAAAAATGAAAATTTCAAGAAAAATTAAATTCTGGAGCGATTTTCAGAGTGCAGGACCTTGAAAATTAGGAATTTTCATGAAAAATTAGTCCTGGAGCGAATTTTTCAAGCCAGAACCTCAAAAATTAGAGACTTTCAAGAAAACTTGTGTCTGGGGATTTTTCTTGGCTGCAGGACCTTAAAAACTTCAATTTTTAGAAAAACATTGGTCCCGCACCTTAAAAATCATCATTTTCATCAAAATTTGGGTGCCAAAGCGATTTCTGAAGTCCATATCTCAGAAAACAAAATTTTTATCAAAAATTGATTTCTGGAGCGATTTTTTCACCTTCTAAATTTTCAAATTTTGGTCAAATACAACCTAAAATTTTTAATTTTTCAGATCTCTCCTCAAATATTTCCCCCCAAAAACGTACTTCAACAAAAATTTCTTCAATATTCCATGATTCGAATAATTTGCAGTCATCAATAATTTCATAAATTTCTTCATTTCCTCAATTGTCATTCGAAAAAGTCGTCCAAAATTCATTGCGAATCCAATTTCTCTCAAATATCCCTCATATTCCAAATTGGTTTCCGACAAAAAATTGGGATTTGAAATCGGGTCCGTACATTTTTCGAGCAGTTTTGTGGTGTCCGATTCGAGGCCAGAAATGAAACCGTGTTCAGTGAAAATGTGGAAATGATTCTGGAAATGAAAAATCTTAAAAATTGAAGGTTTTTCGATGGAAAACATTGATTTTTGAGTTCCTGAATCCAAATTTTCATAAAAATTTTTTGATTTTTGAGGTTCTGGAGTCAAAAAACTGGCTGAAAGCGCGATTTTACATGGAAATTCCAATTTTCAACAAAAAATCACTCCAAGATCCGAAATTTGATGAAAATTCCGATTTTTAAAGTCATGGACCACCAAAATCCCTCAGAACTCGAATTTCAAAAAAAAATTACAATTTTTCATCTCCCAAACCCATAAAACCAACCTCTTTGACAGAATATCCAGATTTATGAAAATAATGTTGTCCATACTGTAATTGAACCAATAATTCAGCCGGTTTGAAACTTGTAACTAATCGATATAAAACATAAGAACCATCGAATGGTTTTGTGATTGTATATTCCAAACTTTGACATTTCCATTTTTTGAAAAATGAAACTTCCAGAATTGTATCTTCTAGTTTTTCCGATTCGCTGTTCTGAAAAATATTTGGGAATTTTCGGATGAAAATCGGAAATTTTGTTATCCATATTCAAAAAAAAGTGTGTGTCAACACCGACTGCCCGTAAACACCAAATCCTACGCGCAATCTTGTAAAAATAAATAAACGACACTCCGCTCAAACAGTGTGAGAAAATTAAACAACAGGCAAGCCGTCGAGTGTCGTTGTTTTACTTTTATTTTTTGTCCTTTTTTGTTCTGGAAGCCACTAGTTACCCAGAAAATATATCACATAGAAAAAAAAATTCTCAAAACTCGATATTCCTCACACCTCAATCTGAATTCGATCAATCAATAAACATTGTGGTAAACACTCCAATTTCGCGCGTAATTTGTGATAAATTGGCTCAAGTTTAACTCGAAATTCATCATTTTCTTTAATTCGACAACATAAATCATCTCTATTCCAAGAATCATCGATTTCACATTGATAATCTCGATCTTCCCAACCGAATTTCATCAAAATCTGATTTCCAACTTTCCGAATCGTCAAACTTCCAATATTACATTCATATTTTTCAGGTTTCTCGTAGAATCTGCGAAATGCCCACATTGGAATTCCACTGATTTTTTGCTGCTCCATTATTCCCATTTCCTTTTTTTCTTCATCATTGTCATCTTCTTCTTCTTCTTCGAGTTCTCCTTCTTCCAAATTTGGGCTCTAAATGGCGGAAATTGAAATGAGCACATTTTTATTGACTTACACTACATATTAATTCTTTCTCATGATTTTGATTGACATCCATTTCTTCGCAAATTGCCTGTTTTTTGAGCGGTAAATTTTCATTCGAAAAAAAATAAAAAATAAGGTGTACCGTAGTTGCGCGTCGAGACCCATTGAACGTTTCTCATGCATGTTCCTTTAAACAGTGTGTTTTTATTTTCTTCTTTTTCTCTTTGCAGTTTTGCCAACTCAATTGACAACTGCTACTTATCTGTTCGGTTCGGAGAGAAAATGAATAGGATATATAATATTTTTTCGACATATGCTCCTCGTCATGAAACTTTTTTTGTCTTTTTCTTTTCACTTCTCCATTCTCTCGTTTTCTCATTTTCGAGATTTTGCTCTCTCTTATCCACCCAAAACATCTATTTATTGTGGCGTGAAAAAAGGCATTGAAAAAAACGCGAGTAAAATGTTTCCATTCATTCTTTTTATGCCTTTTTTTTCGAAAAGTTTTTTTTTATTTTGGAAAAAAAAACATTTGAAAATACAAAATCTGTGTGTGAGACCACTTGGAGATCTTGTATGCACCTTTAAAGGGGTACTGTAAAAATTTATTTTTTGCTTCGATTTTGTTAATTTTTCCTGGTTTTTGAGCGTTTCTGGAGCAAAAGTATCAAATTTCTAGGCGATAATTGGGCTCAAAGCCTAGAATTCTTCATTTTTTGCCTTCCCCGACTAAAAATCTGCCCAAAAAAACTTCAAAATAAAAAAACGAAGTGCTTGTCGTTTTTTCTTCTTCTTTTCAAATAGTCCATTGAGAATTGAAAAAAAAACAAACGAAAAAAAGTTTTCCCCACGCAGTGTTTTTTTTTTGAATAGTTTATTTTTTTGCAAAAACATTTTTTTTGGCGCGAAAAAGAATTTTAAATTTTTTTGCAGAAAATCTCATGGTGTTGATATGGTGGTGAATTTTTTGAATTTGAAGTGGATTTTATTATTTGCCAACGGGTTTTTCAGTTTTGGTGAGTTTTTCGAAGCAGTTGAATTTTCAAAAATAAAAATAAAAACATTTTTCACGTGACCTTGAATTTTACAACAAAAATTCCACGTGAAAAAATTTCAAAATGTTTATTTCTCAAATTTTCAAAATTCAAATTCGGTGAGTTTTTCGCTCCAAAATAAAAAAAATTCAAAATTTTCCAGCTTCATCCTACAATAGTTGTCTTCATTATCGCTCAATTTGCATTCAAAATCAAACATGTTATGAAAATTTGCAAAAATTTCAAAAAATCCTGCGATTTCGATCTCAATTTTTGCACCGGAAATTCGCCGTCCGATTGTGTTTTTAATTTACGCGAAATTCGCCGACATTTTCCCACTCAAACTTGCGCATGTTTTGAGAGTATTGGTGAGTTTTTTGTCGGGAAATTTGCAACATTTCAAAACCAAATTTGGCTATTTTTGGTGAAAAACAGAATTTTTCATGCTTTTCTGGGTTTTTGAGCCTGAAGAATTATCAAATTTCTTACAGGCTTTTCTCAAGAATGCGACTATTTTCGACAACTGATTTGGAATCATCCTTGCGAGCGAAAAATGTTGGATTATGGCGAGGAAATGCAGATGAAACATCGATATTTTCAGCGAAAACATCGACTGGAAATAATGGAAAATGGGGTGGAAAGTGAGTTTTTTTCAAAATCTAGGGAACTTTCCGAGTTTTTTTGACACCAAGTGAGCTTGGGTTTCGCGCAAAGAAGCCACGTGGCACAATTTTAGCTGCAAATTATTTATTTTCGGCAAAATTCGCCCCGAAAATCCCAAAATCGCCCAAAAAATCAATAAAAATAAGAGCGTGGCCGAGTCGGTTTCTAGTCCACGGCCACGTAAAAAAATTGATTTTCGAAAAAAATTTTCATTTTTTTTTCTGTTTCGACCACAAATCCATGGTTTTTCTTAGATTTTCAGTCATTTTCAGCCGATTTTTCAAAAGAACTACACAAAACAGTGGCGGCCGAGTCGGTTGACAGGCCACGGCCATTGGAAAAATTTCCAAAATCCATGTTTTTCCTCGATTTTAAACTAATTTTTTGCAGCCTCCTCCAAAAGAACTACACGAACCCCCGTAGCCGATCAAGTTCAACAATGGAAAACTCAACTATCCGGCGAACTTACACGAACTTCTCTCCAAAAACAAACTTGTGATAATGCATTATATGAAATATGCCTAAAACACGTGTCATGCTCTCAATTATGGGCAATGTTTCGGCAAAATTGCGGAGTTGACAAGGATAATCAATGTCAAATGGCAGATCGAGAGATTTGTTGGCAGAGTTTCGAAGGATTGACGTGGACCGGTTTGGGAGGATGTAATTGTGCGGCTTCGAATTCGAGCGATTGTCATTGGATTAGATTGCATACCAATTATAATAAATGCATTTGTGAGGATTTTTGGGGGAACTGCGAGAGTTTTTTGAACATTTTGATACCAAAAATGCCTAAAAATCTGGAATTTTCAGCCTAAATTTGAGTTTTGTTCGACTTTCCAAAAAACCCCTCTCAAAAGTTTCCAAAAAAAATTTTTGGTCCAAAATTTTCTCACTAAAAAATCATTGGTGCGTAAAATTGAATGTACTCTCTTTGGGCCTCAAAAAATCAAGCATTTTTTAGCATCAAAAACTACAGTATCCCGAGAAGCTACAGTAACCCTAGAATTTTTTGCAGATGAGATTTCGAAATCCGGAAATTTTCCATCACTTTTATCGCTGGCCGCTCGCCAAAATCAAGCAGAAGAATATCGAAAAAGATATGAGAATCGAGATTATACAGTACCCCAAAGTACTGTACCTCCAAGAACTACAGTACCTCCAACTACAACTACAGTACCTCCAACTACAACTACAACAATACCTCCGAGAACCACAAGAGAACCCCAGAGAACTACAGTAGCACCGAAAGCCACTACAGTACCCTCTTGGTGGAATCAAAATCCGCGGGTTACTGTAGCTCCCGAGAGACTACAGTATACCCATAAAATGGAACGAGAAAATGGAGCTGAAAATCGATTTAGATTGAAAGCTGTGTGGAAAAATGAAGAAGAAAAAGAGGACACGAGAAATTGGGCGAAATCTGTGAGACACGAATTTGCGACCAAATTTATACCCAAGAAATTTAGTACAAGTGAGTTTTTGGGAGGGATTTTGGCTGGAAATTTCGAAAAATTTGAATTTTTGGGGGTCTAGGACATTGTAGGTCTAATTTTGACGTCGAAAAGGTTGAAAAAAAATCCTCGAAAATATAGGTTTCAAAAATTTTTCATATAAAATTTTTTTTTGACCGGAAATATTTATGTTGTTTCTCTTTGGAGCTAAAAATCTGAAAAAAATGAAATTTTTCAGCTCAGATTTTTCCCATTTTTCCCACACCAATATACTATTTTCCCACGATTTTTTTGTGCAAAAATTCTAGCTTTTTCTTTTATTTTTTCTATAAGAAAAAAGTTTTTCTTAAGAAAATTTTGTTTCAAAAAAAGCTATTTATTTTTTGACCTGAAAAAAACACTTTTCTTTTTTTCTCGAAAAAAAAAAGGAAAAGTCATGTACGTATGCATAAAAAAAGAGGAAGGTTGATTTTTGACTTTTTTTTCTGTGTAGCAACTGAACACAAGGCTTTTTCAGCGCTAAAAATTGTGGATTTCTTACTGTAGATCAATTTTTGACGCTTTTTCTTCTATTTTCTTTTTTTCTACTATAAACACAGAAAAGTGAGAAATTTGACAACCCTTTCCTTTTTCAGCTCTGAAATTTGATAGTTTTTGGAACATTTCTCTTTTTTTCTCTTGAAAAAATCACGTTTTTAGAGCTGCAAAGTTCTAGAAAATCTAGAAACTGGTTTTCTAGGCCATCAGAACTTTCAGATTGTTATGATGGCCTAGGAAACCAATTTGTTATTATTATAGTTGGATTTCTTTGTTATAGTTGGATTTCTAGGCCACCCGAAAATTATCTGGAAATCATAATAAGTACTCTCTAGGCGCTGATGCTTGAAAACCAGGGTGTCTAGGCACGGCTACTTGGAATATAAGCTGTCAAGGCGCCGTACCTACTCAGATGGGTTCTGAAGGCACTGAGCCTTGCCAGGGTAGACTTCTAAGCGTGTGTCCTTGATAATTATGTTCTCTAGGCTTGACTACTTGTCATATAAGATCTCTCAAGGCGCCGTTCCTAGTCATATTGGTTGGCAAGCCGCGGTTCCTTGCCAGATTGAAGATCTAGGCGTATCTCCTTGACAACTAGGTTCTCTAGGAGCGGCTACTTGAAACACAAGTTCTACAGGTCCAAAAATCCTCTGATAATTTTGAAAGGCGCGAAAAATTGTCTAAGTCACGCCCACAAATTTGCGCACCTCCTCCGTGTTTTCTTCTTCTCCTTCTACTTCTTAGCCTAAACAGATGCTTCTTTTTCTTCTTCTTCTTCGTTTTTTTCCACTCGCCTTCTTCATTTGTGCCGGAAAAAGAAGGAGCAAAAAAAAGACACTTCTTCTTCTTCTTCTTTTTTTTGCGCACTCCTTTTTTTGCCATCCGTCCGTTTTTATTATTTTTCATTTCATCATGAAAATAATGAATAATATTATTTTCTTCTAGTTTCTATTGATGATTTTCTTCCTATTTTTGCTCCTTATGGCTGGCGAATCGCAACAATATCATGTCGATTTTGGAGGTGGGTCAAAATGTTTGGCAGCTACTGGGGATCGAACCTGTGGCCTTGAGATTGACAGCAGCGAGCACTGACACTGAGCTAGATTTTCAGGAGTTTTAGGCTCGTCTTTAGGCTGGTCTGACTTAAGCTAAGGCTCACCTTAGGCTTCTCACAGATCCTCCAGCTTTTCAGGATTGTCCTAGGCTCGTCTCAGGCTGGACAGAAGAATTTCAAGATTCTGAATTGATTCCGACGTTTGTTAGGCTTCTCAGAGGCCCCTTCAGCTTTTAGTCTTGAATCAGGCCTTTGTGCTTTTTTAGGCTGATTCTAGTCCAGGCTCAGAGATCCTCCGGGTTTTTTGGTGTTGTCAGAAAAATTCTTGGAAACAGATTTTTGAAAAAACCAACTTTTCTGACTCTTCCAGATGCAATTTTCAGCCTTGTCTGATTTTTTAGCTTCAAAAAATCATCCTGAAAATATTCCAAAGAACACCCAAAAACTGAAAATATCGAATTTCAGGGAATTTTTGGTCCAAAAAATTTGCGTTGGAGCGCATTTGTTGTGCTTCCAAACACAAAAATAATCAAACTAATTGGATTTTTTCGGAGGAAAGGAAAAGAAAAGCAATAATTGGATTTAGGTGTCGTATTTTCTTTTTTTGAAAAAAATTCGTTTTCGGAAAATTGGGGCGAGCTTCTAGTGTCGAAAATTTATCCAAATTCAAAATAAACACCAAAAAAAATCCAATAATACTCCAGAATCGTCTTGCCCGGACGCAATTCGACGTTGTGAATCAGTGGATGAATGTCGTTGGCATTTAAGTGAACTTCGTGTAAAATGTCCTCCAACTTCTTCATGCCAACGTGATGAATGTGCAGCGAGTGTTCAGCGATTCACACAATATGTTCCGTCGACTTTGGTTGAGTCGCTGATGTTTTGTCATTGTGCACAAGGAGATCACGATTGTGTGTTGAAACAGGTGAGCGTTTTTTTGGAGTTGGGTTTTGGGATAATATTTTATGATGAAAATATAGTTTTTCCCCCAAAAATTCTCACTGTTTCAAATTTTGATTTTATGTTTGATTTATTAAAAAATTGAAAACATTTTTTCAATTCAAAAATAATTGAAACAGTGATTTTTTTCGTTCAAATTCTGTCGAAAATTGATTATTTTGTGCCAAAGAAAAATTCACAGTAATTTTCCTGAATAGACGGCTAAAAATATTTTTTTTTAAATTCACTGTTTCAAAAATTATGCGAGGAAATTCCATATTATTTTTTTAATCACCAAAAAACACAATTTTTCTCAAAAATTTATGCTTTAGAAAATTCACTGTTTCAAATATTTTTGAATTGAAAAAGTGTGGTTTTGTGGTTTGATTCATCATGTTATTCCTCAATTCAAAAATATTTGAAACAGTGAATTTTTCTACCATATTTTTTGTATAGAATATTTTTCGAATTTTTTTGGGATAATGAATTATTGTGAATTTTCCTTTATTAATTTTTGAAACAGTGATTTTTTTTGGGAAGATTTCGAAAACTGCTTTTGAAATATTTTTGGCCCCAGAAAATCTACAGTATTTAGTTCTCAGAATTTTCGCATTGGATGAATTCAAATAAAATACTTACGCGCCGAAATTTCGAAATTTGAAAAATTATTTTTTAAAAACTTCACTGTTTCAAAAATTATTCAAGGAGATTCCAGAGTATTTTTTTCAATATCAACAATTTGAAAAACCAATAAAAAAATGCTTGAAAAATTCACTGTTTCAAATATTTTTGAATTGAAAAATTGTGGTTTTGTGGTTTGATTTTCCGTTTTCTTTTTATATCTAATCAAAATTATTTTCTGAACATTTACCAGCTTTACCAGCAAAATCAATTTCATGTTTCACACTTTTTCAATTCAAAAATATTTGAAACAGTGAATTTTCTATAGCATTATTTTTTTCAAACTATACTGTTTCGAAATGTATTCAGATTTCTGAAATCTCCTTGTATTTATTTCTGAAACAGTTAATTTTTTTTGAAGTTTTCGAAAGTTGCTTTTGAAATATTTTTGGGGTGAGAAAGTCAAAAATCTGCCACGTCGCAATTTTTCGCTCTCGAACTTTGTTTCTATCCCCAAAATGAGGGGGTGAAAATGAATGACAAATTACTTTTTTCTTAGCACAAAAACGGAGCTTCTTCTTCTATTTTTTCTCCGTATTTTCTTTTTTTTTTTCGCTTCTTGAAGACGACGATTATTCTTAGTCTCTTCTCGTTCAAAATTGCTTTTTCTTCTTCTTTTTTCGTTTTTTTTCGCCTTCGAAAAATAGGAAAAGGGATGAGCCAAAAAGCAACGAAGTTTTGTAGAAAGACAAAAACAATTAGGATTAGCAGGGGCCTTTTTGACACGGGGTTTTTTGAGCTTTGGGTTGATTTTCAGACAGTTTTCAGGGGGTTGAGAGTTTTTAGCGTGAAAAATAGACCTAGGAACGGGAAAGACAAAAAAAAATATGTTAAAGAAAAATTCACTGTTTCAAAAAATTTTGAATTGAAAAATTGCCAAAATTGAAAAGTTAGCAAATTGAGTTTATTTGGCTTCAAAAACTTTGAAATTTGAATTTGGTCCAAAAAATTCACTGTTTCAAAAAATATTCAAGAGGATTCCAGTTTAGAAAAAAAATAATTTGGATAGAAAGGTCAATTTTTCAAATATTTTTTAATTGAAAATTTTGAAACAGTAAGAATTTTTGGGAAAAAAAACTGATTTCAAGCTGAAAATCAACTCAATTTTCAGCATAAAAATCCAATTTTTGATGTTAGGAAACCAAAAAATGTTTGTTTTTCACAGGAAGTGATCTACCCATCCTGCCTCTACAAAAATCAAATCGGAACATCGACTCCAAGTTGCAAAGACACTGCAAAACAATGTGATTTGGATCCACGATGTCGACATCTTCGAAAAGCTCTCGATTCAAATTGTCCAGTTCATAATGGCGAATGTCGAAAATCGAATGATTTGGATCGATGTCGCAAGATTTTGAGCCAAGCGAGAGCGACGATTTTGGAACAACCATGTGTTTGTAAATTATCAGATATTGAATGTTTGAAGATTCAGAATTTGGCGATTCCCAGTAATCCATGTATTGGTGAGTGTTTTATGAGCAGAAATAAGGTGTGGGGACTTTTTGGGATTTTTTTTGCTCTAAAATTTGAGATTCTTTGACGCCAAAAGTTACAGTATCCCAATTTTTTCTTCCAGAAAGTGCAATGTTGGAATATTCTCGAATAATGGGTTACAACAATCCTTCAAATCACCAAAACCCACAAAATTCGCGCGACAAAGAAGAGCAGCAGAGAAAAATGGCACAATCGAATCGCGTTCGCGACGCTGTCGCCGATATTATCTCAACACGAAGTACGAGTACTGTAATTGTGGCTCCGCCCCTTCCCACGTGGCAAGAGCCTGTGAAAAAAGAGCCCGAGATGCCGAAAAAATCGATAAGTTATGAACAGGAGATTTATGAGGCTGAAGAAGAGCAGAAAATGATGACAATGAAGAATTATGATACGGTAAGTCAGGGGCCCTTTTTTGATGCGAATATTTGAATTTATAGTCTCAAAACTTAGCCTAACTCATAATTTTCCCTTGCAGAAAATCGCAAGATTTAGAAGGAATACGGTAGGTTTCTGCTATTATGCTCAAAAATCCGTTTTTTTCGTGAATTTGTGGATCGATTATATTATCATTTTATTGAGTTACAGTAAACCTGAATGCTCGACAAAATTTGTCTGAAAATCATTTCCAGCCCCGTAAAAATCTTCATGTTTTTCCAGATGCAAATGTCAAGTACAATGAAATCGCCACAAATTGAAAGAGAACTGAAAATGAGCAAGAAAAAAGAAGAGGAAGTTAGCACAACTCAAGCCACGCCCATTTCCAGCACAACCAAAAAAACTGGATTGTTCAATCGGGTTTATGACAATATTTTTGGAGCCAAAGCGCCAGTCTTGACCACTTTGATCCCGCCAAAACCAACCGAACATCCGCCACCATGGATTTCGACAACAATTGCACCAATCACCACAACTACAGTATACACAACTCCGCCACCGCCGCCACCAGAAGGATGTCGAGTACGAGATGCGAATGGTAGATATATTTTTTTGCCGGTCGGATCGATTTTTAGGGTGAGTGAGGGATTTTTTTTAGTGAAAAAATCATGAAAATTGAACAATTTTGAGCCAAATAGCTCTTGGAGCGACTGTAGATCAAATTTTCGCTCCAAATTTGAAAAATTCAAGAAAAATGAGCAATTTTGACCCAAGGAGCCTTTTTTTTGACAAAAAAATTTTAAAATTAATTTTTGAAAAATTTACTGTTTCAAAAACAATTCAATTGAAAATTGAATAATTTAGATTAATGAACATTCATGAGAAAAAAAACACCTGAAAAATATTTTTTAATAGAAAAACATGGAATTTAAGGTTGCAAAATTTCACTGTTTCAAAAATTGTTTAATTGAAAATTGGATATTATTATATTTCCATATATTTTTTGGCGCCATCGGTTTGGCGCCAAAAATCATGAAAATTGAACAATTTTGATCCAAGTTAGGTCTTGGAGCGACTGTAGATTAAATTTTCACGTTTTTTTGTTAAAAAATTCAAGAAAAATGAGCGATTTTGACCCAAGGAGCCTTTTTTTGACGAAAAAATTTGAAAATTAAATTTTGAAAAATTTACTGTTTCAAAAACAATTCAATTGAAAATTAGAAATGTTAGATTAATGAATCTTTCTGTTCGTAGCAAAAAAACACATGAAAATATTTTTTATAGAAAAATATGACTTGTAAAAATTTTACTGTTTCAAAACATGATTTTCGACATGTTTTTTGTAGTAAAAAACCGTGAAAACAGGTTTTTTTTATAAAGAAAAGGCTTCCAAAAATTTCACTGTTTCAAAAAATTGTTAAATTGAGAATTGGATATTTTAAATTAATAATTCTATGTAATACGTTACATTTAAAATCCACATAAAAATTTGAAACAGGTTATTTTTTCAAAAAATTCACTGTTTCAAATATTTTTTGAATTAAACAATAGAAATTTTCGATAAATATATTTTTGGAACATGAGGTTTTGATAAAATAATATTTTAATTTCTGTTCTGAAAAAATTCACTGTTTCAAAGAATTTTCAATTGAAAAAATGTTCAAGTTAGAATCAATGATAATTGGAGTTTTTCAATAAAAATTGGAGTTTTTTATTTTGAACAAAAACATGCCGAGTGGCTTTTTTATTTTTATTTAGAAAAATGTTCACTGTTTCAAGAAAATTGTAATTGAAAAATTGGAAATTCCATATTGCTCATACCATTTTTTTCAAAAATCCCTAGTCTCAAAAATTCTCACAACTTTTTCTTTTTCAGAAATACCGTGATCACTCTGGTCGTTGCTCATTTTGGTGCAATTGTTTATCTGAAAACAATGCACAATGTCAAAAATTAACGTGTCACGCACCCGAAACTTGTGAAGCACCCATGAAAATAATGCAATTTGGCGAGCCAATTTACATAAAAAATCGAGGAGCTTGCACATGTGAAAATGGTATTTATGTTTGTGATAAATCTGAAACAAGTCATCAATTATATCCTGGTTTATATGTTCTAATTGGATATTCTTTGATGGATATTGAAAGAATGAAACAAGAAGTTCCGAAACCAATTTTGGATAAAGCTGGATTCTCTTCAACAAAAGTGATTCATGATATTTCGAGTAAAATGCAATATGCTTATGATCAAATATTGAAAGAGGATAAAATGCGGTGTAGAATTAGTTTGATGGAGGAATTTGATGAACCTGGTAATGCGATATTTAAAGTTGAATGGTATGGAAATGCAACTGCTATGAATCATACAAGAATGGATTGGTATTCTGATGGATCACAGAAGGTTGGGAATTTTGGGCGGGTTTTTGAGGCTGAAAATCGGAGTTTTTCATCAAATTCGGAGTTTTTTATACTCAAATTTCATGGAAAATCGATCGAAACTGAATAAATTTGGCCTAAAATTGATTATAAGCTGAGAAAATTGCACATTTTCGGTGGAAAATCTTCTTTTATCTGAAATTTTCAGAAATTTGTGGCTCCAGAAAAAACTTTTTTTTCAATAAATGTTCACTGTTTCAATATTTTCTAATTAAAAATTGAAAATATTTTGTTCAATTTGTTATTGTACCGGCAAGTTAAAATTCATATAAATTTACATTTTCCAATCTGAAAATGTCTGAAATTTTCAGATTTTTCAACTCAAAAACAATTTTTTACCTATGAATTTTTCACTGTTTCAAAATTTCCATAGTAAAAAATTGAAAAATGTTTATTTTGATCTTTCCTTTCTATTGCCTTTAGAAATTGATTAAATATATTTTTCTGTCTAAAATGTGCTAAAATTGTTTGAAATTTTCAGCTCAAAATTCGAGAGAAAAAAAAAGAAAAGAAAAAAAATTCTTACCTGAAAATCTACATTTTTTCACCTATAAATTTTTCACTGTTTCAAAATTTTCATAATAAAAAATTGGAAAAGTTTATTTTGATCCATTCTTTTATTTTCCCGCAATTAATTAAATACAATTTTCAGTCTAAAAATGTGCTGAAATTGTCTTTTTCAGCCAAAAATCCCAATTTTTGCAGGTGTGTGCTCCATACACTCATAAACTCGCCAGTCTTTTTCAACTTCAACAAAGTCCCAGATTTCAGTTGGCTTTATCGACAGTTCGACAAGTTGCTGTAAGTTTCTAGGCTTATTGGGCCCAAAAATAGGCCTGAAAAGCCTATTTTTAGGCCTAACCCAACCTAAATTCAATATTTGCAGGTAATCGATACCCTCTACGCACTTCCAACCAATTTTTCTCCTTCCTCCACTTTTTACTTTACAAAAACGGGTTTTTCCACAATTTTGCTAATAATTTTTATCATTTTTTCTAGGTAATTAACTAATTAATTAACTAATCAATAATTGCTTTCCGTGATTTTTGCGTGCCTTTTCCATTTGTAGATAATTAGACAGATTTTTATATGAAAATTAATAAAATATGTGAAAATTATGTAAAGCAAAATTTGAGATCGTGCAATAATAATATGTTATTGAATCATATAGGGATTTCTCAGATCAGGGAAACATTGGTGCTTTTTTTAATAGGTTACTGTAGATCAAATTCGAGCGCAAAAAAACACCAATTTCCCCCCTGAAAAATCCCAAAAATTAAAAAAAAGTGCAGTTAAAAAATTAATCGGAATCTTCGTCATCCTTGATTTGTACATTTTTCGTCAATTCGAGAACATGACTAACTTCTCTCAATTTTCCATCTTCTCCAATTGTTCCCGGTTTCACAACTCCAGCATCCATCATTTTATTCATTGCATCCAATAATTTCATCGCCTCATATTCTTTTTGCTCATCTGTCATATTTGCGATTGCGGAACCGCGTTCCGGATCGAAAAGTGAACCGGTTACTGGATTGACACTGCAAAAATTGAGATGATTTTAGGCTAAAAATAATGAGACCAAAGTATTGTTCTTAAAAATTCTGGGAATTTTGAAACACGGTTTTTTTCTTATTTTCTAACACAAAAAATTACTGTTTCAAGTTTTCCTATTAAAAATTTCATTTTTTCTCAGTTTTGATAGATAGGCGTAATTCTTCTCAAATATAACAAAAATTATGAGTTTTCAGAGGAAATTTGTTGAGAATTTCACTGTTTCAAGATTTCTACATTAAAATCAGATGTTTATAATTGAAAATCAAGGAATGTTTAATTTAAAAATTCATAACTAACATCTATCAATTTTCACTGTTTCAAAAATTTTACAAGAAAGAATAACCAATGTTTCTTGATTCATTTAGTGACTTCCGAAATAAATAATATCACAATTTCTAGATTGTTTTTCAGTGAAAAAAACCACTGTTTCATAACTTTCAAATTAAAAATTTTCAGTTTTGCAAATTTTTTTTAAACTTAAAAATCTACTGTTTCAAAGTTTTCTTTTACAAAAATCTCGAATTTTGAGGGTATTGAAGAGAACAAAATTTAAAAAAAATTCATGAATTTTGGTAGAATTGGATGTTCAAGAAAATTGAACGGTTTGAACATTCTTTGAGCAAAAATCTACTGTTTATTAATTTTCAGACTTTTTCTAAACAATTCTGGGAATTTGGAAACACGGAAATTGAAGAAAAATCCACGGTTTCCAAATGTCTTCTTATTTTCTAACACAAAAATCTACTGTTTCCAGTTTTCCTATTAAAAATTTCATTTTTTCGCAGAGTTGATTGTTGCATTTCATCCAAATAAAAATTATGATTTTTAGAGGAAAAATTCTCTTATTTGGTGAGAAATTCACTGTTTCAAGATTTCTACATTAAAATCAGGAATTCCAGTGTTTCGATGAGCTTGATATAGTTTCCTCATTTACAATTCAAAATCAAGGAATTTTTAATAATTCATAACTGACACCCTTTTCAGAAATTATTAAACATTTTCAACCGAAAATCTACTGTTTCAAGGGACTTTTATAAGAAATTGTGAATTTTCTAAGATGGTTAGTTGAAAATTCAGTTCTCAATGAGTTCTAGGTTAAAAATTTAGGTCTCTTGACCAAAAATTCAAATTAGCGTTTATTTTAATAAATTTTTGCTGTTTCAAATATTTCCACATGAAAAATCTTGAATTTTCATAATTTTTGATCAATTTTTTGTTGTTTCAAAATTTCTGGATGAAAAATACTGGGCCCATTTTTCATTGAAAAAATCTCAATTTCTATTTTTCATTGAATTTCGCTGCTTCAAGATTTTTAAAAGAAAAATCCTGAACTTTCAGCCAAGTTTCACCAAAAGTTTCAAAATTTCGCAATTTTTCGCCCCAAAACCCTCCCTCATCCAAAAAATATGCACTAACTTATCCTTAACCTCATTATATTCATCAGTTTCACTATCTTCACTATCCGATTCTCTTTTTGGTTCATTAATTTGTCCCAATAATCCCATATTTGCAATAAGTCCGGCCGAATGTCCAAATCCCGTGTATTTTATCATTCTTCCCACTGATTTTTTGCATAAAATGAATAGGAATTGTGATGCGATATCTTTTGCACAAGTTGGTGTCATCATAAGTCGCACAATTTTTCCGCGCAAACTTTTTTGTTCTTCCGGTCGTTTTTCGATGTCTTGATTTGTTAATGGTGGTAATACTTTCATTCGGCAATATCTTCGAGCGAATTTTGATTCTTTACAAAGTCGCGAAAGACCTGAGAAATTCGGGCCGATTAAATCAGCACTTGTTGTTGGAATATTATGAATATCTGATGGTAATTCGTCGAGTTTTCGTTCCAATAAATTGAGAAGAGATTGTGTGAATTCCATGTTTTCGAGATTCTGAAACAATTTTTTTGGAGAATCGTATTTTTATGATATTTACAATGTATGACATGGAAAACATAAAACTACAGTAACCCTCGTTTTTGGCGTCAAAATGTAGATTTTTCTTGAATTTTTATGAGAAGAAATCGACATTAAAGCAAGATCGAATTTCCAAAAATAAGTAAAAATATATATGAAATTTTTGAAACAGTAGAGACTTTTTGGATTTTTTTGTTTGGGAAATATCGGGTAAAATTTGATTTTTTTAAACAAAAATTTCACGCCAAAATTAAAACTATGACATGGCAAACATAAAACTACAGTAATCCTTGATTTTTGACATCAAAATTTGGTCTCAGAATTTTTATAAGAATCGGAATAAGAGGACTATCGAATTTCCAAAAATCAGCAAAATTATTTATGAAATTTTTGAACAAACATTTTCGTTATGAACTTTTAAGTTGAGAAATTTTAAAAGTTATCGAAATTTTAAAAATCAGCAAAATAATTTCTGGAAATTTTGAAACAGTAGATTTTTTCAATTTTTAATCCCTGATTTTTGAACACCAGATTTTGATTTTTTCTAATCTAAAAAGAAATATTTCCAATAACCGAATTTTCAAAAATCAGCAAAATTATTCATGAAAATTTTGAAACAGTAAACTTTTAGGAATTTTTCTGTTTGGAAATTTGAGTAATTACAAATTTCAAAAACAAAATATTTAACCTACAGTAACCTTTGTTTTTGACGCCAAAATTTGTTTTTTTATGATTGAATTTTCAAAAATCAACAAATTTTTTTAGGAAAATTTTGAAACAGTAGATTTTTTAAAAATTCTTATTGAACATTTTTTTGCTGCATATTTGAGTACACAATTTTCGCGTCAACAAATAAATTATGAGGTGGCAAAAAATCTACAGTAATCCTCGTTTTTAGCGCCAGAACGTGGTTCTTATAATTTTATGAAAACACTGAAGGGAATAGGAAAAATCGAATTTTCAAAAACAAGCAAAATTATTCTTAAAAATTTTGAAACAAAAAATTATTTGGATTTTTTTTCAGTGATTTTCAAACTTTCAAACAGTGGTGCAATAACTAGCCTGTGACGTGGCTAACATACAACTACAGTAATCATTTATTTTAGGCATCGAAATTCAATTTCAGAATTTTCATTAGAGGACTGAATCACCACCTTGAATGAACTATCGAAATTTCAAAAAACCATAAAATTTATTAGGAAAATTTTGAAACAGTAGATTTTTTGGAATTTTTTTTTCAGAGAATTTCACAAACATTTTCAAATTTTTGGGAGCCTATGACGTGTAAAATTGAAATTCTACAGTAATCCTTTATTTTAGGCGCCAAAATTTGATTTTTTTTAATCTTCACAAAAAAGTTTTGGAAAATCGAATTTTCAAAAATCAGCAAAATTATTCATAAAAATTTTGAAACAGTAAATTTTTTGGAATTTTTTTTCAGAGAATTTCACGAACATTTTCAAATTTCCGCGCAAAAACCGAGCTATGACGTGGCAAAGCCTATTTTTCTTCAAAAAATTCTGAAAAAACCCCCACCTTATCACACAAAATCGACAAAACCGGCTGAATTGTGGGAAGTGCAAAACAATTCACAGCACTTTGTTTAATTTCATCATCAATTCTCTCAGAAATCATCAATTTTTTCAAAATCAAATTGGCATTTTCGACAATTTCCGATTTCACACAATTCTCATCGCAATGACAAAATACATTGAACATTGTTTTGAGCGCTTCATTTGCTCGATTTTTATCCATTTCTTGAGAATTTTCGAGAAGCAGAAGAGATTCGCATGGAATTAGAAGATTTGGCACCGTTTCGCGATTTTGAGACCAGGATTTCTGGAAAAAAACGGGGATTTTTGGGAGAAAATTAATATGGTTTCTAATGTTGTGAAATCAGTAAATTTTTGTGATGAAAATATTCGAGAAAATTTTGAAACAGTGAAATTATTTCGGAATCGAAAATCTCAAAAACTGAAATAGATTTTGAAATTATGTAAAGGAAATGAAAATGAAAACCTTATATAAATTGTACTGTTTCAATAAATTATCAAAGTGTAAAGTAGAAATTTCAAATTGATCACTTTGTCCTGTACATTTGCGAAAAAAAAATTCAAAAATACTGAAACAGTAAATTTTTATCAAATAGAAAATGTCCATTTTTCTGAGAAAAAATTAACTGTTTCAGAGATTTTTAAATAAAAAATGCAGAAATTTCAGATTGATTCTCGTCCCAAGCGAAAAAAAATGTTTTGAAAATTCTGAAACAGTGAATTTTTAACAGAAAAATAACCAGTTTTTCCCGAAAATTCACTGTTTCAAAGATTTCACAACTAAAAATTCAGAAATTTCAGATTGATATTTTTTCCGGAGTGTATTGGACCAAATAATTATTGAAAAAGTTTGAAACTGTGAATTTTTACTCAAAAAAATTAACTGTTTCAAAGATTTTTTGACTGAAACTTGAGTATAAACAATTAATGATTCGTTTTTTAAAAGTATTTCTATAAAAAGTAAGATTTTGAACATTTTTTTCAATGAAAATCTGGAAAATAGAGTATAAAAATCGATTTTGAGGATTTTTCCAGATGAAAAATCGTAATTTTTCAGCCAAAAATCAGCGTTTCCCACATTTCCCCTCCCCTAATTCCCCCAAAATCCATACCTGAATCGGTTTTATCAACGCCGTCACAATAAATGCAATTCGATGATACAAATACCAAATCTCCGCATTTTCCTCTTTGCTCAAATTTCGAATCCATTTCTCGCCAGATTTGATTCTTTTCGATTCTTCAAAATCTCTCAAATAATTCAGAAGAATTTGAGAATTTTCGGAATAAAAAGCGAGACGATCACGCATTTTGGAAGAGTTGAAAAGTGTGTTGATGAGACATTTTTGGGCTTCGAGGAGGGCTGGAAAAATGGAGAGAGATTTTAGGGAGGGAATTACATTTTGGGCATTTTTTCAATTAAATCTAATTCTTATTGTTAACAGAAGACTGAAATCAGTATAATTTTGTGGGAAAATTTTTTGAAACAGTCGATTTTTTCCGAACAAAAAAATCTCAGAAAACCACTTTTTTTTCAATTCGAAAAAAATTTACTGTTTCAAAACTTGCTAAATTAATTTTGTTTGAAAAAATGCCCTTATTAGTACGAACAAAATTAGTTCAAAAAATTTTTAAGCAGTGAATTTTTTCGAATTAAAAAAATCTTCAAAAAATGAAATTTTTGAAATCAAATAAAATGTTTGAAAATTTTCCTGGATATTGTCAAATTTGAAAAATGTGGCAGCCGTAAAAAATGACAAACAGCGCAGAGCTGAATGGATGACAAAGTCATTACTTCGTCAGTCGCGTTTGGATTGAAAAAAACTCTTTTTTCATCAATTTATGACATATTGGTTTTTTTCGTTTTGTTAGCACATTTCTCTTTTCTTGAATCACCCCAATACTCAAAAATCACAATTTTTGATCTACCCGCCAATCCTTTTCATTTTCAAAAATTGAATTTTTCTCTAAAAAATTTCATTTCCGATTTTCAACATCTCCTGATGTCTCTACTGTCTTATGATTTTCCTCGATCCAACAAATCTCCTTTCGAAAATGTTCGGAAAATGGAACAAGTCTATGGGCATTTCATGGAATATGGTGAACAATTGGCGAGGATTTTGAGATCGCCAGCGGTTTGTAGAGGATTTTCCAGCTACTTTGATAAACACCAGTGGATTTGGAGAAAATGGCCACCGGAAAGAGAAACGAAACTACTAGAGTATAGGTGAGTAAGAGCGGAACGAGTCGAAACCGCAAGCTTCCGCGTATGCGGCCACGTGGTATGCTATGACATGGAAATCGTGCTGAAATTCCACGTGGCCGCTGCGCGGAAGCTTGCGGTATACACTCGCGCCTCTGGCGCTCGCAGTGGCCACGTGAATTCTTACAATTTTCAGATCATTGAAACGACATTTGCACGTTGTATCGCATCTAGAAAATCGAGAAATCGGTCAAAATACCCATGGAAAACGAAATTTGGAGAGCACAATTCTGGTCTCCGAATGTCGAGAATATCGATTCGATCAAACAATTTTCCCCAGCGGGTTAGATGAACCAATGTATTGGGCAAATCGAAAAATAATTATGGAAGATTCACAAAAACAAGTGGAATATGATGAGAACCTGACAACAATCAGAGATCTAGTGCACCAAAATCGAGATAGCGAAATGCATCCGCCAGAAAATGATGAATATATGCTGATGCGAAAAATAGTATTTCTTAAATATTTTGAAGTGGAAAAATATTTGTTGATTTTGCGAGATGACTCATTGCAAGTCCATGATTCGGTGAATTCGGAAACGCCGGTGAAGAATTATTATCTACCACTAGGTTTGGATAATCAGTGAGTGAGAAATTAAATCTAAGACAAAGAAAAATTGAATTTAGGAACATCGAAATAAAAAAACAGAACGAATCAATATTTGTGGAGGGGTTTATAAGCGAAAATTTGAATAGTTTCAAGGTGTTTTTCATTTTCAATGTGTTTCCCTTCGAATTTGTTACGAGTTTTAAAATCTGTCATTGTGTAAGTCACTCAATTGATTGATCAAATTTCACAAACAAAACAAAATTGTTTTCAGACAATTGAGGAACACCGAGAGACAATTGTGAAATTCGTTCTCAAAGAAGACATTCTTCAAGTTCAAACCACACGTCAGACAATGCTTTTTTCACTTGAAAAAATACTGGAAATTCATGGACAATCCGGAATAGTTGCTGAGCAATCTGATGATTTTGATATTCAACAAAAACTTCCTATCGTTTTCACAGTTTGCGATTTGGGAGAACCCTTGCGAATTTTTCATGGAAATTTTTGGGTGAGTCTTGTAGGGAGAAGAGGGAGATAGTACTTCACGATGAAACATACTAATTCGACCGTGCTGATCACAATTCGAAGGTCAAAAATTGCCAAAACTAGTGAAATATATCAAATCGACTATGCTTATCGCGATCCTGAAGTCAAAAATCGCGAGTGACCCCTGTGAGCACTTTTCTGGAGCTACAAAATTGGATTTGAGTTTTGGTTTTCACTATTTTCCCAGGTGAAAACTCAACTTCTATAACTTGTTGTCCAGCACATTCGAAAACTGTCATAAATATTTTTGATGAAATAAATAGCTTAGCAAAAATTAAATTCTAACTTTGGAGCTCCAAAAAAGTGATCACAATGATCTTCGGCAATTTTTGACTTCGGAATCGTGATCAGCATGGTCGATTTAGTATATTTCACTATATTTCATCAGTTTTTTTCTACAGAAACTCTACTATTCTCCATCAACTCCTCTTATTGTTGGCTACATTTTAAAAGGTTCGGAAAAAGTAAAAATTGAACAACTGACGGCTCCTGGAGTTCCCACATCTTTGGTTCATACGACGAAAAGTGCATTGACTCTAGAAGAAGATATGTCGCTTCACCCAATGATTTTTCCCGATGATAATACGTCGACATTTTTGGAGATTGAAGAATTCGATTTGGTGCAATATTTTGTTGGAAATGATTTGGAGAAAAAGGAAAATTGGAGAACGAGAATATTTACGGAGTTTGTGATCAGAAATGCTACTTCAAATGATGAAACCGGAAAATTCGCGGTGGGTGACTTGTAGATTTTAACCCGCTGATCACGATCAGCGGGTCGAAAACTATTAGAAATCATATATTTTATCAAAAATCGTTTCTACAGAGATGCCACAACATCGAAAAACTGAACAACGACACGTTGATTGTAGATTTATCGATTGATTTTAACAGAATCGGTCCTGTCTGTGAAACAATCTCAGCGCGTGATCATGCTATGATTGTTCAACTCAAATACATGGTTGATTATAAAAATGGCGAAATTCTGAGAATTATTCCGATGTGTGGGCTTAAAGATCAACAAAAATATCGATTTTCGGAATGCGAACTAATCAAATTTGAAGACGATTTAATGATTATTAATAGAGATTCGGAAGTGAAGAATAAATTGGAGATTTGGGAATTGGTTGAACCTCAACAATATATTCATGAGAAAGAATATCATGGAGAAATTTGGTTCGATATCTTTTTGAGTAGTTATGTTTGGGATCTCGATGAAGAAGTTGACTAATTTGTTTTTTTTTGTGAAATTTTGGTTTGATCGATATAAATAAAATGGTTTTCTTTTGGTTTTCGGGGTACCAAAAGTCATTTTCCTCCCCCAAAAAACTCACTTTTAACATTTTCCACATCTTGATCCTTCCTTTTGCCCACCAAATTTGCATAACTCAACACTGTATCACACAATTCATCACTCATCATTGTCTCAATTCCAGTTTTGTCTCGACTAATCAATCGAATAGTTTCGATGAGAATCGCAGAGATTTCCGGCGAATTTTTGAATTTCGCAACAATTTTCGCGAATTCCTGACGGGTGAAATAATCGATATCCGAGAATTCCGACACTTTTTGCGATTTCGCGTTCCATTTTGCGAAAAAATCGCGGGTTTCTTCGGGGGATTTGGTGGAGATTGATTGAATTTCAGAGAGCTCCATGGGGAATCCTGAAATTAGGGTTTTTTGTAATAAAATATCAAAATATACAGAATTTGATTAGAGATTACGTAAAATTGAGAAATTTTCTGTCTAAACTCTCTCGATTTCACGTTGTCTCTAAATATTTAATCAAAATAAAATTCTGCAATTTTATAGGGGAAAAAATCAAAATAAAAGGAATCTGGTTACCAAGGAGATAAATACAATGGTGATTAATAACACCTTTTCCACGAGATTTCAAAACCAATAACAATAAAAAAGAAAAAAACTATGTACTTTATTCGAAAAAAAACAGATCTAAAAAGGGGCTTAGGCCTAACTTTAGGTCTAGGCTTATTTTTTGACTTGTGGAAGAGTATCTGCCTTCTTATTCGATGGTTGAGGAACACGATCGTTTTTCATTGTCACCTAGAAAAAAAATAAATAGAAGAAAATATTTGTTTTCTCGGCCATCTGCTCCGCGAAAAATCGATATTCTAATTAAACCTCTTTTATTTGGCACACAAAAAAGGGCAATTTTGTGTGCAAAATTGAGCAAAAAAAGGACAAACCTCGGCTTGAGCGAATGAATATTTATCGAATTTCAGATAGTCGTCGCATTTGTAGAGCGACCAATCGGGTTTTCCGCCTGCAAATTTGAAGGGGGATTTGGGGTTTCTCGTAGAAAATGGGGTATTTGAGGATAAATCAGAGTGGAAAATTGAGATTTTCAAGCCGAAAATACTCACCTTGACGTTGTTTGGCTTTTTCGGCGTGCTCAATTCCTGTAGAAGTTTTTGGTGCGGCTGTGGCGAAATGACGCGAAAATCTCGCTGGAATGGCAACGATTCGGTTCATCCTGGAAACACCAATATTCAGAAGATTTTTAGCTATCTAAAAATACCATACAATCTCTAGAAAAACCACTTTTCCCCCTAGAAAACAAAAAAAAACAAAAAAATAAAAAATTTTATTCAGCCTACATTTTGTGCGTCAACCCTGTCGAAAGCTGGCGCATTTTCAAAAGTTTCGGCGCGTTTTTTCGGGTTTTTGAACGAAAACAAACATTTTTTGTTTTTCGCGCAGTTTGTCCCAAAAATCCGACGAGTTTTTCGCGATGACTGAGACAAAAACTCGAAATTCGATCAATTTGAAAGGTTCCGCGCAACTCGTTAAAGAGTTTTTTCGTAAGTTTTCCCACGAAAAATTCATCTTGAAATTGTTTTCCTACAGATTTCGGTTTGAACAGTATTTTGTATCAACGTGCACTTTATCCGGCCGATAGTTTCAAACGCGAGAAAAAGTACGGATTGACGTTGCTGGTGACACATGATAAGAAGTTGTTGGCGTTTTTGGAGCCACTTTTGCAGCAAGTTGAATGTACGTGAAGAATGGGCGGTTTTTGTCGGGGAAATTCAGTTGAATTTGCACCGGAAAACTTGTTCTAATCTAAATTAAGCTTTTGGTGCCGAAAATCGCAGATAAACTTCATATTTTCAAACTTGCCATCAATCGACAGAAATACGTGAAAAAATCATCTAATAATTTTTTACACCTTTATCACGATCCCACTGTCAAAAAATAAAAAGCTTCCGTCGATTTTTGACTCCAAGACCATGAAAATTCTCATTTTTCCACCCAAAAACTCACAATTTTTCAGACTGGTTGGCGAAAAAGAAGCTGAAGCGATTGGTGATGGTGATTTCTGAGGTGAAAACCAAAGAAGTTGTTGAGCGATGGCAATTTGATATTCATACGGAAAATGTCGAAGAAGAGGGGTAAGAATTATCGATTATCGCATTTTTCAGTGCCGTCAAAACGTGGTGGGGAAAAATTGAGAAATGCCGAGATTTTCAAATTTAAAATACTCATATAATTGCCACGTCATAGGTCACGTAAATAGGGAAAGAAAACTGTTTTTGCTGATTTTTAGATTGATTTTCGGCTGAAATCCACGTGGCAACAACAAATTCAATGCATTTTCGACACAAACATTACAATTTATACTGTGAGATGTGACGTAGCAAACTTCGAAAACTTGTAATTTTACGAAGCTTCAATAATGATTTTTATGAGATTCTGATAGCACAACGTTATTCAGAAAAAAATTTGAAAAAAAGTTTCGAAACTGCAATCAAGCCTATCAAATTTACATCAAAATCATTTTTGAATTCAGGAAAAACTTTTCCACGTCATAACTCATATTACAGTTTTTGATGATGATCAGCGAGTCGAAAACCACTAGAAAAAATTGATTTTATCAAAATTTTCTTCAAGAAAACTGCAACCGTTGTTGCCACGTGGATTTTGTGATGAAAATTAATGAACGCAAGCTTCCGCCACGTGGAAACTATACTTAAATTCCGCGGAAGCTTTTTCCGCTTCGCCCTACAGGGTGCGCCATAAATACGTGGACAGCTATTATTCAATATTATTCTCAAATTTTGAACAGTGTTTTGTATATCGTTTTCAAAATACTTAATTAGGTCCCTAACGAGTAAATTGGAACCAATATCTCTTAATCTGGTCGGTTCTGCGACCTGGGAAATCATGTAGAACTTTGGGGAAAATTTCATCACGGCACGCAGAACAACGAAAAAGTGACATCGCTATTTTTGAATGGAATTATTTTTATTGTGAAGGCTTTATTCGAGTTGTAGAATGTTTGAGGGGTTGTCTGAGAGTCCGAAGAAGCCAAGAACAAATATAACATTGTCCACCATGTCTCACACCAAGTTTGGGTGGAGATTTTTGGAACAGTCTGCTTGATTGGGAGAAATCATTGATTTCCATTGATTTTGGGGTCAACATCGGGAGTAAAGTTGAAATAAATGTATTTCTGGACTAACATATGTACCTAAGAAAAAAACTCAACCTCGATAACAAACATCAAGTACTCCAGCCAATCACAGTACACAATAAAAGATAAAATCAGCACCAACCGCTGTTGAGAAACAGTTTTTTCGATTTGAGAAACGTTTTTAAATTGATGTTATTTTTGTCAGAAACGAACCCATTGCATTATTCCTTTCAAATTAGTTATCGGAAAGGTTCTAGGTAAACCTCCAATCATGTATTTTGACTATACAGAACCTAGGTTTCAAGTATTGGGACAATATGTCCCACAAATGGCAGCGTGCCGAGGTGAAATTTTCCCCGAAGTTCTAAAAGATTTCCCAGGTCGCAGAACCGACCAGATTAAGAGATATTGGTTCCAATTTACTCGTTAGGGACCTAATTAAGTATTTTGAAAACGATATACAAAAAACTGTTCTAAATTTGAAAATAATATTGAATAATAGCTGTCCACGTATTTATGGCGCACCCTGTAATAAAAATCCCCTCTTGCTTCACCTTTCCACTTCAACTGATACCTTTTCCCGTCCATTTTTCCTGCTTTTTCTTCAATTGCACTTGGCCAAATGTCAGTTGCGCAATCACACAGAGAACCGCGCAGCAACAAATTAATCCGCCCCTCTTGGATTTTTTGAGCTCTAAAAAAATAGCACTTGACTCAAAATGAATGAAAAACACATTACACCTGTTGTATTTGTGTGTTTGTTGATTGGATTTGTAATTTAATAGGAAGAGGTGTGAAAAATTGGTGGATTTTGGTCAAAAACTCGATTTTTGACCAAAAAATCTTGACTTTTCGAAGATTTTTAGCCAAAAATCGGTTTTCTCACTAAATTTTAATCCAAAACATTAGAGAAAAAAGAATTTTTAACCAAGAAATCTTGTTTTCTGAATTTCAGCCTGATTTTTCTGAAAAACAAGATCTTCAGCTCGATTTTCAGCAAAAAATTACCTGAATTTGATTTCTGAAAATTAAATCCCACGTGGAGTTTCAGAAATTAAATTCAGGTTCATTTTTGCTGAAAATAAAGCTGAAGGTCTTATTTTTTTTTAGTAAAAATCAGGCTGAAATTCAGATTTTCTAGATTTTTTCTAGCCACGTGGCTTTTTTGCGGCAAAAATTCAATTTTCAAAAAAAAAACATTATTTTTTTCAGCGAAAATGCTCATCGCCAAAAGGACGAGAAGAAGATTCGACAAGAGATTTGCGATGTTTTGAGGTAGAATTTTTGGGGGAAATTTGAAAATTTGAAAAATTTTCGACCTGAATTCAATTAATTTCCTTTCAAAGAATCCCCGCCTCGACTAGAAAAAAATCAAATTATTTGCGAATTTTTTGAGCACATTTTTTGAGTCAGATGGTGTGCACTTTTTGGCTCTTTTTTTGGAGATAATTGAGAGGGTGTAATTAATATTTATTTTTTGTATGTATGTCAACACATTTGTTGGATTAGTCAGCAGAATTAGGAAGGAAGGAAGGAAGGATTACGGTGGATTTTGGCGCCAAAAAATTGAATTTTTCGTAGAAAAATTATTAATTTTTTATGATTTTCACATTAAAATTCACTGAAAAATATTGATTTTCAGCCTGAAACTGCTGTTTTATATGAAAATCATCGAAAATCCCTCATTTTTTCAGACAAATCACAGCTTCTGTCTCATTTTTGCCGTGTTTAGAAGAGCCCGTCTCATTTGATGTATTGATTTATACCGGAAAAGACACGGAAGCACCAGAAGATTGGACTGAATCTGGAGCTTGTTTGATCAATAATTCGGAAACTGTTCAACTTCGCTCGTTTTCGACATCGGTTCATTCGGTCAACACAAATGTACAATATAAGGCGGATTTTTAAGATGAACAAGAGGATGGTGCGTTTTTTTAGGGAAAAATTGATTAATTTTGAGCTAAAATTGACCGAAAATCTGATTTTTAACCTGAAAATTATGAAAAATTAACTCTGGGGAGCTTTATGGGAAAAAAAATCCGATTTTTCACAAAAGAAAATGAAATTCCTAATTAAATTTCCACTTTTATACCTGAAACTCGTGAAACTTGAGCTAGAATACGTTTTTTAGCCCAAAATTTAAGTTCTACTTGAAAAAGGTGCTGTTTTGAGCCAATACTAACCTGAAATCTAATTTTTGGCTGAAATTTGATGAAAATGGAGTTTTAGCGTCGAAATTGTCCCCTGGGACTTTTTTCAACCAAAAATCATGATTCATCAAATTCATGCTAGAAAACAATTTTGAACCAAAATTTGCCACGTGGATTTTTTTTGGTGAAAAAATGATTGAATTTTTGCTCAAAAACTACAGTAACCTCTCGAAAACCTCGTTTTTTTCCAGAAAGTACTATCAACCTTGAAGCCCTTAATCTGAGCAATCAACTTCTTCTTGTTCTTCTCCGCTCTCACCATTTTCCATAATTTTTTTCCACAAAAATTGAAAAATCCCTCCAAAAATTAACCCGTTCTCATCTCTCATGTTCCTTTTTCTCTTCTGTTATTATTTTGACCTATTTTATGACTCATAATATATCAAAAGTCTTTATAAAAGACTCTTTTCTTCCTTTCCTTCTCATTTTTCAAATAAAAATTATATTTATATATCGAACTAACATAAATGGGACCATCATCACAAAAAAAAACAACAAAAAAGTTGTGTAATATGAGAGGATATGGATCAGTTGGGTGCCTTTTACTAGACCTTTTTGAAGTTGAGCCGAATCATGAGTCTCCCAATTATATGGAGCCAAGGAAGAATTGGAGCAGATGGGCTCTTTTTGAATGATTTACGGGGAGAAAAACGAAACAACTCGATAGTTCCCATGCGGCATCGAACCCATCACCTTCCGATTGATAGATGAGCGCACTACCACTGTGCCACGTAGAGCCTCTCTCACGAACTTGTTTTTTTTTGGCCACAGTATTTCGATGCGTTTTCCATGTGTTATAATTGTCTTGAGCTACAGTTATCCTGGGTTACTGTAGATTTTTCAATGGAAACAAAGAAAACATCAAAAATTCCAAAATGAAAAATTGTTTATGAAAATTTTGAAACGTATTTTTTTAAAGATTTTTAGCTACAGTAATCGTTGGGTTACTGTATTTTTGGAGGAATTTATTTTCAAGAAAAATTCTGAAGAATTACTGTAGGTATACTGTGATTTTTTAATATAATATACTATGACGAAACATCAAAAATTCTAAATTTCAGAAATTTTTATATGAAAATTTTGAAACAGTGAACTTTTTAATGAGAAAAAAATTGTATTTCTTCGTTTTTTTAAAAAGAAAATGATTCTACTGTAATTTCTGGGTTACTGTAGGCTTATTTTTTTATTCAAAAATGAATCTGGATGGGTTACTGTACATTCTTAGATACTGTAGATTTTTTGAAGATCAAAAACAGAGCAACTATCAAAATTTTCAAAATCAAAAATTTTATGTGGAAATTTTGAAACGTATTTTTCAGGGTTTTTTTGATTTCTAAACTACAGTAATCCTTGGGTTACTGTTTATTTATGAAATTTTTGACAAAAAATCTAAAAGCGTTACTGTATTCTGAGATACTGTAGATTTTTGAAAATGAAAAGAAGCTATCAAAATTTTCAATAGCAAAAACTTTTTTGGGAAAATTTTGAAACAGTGAATTTTTTAATATATTTTTTCTGAAGAATTTTCAAAGTACCCAAAACTACTGTAGTTGCGATTTTCGGCGGGAAAAAAGAAGTTTTGAATTCCCAAAAATCTTTTTTTTTCGAACCACGGACCTAAAAGGATTATAATCAATCAAAACAAAACAAAAAACAGAAGTTAAATAAACAAAGAAAAAAGGACAGGTGAGAAGAAGTTAGGCTAAGTCTTTGGGATTACTGTAGGGAGCGGATTAGTGGAACAGAAAAAAAGAAAGTTACGTAATTTAATATACACAACAGGAGAAAACACATGAGAGCTATCTAATTGTTAATTAGTTCTCTAAAGGTAGTACAGTAATTTGATATGGGTACTGTAGGGGATTTGGGGCCATTTTTGTTTGAAAAAAATTTATTCATTCACAGTAACCATGGTGCAAAAATTGTGAAGAGAAACCTGGAAAAAATACGTTTCAAAATTTTGATAAAAAATTTTTGCTTTTGAAAATATTGATAATATTTTTTTATTAATTTTTAAAAATATACAGTAACCAAGATCATATCCAAGGATTACTGTAGCTGACAATTTCACAAAAAACTGGAGCATTGCTCATCATAGGCTGGAGCATTGCTCATCATTCCCAACAACATTCAAATTTTCAAAACTGTAATTTTTGCCCTTCCTAAAAAAATCTCACCGTTTCAACGAGAAAAGCCAACATTTCTTGTTGTTTTCCCATTAAACGTCATCATAAAAATCATGGAAACGAGGAAGAACGAGTGAAAATCTCATGAATAAACCAATTTTGAATTCGAAATTAATTGGGCTCATCATTTTTTATTACAATTTTCGTTTCTTGGCAGCTTTTTCTTCGAGACAAAAAAAAATGATTATTTTGGATAACATTTCGGGGTATTGTAGGGTTACTGTAATTCAAGAGTACTGTAGATTGTGTTCAGGTTACTGTAGGTCAAGATTCTACAGTACTAATTGTAAGCTCACAGTTTTGGTTTTCTAATAAAAATTATGATCTGGTTTTGGATTACTGTAGAGAACCGATGAGAGTACTGTAGAGTATACTGTACTCAAACTACAGTACCCTCTTTAATCTACAGTACCAGTTCTGATAGAAAAAGGTGTCATATGTGTTTGGTTTTGTGTCCCGGTCAATCTGATATTATGTAACAATAATTGGGGGGAGTACTGTAGACTGTAGATGATTACGCAATTTTTTTTGTTAGCTAGATTAATTGGATTATGTGTAAAATGAGACTAATAATTAATAATTAGGTGAAATTTCTGACTTTTTTGTTGGAAAATGAGGAATTATGTAATTTTTAATTAGTGACTTTTTTTGTGGATTTTCAGCTGCTCCAGATTTTGGTATGTTATAAGCTGAGCAATGGTTCAGTTTTCGGATTTTTGAGAAATCTCAAATATGAGCAATGTTATGTGCTTCAAAAGGGTGATTTTTTTCCAAATTTCGAAAAAAATTCACTGTTTCAAAAATTTTACAACTCGGATTTTTGGGTAAAAACTTTGATCACTGTCTAATGTATTTTAATTACTTTTTTGTACAGTTTAATCTGAGCAATTTTTTTTGTTTTCGAACTTTTTTTGAAAAATCTCTAATCTGAGCAATGCTCTTCCAAGTTTCCCATGAAATTTTTCTCACATCTTGGTGTCAAAATCGTTTCATCATCATCTTCAAAAAAAATGTGGAAAGTGTCACCGATTTTTTCTCACAAGAACCCCACTGTTACAGTAATCCAGCAGGGTTACTGTAATTTTGAAATTTTGTGGAAAACACTGAACAGCACTCGAGTGAAATTTTCAAACTGGAAAAACTGTTATAAAATTTTTGAAACCTATTTTTCGTTGGATTTTTTAAAAGAAAAATTTTTAAAAATAATTTTCAATTTTGAAGTTGAATAACCTGAGCAATCTCCTAGTTTTCGAATTTTTCAAAATTTTCTAATATGAGCTATTCTGTGCTATATGTTCGAAAAAAAAGTGGGCGGAGCCTAATCCTAACGAAACCTAAGCTCCGCCCCTTTCCCCCCAATTAGTCTATTTATCCTTCTCATTATTTTTTCTGTCTGTCTGTCAGCACAGAAAAAAATGACTTCTGCTAACTCTGCCTCATATTATTACGATAATAATTATGATTTTAAAGTGAGTTTTTCTCGGAATATTGTAGAATTGTTCAGGTTAGAGGTTTTTGAAAATTTGAACATTCAAAAAATTTGCTGTTTCAAAATATTCATGAATAAATTATTGGCTCTGAAAATTTGATTGTTGAGGGATAAACAACAGAACATTTTTCAAAAAATTCGAAAACTAGGGAATTGCTCAGGTTAAGAGCTTCTATTCGAATTTTGGTTAGCTTTTTAGAAATTTTCAGATAACGAGTTTATTATGAACGATTCCATGGAAAATAAACAAGTTCTTGTCAGCAAAAAATATTATATGAATATTTTGAAACGTAGAATATTTTGGGATATTTTTCTAGAAAACAGCATCTGAGAAGCTCAGCTCATACTAAACATTTTTCAAAAATTCGAAAACTGATGCATTGCTCAGATTAAGAGCTCTAAAGATTACTGTATTTTTGTCAGATTTGTGAAGAAGACGATGAAGAAGAAGAAGAGCAAAAACCAGTGCAAAAACGAGAAAAACGAAAATATCGATGTAGAAAAAGGAGTCCGGCGACAATTGAAAGAGCAAAAATTGTGAGAAGAGATAAGGTACGGTAGTTTGCCACGTGGCGCTAAATTCAAATTTCTATTGATTTTTGCAGGCAAATGCTCGAGAAAGACGAAGAATGAATAGTTTGAATGATGCTTTGGAACATTTACGAACAATTTTGCCAGCTTTACCTGATGAGCCAAAAATGACTAAGATTGAGACGCTGAAAAAAGCGCAAGAGTGAGTTTTAAGCCAAAAATCGTGAAAATCCTATTTTTTAAAAGCAAGAAAATTCACTGTTTCAAAAATTTCAAATATATTTGTGAGGAATTTTTTCAAGTTGATTCAATAACTTGTTTTTTCGTCAAAAAATCTCAAATTTTCTCTCAAAATTCTCCAATTTTTTCCAGATACATTGCAATTTTATCATCTCAACTTAGCTCAACTTCATCCTCCTCAAATATTTCTCCAAATTCTCAAAATTCCTGCGACAATGGTATTTCTTGTGGTTGTTGCTCATCTTATCAATCGACCCCATTTCAATCCCCAAATTTTCCATTTCCAAATCAGAATTTTGGAACTGCTCAAAATTCACAGAACTATTATCATTTTCATCAACAAAATCGATAATTTATCGATTTTTTGTATGTATTTCTAGTCTGAACTTGAATAAATCTATTTTTGCCCAATTTTTTAAATAGAGAATTCACTGTTTCAAAAGTTTTAAATAAAAATTGTTAAAATTTCAGAGAATAATTTCCCGATTCTTCCCTTATTGTGAAAAATTTGAATTTTCTTCCAACAAAAAATAGTTTATTATGTTTATGTGTATTTCTAACCTAAAACAACAACTTCTGGAGAAAAATCTGAAAAAAATAGAAAAAGCCAATAATTACGTCAATTTTTTGTGTTTTTCAGCATCTTCCACTTGTTTCTGCATTCTTTCTTCTCTTTCATTCGGATTTTCGAGCACCTGAAAAAATGGGAAAATTTACTGTTTCAGGTTTTTTCTATAATTTTTTGAGGATAGTGAAAAAATGATAGAATGAAATTTGCAAATTTTGAAAAAAATTCACTGTTTCACAAAATTTTCATAAGAATTTCTAGTTTTTTAAAAAATAATAAGTAACACTAATCTTACAATTGAAATTTTCTGATAAAAGATTTACTGTTTCAATTTTTTCTATTATTTTTTGAGGATAGTGAAAAATGATACAAACACATAAAAATTTTAAAAATTTAGAAAAAAAACTCATTGTTTAACAAAATTTTCATATGAATTTCTAGTTTTTTAAAAAATAATAGTACAAATGTTTTACTGGGAATTTTTTTGACAAAAAATTTACTGTTTCAAATTTTTTCTATTATTTTTTGAGGATAGTGAAAAATGATTTAAACACATAACAAATCAGAAAATTTAGAAAAAATTCACTGTTTCACTAAATTTTCATAAGAATTTCTAGCATTTTTGCACAAACACATTTCTCTCTGGAATAAAACCTCAAAAACACTAACCCATTCTCGTCTCCCTCATAATATAATTCCACATCTCAAGTCTCTGCCATCTAGTCATTTTCTCTAATCATAAATCTCACACTGCACATTTGGACTACCGTACTCTTGCGGGTACAAAAGTCCATCTTATATTCTAAATCACTAACCTCAAAAATCTTGGCATCTTAAATTCTCCAACCTCCTTCTTTTTATTTAAATATTTAATTTGGCTTAAAGATGTATCTTCTTCTTTTTTCCAATTTCTTGTAAATTTAAAATGTGATATGAATAAATAAATAAATAAATAAATAACACAAATTTTACATTTGGAATTTTCCTGATAAAAATTGACTGTTTCAAATTTTTTCTATTAAGTTTTGTAATTTTTGAGGATAGTGAAAAATGATTTAAATACATAAAAATTCAAAAAATTTAGAAAAAAAATTCACTGTTTCACTAAATTTTCATAAGAATTACTAGTTTATTAAAAAATATTAACACAAATTTTCATAGGAAGTTATTCAGATTAAAAAATTACTGTTTTAAATTTTTTCTATTATTTTTTGAGGATAGTGAAAAAATGATAAAATGATTTTTGCAAATTTTGAAAAAAATTCACTGTTTCACAAAATTTTCATATGAATTTCTAGTTTTTAAAAAAAAATAATAACACAAATGTTTTACTGAAAATTTTTCTGATAAAAAAATTTACTGTTTCAAATTTTTTCTATTATTTTTTGAGGATAGTGAAATAATGATAGATTGATATCAAAAACTTTGCTAACTGTATCAAAATTTAGAAAAAAAATTCACTGTTTCACAAAATTTTCATGAGGATTTGTAGGTTAAAAAAAAATAATAACACACATTTTCCATTTTGAATTTTTCTGATAAAAAAATTTACTGTTTCAAATTTTTTCTATTATTTTTTGAGGATAGTGAAAAATGGTTTAAACACAAAAAAACATCAGAAAAAAAATATTAGAAAATTCCGAATTTTCAAAATTTTCTTATAAAAAATTGACTGTTTCAGGTTTTTTCTATAATTTTTTGAAGCTAGTCAAAAATGCTTTTTTTAATAGTGAAAATTTAAAAAAACACCATTTTTTATTCTTGAAAAACTCACTGTTTCAAAAATTTTTTATATCAATTTCTAGTTTTTAAAAAATAATATTTCGGAAACTGCTTGGTTCAAAAAAATTTCACTGTTTCTAAATTTTTTAATATAAAAATTCGCTTTCTCACAGTAATTCATTTCTCCTCAAATAATTAAAAACAAATCTAATTTCAGCTTTGTCTGAAAAATGCAGACGCTCGGGGCTATTTAGGCTTGGGTTCACGGCACACTCACCTTTTGTCTGGCACTCTGCCAACTCTTCTCATCTCCACTCCACAATCTTCTCACCAAATCCTCGGCCTCGTTCACCGTATCCGAAAGGCCCAAAAGGAACGGATTCTCTTCGACCTGCAAATACAGTAATCTACATCTACAGTACTCTTCAAGGGTGCTGTAGATCAAAAAATCCGATTTTTTTACTAACTAGATCTCATTTTTCACCAAAAACTTTTCGGAATACAGTAATCCCAACCTACCGTATCCCATCCTTTCAACAATGCAAGTGCTCTACCGTATTCCGCATCAGTTACAACCATATCATCTGGCGGATACAAAGCTGCTCCAACGTAACGACCTTCCGCGTTTAAAAAATTGAATGTGGCGATTGCGTCTTCCTGAAGCAAAAATTACAGTACTTCAAGTGAATTTTGAGCTCTCATTTTCGCTCCAAGACCCTCAAAACCTACCGTATCCATAATTTCGAGCCCAATTTTGTGTTCCTTTAAAAATGGTGCAACACGTTTCCTGATTTCATCAATATTCTTCTTATCTCCACAACCTAATACCAAAATATCGATTTTTGGCTCCAAAGCGGCGAAAAGTGACAGACTTTCGGGTGTTATATCATTTTGTGTTGCTACACGCCAAGAAAGGGCGGTTTTTGGGAAAAGTGCGATTGGACCATATCTGAAAAGCGGAAATTGAGGAGTTTTGGTGAATTTTAAGCCAAAAATGTGAAATTTTCGAATTTTTTGATTGAAGAGAAAATTCACTGTTTCAAAATTATTTCATAAACATTCGGAATTTTGCCGAAAATTGATGACCTTTTCAAAATTCCATCAAAATTTTCGGATTTTTGTCATGGAGAAATTAAGAATATTGAAATTTGCCACCGAAAAAACTCAAACTTTATTTCTGACAAAAAACACATTGTGTTTTTATTTAATTTTGGCACCAAATATCAATTTTAAATGTGAAAATGTTCAAAATTTTGAAAAAAAAATCTAAAAAATTCACTGTTTCAATAAAATCTCATAAAAATTCCTTATTTTTATCATTGGTGATCCGATTGTTTTGTACATAGAAAAGAATTAATTCTGATGAGTAAAAAAGGAATAAATATAGAAAAATTTTCCAGAAATTCACCTTTTCAAAGAAATCTCTAGAACAATTCTATTTCAGGAAAATTTAATTTAGGAAAAAACTGTTTCAGAATCAAAACTTTGAAAATTTAATTCTAGGTAAATTTTCATGATTATTTGGGTTAAAAATAATACTTTTCATCAATTTTCAATAATTTTGGCATAAAAAACAAAATTCTTTCGAATTTTCATACAAAATTTTTCACTGTTTCAAGAAATATTGATAAAAAATTTGGATTCGGCAAAAACAATTAAGTAGTGTTTATCCTCATACAAAAAAACCTTGAAAATTCAATTCTAGGTCAATTTCAAATCATTTTCCTGATTTTTACGCTAAAAATCATAATTTTCATCAATTTTCAATATTTTTGGAAAAAAAATCACATTTTGAAATTTTTTTCAATTGAAAAAATTTACTGTTTCAAGAAAATTTGATAAAAAATTTGGATTTGGGAAAAACAATTAAGTAGTTTATCCTCATACAAAAAAAACTAGGAAATTCAATTCTAGGTCAATTTCGGGTCAATTTTCACATTTAAACACTAAAAATCATAATTTTTATCAATTTTCGAATTTTTTTGGCATAAAAACCAAAATTCTTTCAAATTTTCATCCAAAATTTTTTACTGTTTCAAGAAAATTTCATAGAAAATTTGGATTTAGGAAAAATATTATGATGTTATGATGCCGCAAACTCATTTAGAAATTCGAAACTTTCACTCTAGGTCAATTTCATGTTAATTTTCACAATTTTTACACTAAAAATCATAATGTTTAATAAATTTCAATATTTTTGGCATAAAAACCAAATTTTGAAATTCTTTTTCAATTGAAAAAATTTACTGTTTCAAGAAAATTTCATAGAAAATTGGGATTTAGGAACAACTAATACGTTGCACAGCTAGGTCAATTTCGGGTCAATTTTGCACTAAAAATCATAATGGTTATCAATTTCCAATACTTTTGGCATAAAAATCAAATTTCTTTAAAATTTCCAATGGGAAATTGTTTACTGTTTCAAGAAAATTTGATAAAAAATTCGGCTTTGGAAAAAACTATTGAATAGTTCATTCAAACCCAGAAAACCTTGAAAATTCAATTCTAGATCAATTTTGTGCCAAGTTTCACGAATTTGGGCTCAAAAAGCATGATTGTCATCAATTTTCAATATTTTTTGGAATAAAAATCAAATTTTGAAATTTTTTTCAATAGAAAAAATTTACTGTTTCAAGAAAATTTGATAAAAATTCTGGAATTAGAAAAAATTGATTTTATTGATGATGCTATAAAACCTTGAAAATTCAATTCCAGCTCAATTTCAAATCCTTTTCCTTCATTTTTTTGCTCAAAAATCTCCATTTCCCTTCAAAAAAACTCACAAAAATTGCCCATCGAGGAGTCGAAAACCATAACATGATAAACCTCTTACTCCAATCTGTTTCGCTTCCAACATTTCAGTGGATAAATATGAAATTCGACTACGATCTGCCATATCTGATTCGCCAAGTGGATTTAGGTGAAATCCATCGAGAACTCCTGAAAAATTGGGATTTTTCGATGAAAAATCGCTGAAATTCAAGTTTTGATAAATTTTCAGCAACTTCTTATCACTATTTGGAGACTGATTCATAAAATGTCTATATTTTTCTTATCACAAAATATTATTTTCAAGTTTTCCTCAAACATTTCAATGATTTCATTTTTGGTGATATTTTTCGGGATTTTTTGGATTTCAAAAATTGAAGCAACGGGTTTAAGTGAGTTTTTTGGATGATATTTTCGGCTGACTATAAAATTTCTGGAAAAAATGTATTGGGACTCGTTTTTATTGGGTTTAAAGCAATAAATCCCAAGCAGCCGAACCTACAGAATCTAATTGTCTAGAGTCCACATCTAGAGATCCACTCTGGCAAGCAGCCGCGTCTAGAGAGCCCCTAAATCAAATAGCCAAGCCTAGACATCCTAGTCGTCAAGCATCCGCGCCTAGAAAGTTCAATTGTCAAGGATCAGCGCCTAGTTCTTAAGTAGCGATGCCTTGAAAGCTCCGATACCAAGGAGCCGAGCCCAGAAATCTTTGTTTTCAAGTAGCCGAGCCTAAGGATCCACTCTGACAAGGAGTCGTGCCTTGAAAGCTGGCAAGCCTAGAAAGCCTATTCTAGAGAGTTCAATTGTCTAGGACCCGCGCCTTGAGAGCTGCTATGCCAAGTATCCGCTCCTAGAGATAATAATTTCCAAAATGTGTTTTTTTCAGCCTGTTCAAATTCAATAATCCAATACAATCTTCCTCAAAACCTAAGCCAATCTCAATATTTTCCAATTTCTCCAAACGACACACTTTTTGCACCCAATCAAATTTGTCGCTTCAAAATCAATATTCCAAGCGGATATAATATCGATTTATCATTTTCCGCCTCATTTCCGAATGGTTCTTCTTCAATTACAATTATCGATTCGATAAATCAAACAAAAACCTATGAGAACTCCACAGTAACCACCCAAAATGCATATTTTTTGAGTCCTGGCGGATCGATTTATGTGTCAACTGGAAAAACGGGCGGAACATTTCGGATGGAGATCAAATATTATAAATGTGAGCTGACTCATTCATAAAACACACGCATCGCATGACCGCAACGCTTCTAACGCTTCTAATTTTCAGTTCGCACCGCATTCCAATCCAACTTCTTCATCTCCTCAAATTCGCGAGATCCTCTAAGTCTCCCCTCGAATTTCTCAAATCCCACAGTTTTTTCCATCGATTCTTCCGCCTCTCAAATATCACTTATCACAATTCCTCGAACCTCCGACTTATCCAATCTTCAAGCTACCGTAATTTTCGATGGTCCAAGTGTGGATTCCAGATATTTGGGAAGTTTGTATGATCAATATGTGTCGAAAAATCAATTCATTTCATCGGGAAGGTATTTGACATTGTACACGTTGGGTAAGGCACCAAAATTTTCAAATTCAAATTTTCAAAAAAAAAAATACTCAATATTCTAGGGTCCGAATCGATTTATAACAACAACAATAATGCTCAAATCATCCTACAAGACTCCGCAATTACGCAACAATTTTCAACATTTTCCGGAATTTCGATGGAAATCTCCCCAAAACTTATCACAATTCCACCTTTAAAATCATTTGGATTTGTCACATTTTCAGAAGAACCCGAATTTTTGATAAGTGCCAATTTGAACAATGATTCGACTATTGATTGCTATTTTGGTGCGAGTTTTGAGGATCGAAAAATGGCGAGTTATGATAAATCGAATTGTGGAGATGCATTGCCGCAAGAATTTCGCGCGGTTTTGCGAACATATGTTGTAAAGAGAGATAATGGTGTTGAGAATGTGACAATGGTTTTGGGAAGAAATCGAGAGGATTGTGAGTTTTCAAGGGGTGGTTCCTTGCAAGAGGAAATGTCTAGGGGCTGATCCTTGACACGTGATCTTTCAAGGCTCCCCTACCTACTTGCCAGAGTGAATTTCTAAATGTGGGTGCTAGACAATTAGGCTCTCTAGGCGCTGACCCTTGAAAATTGAGATTTCTAGGTGCGGCTACTTGACAACTAGGTCTTCTAGGTACGGCTTCTTGGAATAGCAGCTCTTAAGGGGTGGCTCCTTGTGAGAGTAAATCTCTAGGCGCTGATCCTTAACAATTTAACTTTCAAGACTCGGCTGCTTGATAACTACGATTTCTAGGCTCGGCATCAAATCTAGAGTAAAAAAAATAGCCCCTAAATTTACAGCCGGATTTCAAGATGCGAAAATCGGTCGAAAAGGTTTCATAACATCTCAATTCTACAAATCAACAAATGCCGGATATTCATCTGATACATTCACTTCGTCTAACTCCGAAATGTTAGCTTTCAATTTGAAAATTCGTGAAATTGACCTAACTCAAAATAATTCTTTGATAATTACAAATGATTTGAAAACGACGATTTATGATAGAAATAATAATCCAAACGGAAAAGATTTGATGATTTTGGGAAAAAGTTTCAATTTTCAATATCGATCCAATTTTATCAATCAGGGAATGTTTATTGATTTTGAAATATCGAAATCTGGATCAAGTTTCAAATTTCAATTGAATTTATTGATTTTTTATGCATTTTTTTGGATTTTGATTGAATAAATTATTAAATTTCAATGATTTTCAGATAAAAATATGTGACATTTTATGAGAAATTTTGAAAATTGAGCTTAAATATGTCAAATTTCATGATTTTCAGGTTGCCGAAATTCTCAGAAAATTTTTTGTAGGGGGACAGAACTTTTTAAGCACATTGTTCGAGTTCTGTCTGATCGCTGTGCGGGCACTGAAAGATTTATGCCTTGGAATTCATTTTTTCTCCGAGTCAATGAAAAAAGACCAAGTGGAAAAGAAAGACAGGACACGTACATTAACAATCATGTTTGTACCAGTACTGTACAGCATACCTCGCTGCGTGAATTGCATTTTGTTCGTATTCTGTCTACTAGCTGCGATGAAATTTATATTGGTCTTGTCACGATCGGTTATCCCAATGATGGAGACATTCATTTTTCATTCTCGTTTTTTTGGGATTTCATCGTTTTTCTTTCCTTTTTCAAGTTTGAATTATAAGTTTTGTTATTTTGTTGTATCAAAATAGAAAAAAAATAATAAACTTAGAATTGTGAAACTAAATTCTGAATTGATTCTCGTTTTCATTGTGATTATTGTGCAATTCCACGCTTCGAAATTGTTTTTCTCTCGATTTTCATATAACTAATTTTAAGCCGGAGCACTCGACTGCATCAACATGGAAGCCGGGCCACGTCGAAATCGATTAAATTGCTCTGCCGCTCCAACTTCAAATATTTTCTGGTTTCAAAAGTGAGTTTTTAGTTTTTGATACATTTCGAGTTATTACCGTTATTAAATTGCAGATTCCTATGATTCTATCTACTTCATCAATTCATCTTCACTTCAGCAATGGATGAACAGTGCCAAACTGATGAAAATGGAACGAAGATGGTTCAATTATTTTCGAAAAGTTTCGAAATTCGCTTTGGACAAGTGCCAAAACCACAACTCCACTACATCTCATCACCGTCTAATAATTGTACGAGTGATGTCTATACTTTGTCACTGGTTTTTTTAATGAATGAATTCTTAAGTTTGTACGCGTACTGTCTCTCTTTCCTCGCTCTCACGTCGTCCTGCTGTACCTGTCCTGTCTTTTCTCGATACCCCATTTCTGAGAGCCTAGCAGCGTTGTGCGGGTACTGAACGATTTGTGTACGAAGACTGTACTGAACATGTGCCAATACTCCGCTTGGACGCGTTCCTGTACGAGGATAGTTCAGAACACGCACACCAAATAGACTGTCGCCGTACAAAAAAATTTCTGAGTTGTACCATCAATTTTCGCAAAAAATCGAAAAACTGATATAAAAATATTGAAACGTATTTTTTTCTAGATTTTTTTTTGAAAATACCTGCTTTTGGGCGAAATTCTGGAATTTCAGTGAAATGTTAATGTAATTGCTGATTTAAACGATTTTCAGTAGAAAAATTGAAATTTAGGCTCAAAATCCTTTCAAAAATCGATTTTCTCAAGATTTTCAGCTTAAAATGCATGAAAATCCCAGATTTTCAGCTCAAAACTTTGAATTTCTTGAAAAATTCCCCCAAAACCACCTACCAGTATCTGCTCTACTCGGACCTTCTGATTTCTTCGCCAAATGTCTTCTGGCAATATTCCAAATCGCTTTTCTCATCATTATGGCTGAAAATTGCTGAAAGTTTGTTTTTTTTTACAAAAAATACTGTAATTTCAGGGTGAAAACCTGAAAAATTGTGAGCAAAAATCAATCGATAAAACTTTTTTGAGCAAGAATTCAAGAAAAAATCAGAACTTTTTTTGAGCAAAAAAAATATATGGCAAGTGAATTTTTGGGAATGTTTTTTTGGGGAAAAAAATCTGATTAGAAATTTGAGGTAAAATATGTACAAAAAATGAGGAAAAATACAAAAAAAACAACATTTTTGGTGGGAAAATTGGTGGAATTTTGGCCCCCAAAACGCCCCCACCAAATTAACTATCAAAAAATCGGCAAATTTGCGAGCTCTACTCATTATCAGCCACCATTTCCAGTTCCTCTTTCAAACTTCCCCCAATTTCAGTGCTGAAATTAGCCGGAGGTGTTGTATATCCATCACTTGGTGCAACTACAGTATTTGTATCAGTTGTCATTGTCATTCCACTATTTGTTGGTTGTGCCAATTGTTGCCACGTGGGAATTATTGGAGCCACCAGATTTTTTGGCGCCAAATTTTGCGGTGTCACAATTGGTGCAAAATTGTGTTGACTGAGGAGTAGACTTTTGATGGTGCTTATTCCGTTTTCGACGCGTGTCAAATCCGCGTCACGATTTGAGACAGAATAGAGGGCTTTTGTGATTTCGGCTTGTTGTTGAGCTAATTGTTGAGTGGTTTGTGAGACGCTGTCCATTATGAATTTTATCGAATTTTGCAGATCGTTTACTTGTGTCTGGAAATTTAGAAGATTTGGGATTTTTTGGTTAAAAACAATTTTTCACATGATTTTTGAATTTTCAACAAATTTCCTGACTTGGAAATAATACTGTTTAGTAGTTATACTTCCACTGAAAAACATTCATTTGAAATTTTATTCTAAAAATTTTGAAACAGCAATATTTTTCATGACAAAAAAGTGACTTTTCGAATTTATTTCTCGAAAAAATATAGGTAAACACTTTGAAACAGTAGTTTTTTTTTCTGAAAATAAAATTTTTCGAAATATGCATTCGAAGTTAAAAATTTAGCAAAATCAGTTTTTTTTTCAATAATTTAGAAAAGCAGATTTTCAGTCCAAAAGAAATTCAAGAAAAATATACGTTTCAACATGTTTGTATAATTTTTTTTAAAAATTCAGTTTTCAGTATCGAAAACTCCATTTCCACAAATAAATAACTGATGAAACTTTTGAAACTAATTCGAAAATTCAGAAAATTTTCCAATCTTTCCAATTTGAGTGTCAAAAAGTTCAATTTTTTTCAATTTCCCTCAAAAAATAATTATCATATTGCTATGCAAAAATAAATTCAGAATTTCAGGTCAAATTACTGAAAATAATTATCTTGAACATTTCCAAATAAGAAATTTTGAAACCGTGAATTTTTTTCATTGAAAAACATGATTTTTTTGAAAAATGAAGGATTTCTCAGATCCAAAAAATTCACTGTTTCAACAATTTTTTTAAATTAAAATTTTAATATTTAAATATAGTACGAGCCCTGATATTTTGAAAATCATAATGAGTTCATTCCTTTTGTTTGAAAATTCAGAAAATATCCGTATTTTCCTCCGCAAATACCCAAAACCAACCTGTAATTGTCTCAATTCTTCAGTCGCCGGATCAGGAATATCGAAAAATTTGGGCAAAACGAAAGATCGCATAAATCGATAACCGGCATACGAAATTGAGCCAATTATGACAGCAGATTGAGCAAATGAGACGACTCTGCAAAGAAAAGGAAATTATGAAGGGACTCAGGGTACTGTAGCTCAGTTTTTCGCGGGAAAAATTGTGTTTTTTGAAAGATGGGAATGTGAAAATTATAGAAAATTAATTTTTTTTGATAAAAAATTCACTGTTTCAAAATAAATTCAATTTTTTTTCTAGTTTTGAAGATTCGATACGCCAGAAGGAGTCGTGAAAATGAATGAATTGAACTGTAGATCAACATTTGGCGCCGAAATGAAGCTTAGGGTACAGTAGATTTTGTCGTTAAAAAATTACAGTAGATCAATTTTTGAAATCAAAACAGAGATCTAAAATCCACCATTCTCGGCACCAAAATCACTCAAGTACTGTAGGTTTTTTCCCCCGAATCTCCTCCCAAAAACTCCCTACCTATTCTGCTGTGGTCCCTGCTGATACTGTACAATTTGTGGCGCTCCACCATTCCGCGTCTGCCCAATTTTCGACCGCAACTCCTCTTCCGGAATCGATTTCCGCGCTTCCGCAATCTCCTCTTCCGTCACTCCTTTTCCCAACAAAAACTGCTTTTGCTCTTCGAACGGAGTTTCGATAACTTTCGGAGTTAGCATGAATTTCCGCGCCGCTTCGATCATATCCGGACGCGGCGTCATTTTGGGTGACCTGCAAATTAATTATTGAATCAAAATACATCATTTTTGATGCATTTTAAGCTAAAAATATTGAAAAAGGCTCAAAAACCTTGGAAAAAATCAATAAATGATAAGAAAAACAAAAATTTTTTTCAAAATTTTTCTATGATAAAAATAAGAGGGTATCACAATATAAGTACTGTTTTTTGGGGGCAAAATTGAGCAAAATTAGAAAAATTACACGCTATCAGAAAATTTGGGTGAAAAAAAAAATAATATGGGGGATTTTTTGAGGGGGAAAATAAATCCCCCAAAATCGAGGTAAAACTACACAAATAAATACAGAAATTAGCCTAACTTCAGGCCTAAACTCCTAAATGCTTTTTCAAAATATCCAAACTCTTGAAAAGAGCCTGCGAAAAAGCTTGAGCATCTCTTTTCGATTTGTTGCTCGAAATAACAGCTCCCAATTTTGAGGCGACTACATTGTAGCCAATTCCAAAACCATCTGGAACAACTGGACCAAAACCACCGAAAACAATCGTTTCTGTGGACAAAGTTGAAGTTGATAATATGAAATGACCCATTCGAGAATATCCAGGATCTTGGAAGAATTCCGGAATTTCGAGGCCTTGTCTTTGAGCTGTGATTTTGAGGCCGAGCAAGTGACGATCGAAACCTTGGCCTGGAATAAAAATGCGTTTTGGGGCCTGATTTGTAAAATTCCAAAAGTTGAGAGAAATCGGGATTTCTTCGAATTTAGTTTAAAACAAAAATGTTTGAAAAAAAAAATTTTTGTTGAAAAAAAAAATTGACTGTTTCAAAATTATCTGATACTTTTTGAAAAATTTCCGAAAATGTTGATTTTTCTTTATAGTCAAAAATATTTTCCTGCTCAAATTATCCCTAGGATTAGGATTCTGACTTGAAATTTTAAAAAATCAGCATTTTTTTAATTTAGGCTAATTTAAAGCCAGAACAAATTTGAAAAAGTTCACCGTTTCAAAATTATCTGATATGAAAATTTCGAAATTTTGATATGATTTTCATCGAAAATAATTGTGAATTTCTTCATTTTAGATTCAGCTTGTGCCTAAAATTAGGATTCTGACATGAAATTCAAAAAATCGGTTTTTCTTCAAATTCGGGCTAATTTTGAGCCAAAAAATTAATTTTTTTTTTTGAAAAAAAATTGATTGTTTTAAAATTATCTGATATATTTCGAACATATTCATAAAAATTGATTTTTTTTCCAGAAATTCGGTGAAAACTTTTCCAATAGAAAAAAACTAGACTAGAAAAACCTTTTGACTTTTTTGAGTATTCATCGGAAAATTAATTTATTGAAAAAAAAACTATCAAAATTTAGAAACAGTGAATTTTATAGGGTGAGCAAAATTTATTTGAGAAATTTGAAACAGTAATTTTTGGAGCAATGTTTGACATCAAAAATACAGAAAAATTTTGATAAATATCAGTCAATTTTGAGAAAAAACTCCATTTCATTAATTTTCATGCTTTCGCGTTAAAATTTTCATTATTTTTTTTGAAACAGTGAATTTCTACCAAAGTATTTTCGCTTCAGTTGCTTCGGTTAATGAAAAAATTGAAAAATCAAAAATTCATATGAAACTTTTAAAACAGTGAATTTTTTCTGATTGATTTGCACACATCCGCTAAAAAATAAGAAAATAATTTTGATAAACTTTTGAAACAGTGAATTTTTTTGGAAAATTTTGAAACAGTGATAATTCTAGCCACCAAAAATATCCAAAACCTTACCCATTGAAGCCTCTTTGACAAGATTTCCATGAACATTTGAGCAATCAGTCAAAAGTTGTTTCACATCTTGTTTTCCTTCTTCCAAAATTGCCAAAGTTGCGGCTCGAGTTGCAGATGTTGCAGATCTGGAAAATGAAGATTATTGGGGGAAAATTCAGAGAAATCATGAAATGTGGACCTAGGAATAGGATTTGTACTTTAAAAAATTTCACTGTTTTTCAAAAAATAATGAAAACATTTGCTACTGGTTCAAAAATTTTCAAAGGGTCTGAATATTTTTTGTATATATAAAATTAACTGTTTCAAACTTTATTTATATTTTTCAAGTGTTTTCAAAAATTCAATATCGCTTCGTTCAGCTGTGCAAAACATTATTTGGTTTAGAATTGGGCAGATTTTTATTTATAAAAAATTTCAAGAAAACTTCACTGTTTCAAAATTTTGATAAGTATTTTTCAACAACAGTTATTTTGATTTAAGTTCCAGAATTTTCCGAAAAAAACCGGATTTTTCAAATTGAAAAATTAATGATTCTCTCGTGAGCATTCAGAAAAACTATCAAACTCTCCGAAATCATCAAAACATATCTATTTATTTTGAAACAGTTAACCTTTTCCAGGGAAACATTTCAAAATTATCTCGAATGTTCCCACCTCATACACTCAGTTCTTCCCTTCAAAAACGCAGCTGTCGAACAACTTTCATAAGTCGGTACAAATTCCTTATAAAGTGAATAAAATGCCATTTGAATAGCCAATTGCATGACAGAATCCGGTGATAATTTCGTTTTCTTAATCAAATCTCTATTCAATCCTTCAAATTCCATCGTCGAAAAATCCAAATCCCCATTACTTTTCACATGATTTTCTTGAGCTCTTGTGATTTTTGTTCGAAGCGAATCATTTAATTTGAATTCCAATTCCTGTACATTTTCCGGATTTGGTGATTTCGGCGTGGTTTCGGGAGTTACGAAATGATTCTTATTGGTGTCTTTGAATGATTCTTCCATTAATCTGAGTACAGCAACACCGTCTCCCCAAGAATGTTCGAAATTGATTGTGGCTTGACCATTCGCATCGATTATTGTTTGGAAACATTTGTCGAACCATCGGTTTTTGGCTTCGTCTCCGATTAGAAGAGATTGAACAAGTCTGGAAAAACGGGGAAGTTTTGGAGAAAATTGATTTTTCGTCTTGAATTTTTAAACTGAATTATCGAAAATAATCTCAGAAAAATTTATACATAAATTTTGAAAAAGTGGATTTTTTTGAAGCTTCGATCTCTGATTTTGGCGCATTTTTGCCACGTGGCATTGATTTTTAATAAGGAAATTTCCAGAAAATGTTTCAGATGGGAAATTAATTTTTATCTGTTTTTTTTACAAAAATATTCTTTTAAAAATTACTGTTTCAAAATTTCGATGAATATTTTTCAAAACAATAAATTTCCAATAGTGTTTCTAATTTTGCTCATGTACAAAAAATCAATTCAGACTTAAATTTAAATCGATTTTAAAATTAATTTTTTCGATTTTATGGTTAATTCTTGAATATTCAGAATTTCAGAACTTTGAATTAGTTTTTTTTATTGAAAAATTAACTGATTCAAAACTTACTGAATTTTCAGGAGTTAATTTTTGTGAAAAATATTTTTGAAACAGTGAAATATTTATTTTTAATCAATTTTTAACGAAAAAATGCGTGATTTTTTAAATCAAATTTTGGACCAATTTTCAGTTGAAAATCGGAAAATTGTGGTACATAGTTTCGTGAATTTTAATGCAAATTTCAACCATTGAAATTCACAGATAAAAATGTTCTACATGAACATTTTGAAACAGTGAATTTTTTTTGGGTAGAAATTATGACAATGTGATTTTCAGATTAATTTCTGATATTTTTAAGTTAAAATTGATGAAAATTCAAAATGTTCAACTAAAAAGCCATGAAGATCATCAAAATTAGATGAATTTTTCAAATTTCCGCCCTCAAAAAATCCCAACCTCTTATGATCTTCCGTCTTCAAATCATCCAAACAAATAGCAAAAAGTGCTCCATCAATTTTCCTCAAATTCTCGCCATTTTTCTGCTCCAAACTCTCCAATTCTTCTCTTGCCACAGCCCAAGAATCTCGATCCAAACTCGTCAAACTTCCAATACTCTCGTCATTTCGCGCAGCTTTTCCTTGTTTCAAAATGAAATTCAATGAAGAATGAACATCTTCGGCGGGTAAAATTGCACCATTTTCATCGAAAATTCGAACAGAATATGGAATTCCACGGTAAATTGCCAGGAAATGTTTCTGTGTTCCATCGAGATATAGTTCATCTTTTTCTCTTTTCGGGATTCTGGAGCCACAGAAGAGTGATTTATATTGGCTCATGTCCAAGGGAAAAGCTTTGAATGCAACTGCTCCAAACCAAGAAAGCGAAGGTGGAAGAGTTCTGGAAAAATTAGAAGATTTCGGTGGGGATTTTGGTCGGTTTTGGGGCTAAAATACTGTGAAAACGCAGAGAAGCTAGACAATTATAGAGATAGAGACGCAGAGATATCAGAAAGTTAGAGACGCAGACACGAGGAGTTTGACAATTAGAAAACACTATGCCGAAATTCGGTGAATTCTTTGACCCACTTACTTTTTCCCATCACAAAATCTTTGAGAAATGACAATTTTTGTTTTTTTTTGTTGTTGGCAAAATTTCACGTTATTTTTCAAATTTTAATTTTTTTTTGTCATGTGGCAACGTATTTTTGACCCCAAAAATCCACTGATGCACATTTTGCAAAAAAAAAACTCACTTGCAAACCTTCCTGAACAAGGCCGTATCCGATTTCTTTGGGTTCAAATGAAAAACTTCGGGTGCCAACAAATTCGCGTCCAACGATTTCTTCATTCGCGCATACGAAATTGCCAAATTTGTTGCGCGCGTTAATTGATCATTAAAACGTGGCTCCGGATCAGGAGCATACATCATAAATGGATTATAATTCACAGCGACCGGAACACGAGCTCTCAAATACATATCAAACCATGGTTCCGATATATAACTGGTATCTTTGTGATTTTTATCATAGGTTAGGAGAGCTTCTTGAAGTTTTGGAGCTTGTGTTTTCTCGAAGGTTCTTATGGATTTCTCGGTGACTTCATAGGTTTTTTGGGGAAGGACGGGTTTTGCGGCGGCGAGGAAACGATTTACACTATCTTCAACTTTCGGAATCGGCAATCTTCGTAGGGATTTTTGAAAATGATACGATGGAATCTCACTTTTATGTAGGAATTGATAGTCATCACCGGCCAATGTGGTTTTCCCCCGTTTTCCGATCAAAATCCTTGCTCGCAGCATTTTTTCCTTGGTTTTTTTCCTGAAAACGAAAAATAATAATAAATATAGTGAGGACAAAGTATTCAGAGACCATGATAAACAAGAAAAATGAACACAGCGTGTTTTCTTTGAGAGATAAGCGACTAGAGCGTAGCCTGCAAATTGTGCGCTAGGGAAATGAAAATATTTTACCGCAGATGCGCCAGTCCCCGATGCGCATGGCGTGTATTTTGTAGTTTCATCATTTTTTCGGCGTTTTTTTCATTGTTCACGGGGTTTTGGGGGTTTTGGGTGATTCTGAGGAAGTTAGAAATGTTCAAAAAGTTTTAAGGCGTAGGGGAAATGTTAGGTGAAGCTGTGAAGTTGAGATTTTTCTAGGAAAAGAGGCGATTTTAGGTTTTTTCATTTTTTCAAGGGTTTTCGGGATTTTTCTAGGTTTCCTGAGATTTTTGAAGATTTCGAGTTTGTCCGGAGCGTGTTTAGCGTAGGGGCAATCTAGGAAAAGCTGGGAATTTTCGAGAAAAATAGGTATTTTCGAAAGTTTTCCAGGTTTTTAGAAATTTCTAGAGGTTTTCGAAATTTAAAAAAAAATCAAAGTGTTCGGTGTTTCTTGAACACCTAGAAAAACCTGTTATTTCACCGGAAAAATCGAATTTTCTCTTAAAAATGGGACTTTTTCACCGTTTTCCTGATTTTCTAGCTTTTCCCCGGGTCAATTATGATTTTTCTTGTTTTACTGTCCCTTTTCTCTATTTTTAAACCAATTTTTCGTATTTTCAGAACTCGAAGATGTTTCGTATGCAAGGAGCTCCACCACCGCCACCACCACTCAAAACACGATTCGAAATCGTCAACACCGTCTACAATGATCCATTTTTGTGGTGAGTTTTGTTTGGGGATATTTTTGAAAATTGCATCACTCTTACAAGCAAATTCCACTAGAAAATGTGAATTTCTTCGAAAAATCCCGAAAACACACCCCGCTGAAGCAAGAAATTACTGTTTTTCTACTGTAGTTCGCAATCGAAAAGTGTGCAAACACCGCGTCCACAGCAAATTTTTCACTACGCATTTTCTCATTGCACAATTTCACGTGTCGCTACAGTATTTTCGCAAAAAAATTTCTTTTTTTGTGTTTTTTTTCACAAAAAATGTGTTTTTGAAGCCGAAACCGAAGGAAACATGCTCAAACTACATTTTTAGAAGTAGTTGATAATTTTTCAAGTAGTAATAGTTTTTGAATCAAAAGTTCATTGTCTTTCCTGGGAAAATCGAGAAAAATATGGAGAAACGTCATTTTGAGCGGAATTAGAAGATTTATAAGCAATTTTCTGTCTTCCGGACCTCCCTCAACCCTTCTTTGCTCAATTCTGATAGTGAAAAATCAACTTTTCCCTGAAATTCGGGTTCAAATCCTCAAAAAACGAGTAAAAACAGGATTTTATTAGGCTCCGCCCAGATGTGTGTGCCGCGTGAAAAACACATTCTGCAATGATTTTTTTATTTGAGGTCACGTAGAAAAAAATTTGCTGTGGCGTCTCTGCGTCTCTCGAAATTTCGTATTGTTTTGTTCGTTCAAAGGAACATACATTTATTAATTTATTGGGTCTAGGAATTATGCATCTTATGGTTTAATGTAGATCTCGACACGCTGAATCTCGTGGTATTTTTCATTTTTCCTGTAGCGCCCCTTATTATAACACAATTTGGTACGCAAACTTTTGCATTGAATTACGTTGCTTATTAAAGAGACATGTATTTATTTAACCGATTGGTCTCGACGCAAATCGTAACTTTCTTCGCAGGACCACTAGAAATATGAATTATATAATTTAATGTAGATCTAGGGACGCTGATTCTAATGATATTTTTAATTTTTCATATAACGCCCTCTAAGTTATCGAAAATTGGTACGCCAGTAGAAACAACTATTTTGCAAATTTTTTCATTGATTGAGCGGGTGTGAAAAAGTGTCCAGTTTTTTCCTGTGAAAGTCAAAATTATATTTTGAAAATAATTCTAGTGATATTTTCCCTCCAAAAATAGAGAAATTAAAATTTTCTCCAGGGGCGCCTTCAAAGGAATCATCGGTTTCGGAGTTGGGGTAATTATCGCAAGATCGGTCAGCGAAGAAGTCGCAAACGGAATCTGAAGACTTTTCCCAACTCAAACTCAATTTTTCTCATTGTTATCTGTTTTTTCGCTCCCTTTTAGTAATAAATACCGTAGTAATTTATACACATTGTTTTTTTTTTCGAAAAAACATCTGTTTTTTCGATCTGATAAGCGTCAATAATAATTAGAAGGTATTATTGAACTTATGCAATAAATACCAGAAAAATTTGGATTTTTTGCCGACAAAAGCTTGGATCAGGTGGGCATTTTAGGCTTAAATTAATTACAGGTTTCCGGATTTTTAGATAGATACATTTCAAGTAGTTATGTATTTTTAAAGAAAATTCAATTTTCTCTTTCAAAAAAATTCACTGTTTCGAAATTTTTTATAGGAAATTGTTTGTTCGATCATCATTGAATACAAGTTTTTACAAGCTCCTAATTTTTCACACGGAAAGATTCTGGCGTCAATTTTCTAATCTCATGAGTTTTGAAAGCAATTATTCTCAAAAATCTACTGTTTCACATTTTTTATTAAAAAAATTACGGGATTTCAGATGCTTTCAACTGTGTAGAAATTTCAAATTTTTTGAAAAAAAACAAGATTTCAGAATAATTTGGGAGATGTAATATTTGATTTAAAAAAAACTGTTAGTTTCAAAGACTCAAAAGAACGTGGAAAAGTTACTGTACACGATTTTTTGGCCGAAAATGCAAGTTCCCATCCAAAAAAATTGAGAAATAACTCTGAAAAAATCCACTGTTTCAAAATTTATGTATAATATTTTTTGAACGTTTTTTGATGATACATGTGTAGAATTCTCTGTAATCTTAAATATTAGAATCAGCTTAAACCACAATTCAAACTTTCGCCAAAAACGTTTATCAAATTTTTACTGTTTCAAAATGATTTTTGATTTTTTCTGCCCACAAAAATTTTGAGGAAATTTCACTGTTTCAAAAATATTGTGAAGAAAACAAATTATTGTGAAAAATCTACTGTTTCAATGTTTTTATTAAAAAATTATTTTCTTCATAATAAATAAAGACTCAAGAAAAATACACGATTTTTTGGCCGAAAATTCAAGTTGCCACTCAAAAAATTGAGAAATTACTCTGAAAAAATCCACTGTTTCAAAATTTATGCATAATATTTCTCGAAAAATATTTGATGATACATGTGTGGAGTTCTCTGTAATCTTAAATATTGGAATCAGCTTAAATTTCAACACCACAATTCGAACTTTCGCCAAAAAAGGTTATGAATTGTTTACTGTTTCAAAATGATTTTTGATGTGTTCTGCCTACAAACAAATTTGAGGAGATTTCACTGTTTCAAAAATTTTGTGAAGAAAACAAATTAATCTCAAAAATCTACTGTTTCAAAATTGTTTATTGAAAAAATTGCGGGTATTCACTCAGATGCTTTGAACTGTGTTGAAATTTCAATTAGAAAAAAATTAACAAGATTCCAGAATAATTCGGGAGATTTAATCTTTAATTTAAAAAAAGAAAAAAATTACTATACACGATTTTTTGGCCAAAAATGCAAGTTGCCATTCAAAAAAATTGAGAAATTACTCGGAAAAAATCCACTGTTTCAAAATTTATGTATAATATTTTTCGAACGTTTTTTGATGATATATGTGTAGAGTTCTCTGTAATCTTAAATATTGGAATCAGCTTAAATTTCAACACCAAAATTCAAACTTTCGCCAAAAACGTTTATCAAATTTTTACTGTTTCAAAATGGTTTTTGATTTTTTTTCTGCTCACAAAAAACATTTGAGGGAATTTCACTGTTTCAAAAATATTGTGATTCTATTTGGGTTCCCTTTCTCAAAAATTTTCTGTAACTTTTGGCGCCAAAATCCCTTCAAAATCCAAGTCTTCCAACAATTTCCAAATGTGTAAACAAGAAAAATAAAATCTTGTCTTGTCTCAAGAAATTTCTTCATTCACACATCTATTAATAAATATACATATATCCAAATATATTTTTCCATGTTTGCTCAACTCATCCCCCTTCCTACAGTAATCCTTCTTGTTCCAAGAAAAAAGACATGCGCGCGCTAGAATAAAACATTGCGTAAATAGATACTAGTGGATCCCCGGATTACTGTAGGCTGCGATGATTCTTCTTTTGTTTTTTGTTTTGACCGACAAAAGAAAGGAAACACTTAAATTGGATGAGGAGGATTATGATATGAGCAATATATAACAAAAACTTTTTGGCGGGAAAATTACAACAAGTTTTTGGTTTTGTTTTGGGTGACACGTGGCAATGGTGGTTTTTGGCGGGAGAAAAATTCTGAAACAGTAGAAATTTTTCCTGAAAAATTTGAAAATATTTTCAGTTTCGTGGCACCATTTTTAGCCACATTTTTTCAAATTTCAGAAAATTATAAAGTCAATTTATTGATAACATCAAAAATGAAATCACAGAAAATTTATGCATACATTTTGAAACAGTGAATTTTTTAATTGGTTTTTGTATGAGAATTGGAACCCAATTAATTAACGTGGCATTGGTTTTCGGCGCGACAAAAAAGATTTGAAACAGTGGAGTTTTCCTAATTCAATTTTCAGATGAAAACTAGATTTTTGGTTGTAATTCTTTCGAACAATTAAAATTAATATTTTTTTTTAAATTTTGAAACAGTGAAATTTCGAGCTTTTTTCCGGTGTCAACTTAAGTATCCATTAAAAATAAAAAATCAAATAAATTTTATACGATAATTTTGAAACAGTGAATTATTTTATATTTTTTTTTGACTATTTTTTAAGTTATCAAAAAATAAAATCGCAGAATATGATATATATAATTTTTGAAACAGTAGATTTTTGAAAAATTCGTTTTGAAATCAGGATCAAAACTTCACAAATCCAAAGATCCCTCCACAGCT